CACTCACTCACTCACTCACTGTCATCCCAGCCTCGTACCAAACAGTACCATCCAATCCACCTGTAGCGTTCCATTGCTCAGCCAAACTGATTAATAATAATAATAATAATAATAATAATAATCCTCGCATTTCACAGAGCGCTTTTTTCAAGTCTTCCAGGCGTCTCAAAGCGCTTCACAGAACAGACTGTAAAGTGAACCGACCGGACGTTTGCGAGTGACGAATCCACTGCCTACATCTACCGGTTAGAAACTAGCGACAGCGTCATGAAGCTTTCTAAGTGAAAAAAGCAAGATGTTTGTTTCTGGTGACTAACGGCTATTTATTGTTGTTTTTCCAGTTCCAAGTAACGTTCATAAGCGAAGTGTGACACAGTTACCAAACACAGATGCACAGAGCACTCGGCAGACAAGCAACAGAGAGGAAAACAGAGACTGTAGCTCAACAGATGAAGAAACCACGGAACACTGACCAATGAACTTTAGAATACAAAGCAGATGTGTCCGACAAAAAGCAAGACCCCAATGGTCAAAGGTCCAAAATGAAACTACATCTCCAGGTAGGACAATAAGGAGTGCTCGGACATCATCAAAAACCTCAGATACCGCCCACAAAATACAGTCAATTCACTTTACAGTATATTCTGTGAAGCACTTTGAGATGTCTCAACAACGTGATAAGTGGCTATTACCAAAATGTACGGATTTTTGTTATTTTAAGAAAACTTGTTTGGACAGTAGTTTGGTGAACTGTCATGTGATACGTCTTGTCATTGCACAATTGTGCAACCGATCAAGATCTGTGCTGTCCTTTCCATGCAATGCACTTGCTGCACTCATGTCATGGGACCTCTTATGCTTTAAAGGATGCAAATGTGTAACTCCTACACCCTTTAGTGGTACTTCTTGAATGAAACAGACAAAAAGGTGTTCTGACTTAGCAATGGTTTATACCGTTTCACGTTGAAGCTTTATTTTATAGCACAGGAGATGTTGAATCACGGTGAGGTACAATTCCATGAGCAGCAACGGTCCTCACATTATTTAGACAGGGGAGCTGCACAGTCAATGTCAGTACATTTCACAATGGAGGAAAGACACACACACCACACACACACAAATTTCAACTGGCAATCACACGCACGCACTTTCCAGCAATGACTGCTAGATAGCTACATGAAATAACAACTCTGTTGGTGTCAGTCTCGACAAGTACACAAAACCAAATACTGGGGTCATAATACATCTACGATAGATTATTGAACGTTATATTAACATTGATGTAAATTGCTAAAATGAATGGACTTGAAATTGATAAGAATTTAAATAGAAATGTCAAGGTGATTGAAAATGTCTTTCTCTGTTTTTCATAGACTGAAAAATGAACTGAACGATGTAGCTCATATATTGCTGGGCATTTCAACCACTGACCCTCACTGAGACATGAAAATTGTTTCTAAGTTGTCCTCTCGAAAATGGGGTTCATTCCTTGTGTCATGAACTTACACACAAAGTGGTCAGCTTGGCCACTTGTGATCCATGGAATCCAATATATTCTCTGAGGGTTATAGAAAGGCCGTTGACTTTTCAGTCAGTGAAGTCTGGATCTAAGTTTGCACTGTATAACTTCAAGACAATGTATAATGTTATAGTTGGTGCCCCCGGCATGTCAGTGTATTCATTGAAAATGTACTCTCAGATATTTAAGGACATTGATGTTGAACAACAACAAAATACACTTGTGCAGCACCTTTCAGCTCAGAAGGACATCCCAAGGCACTGAAAGTCTCCTTTGACCTACATTACCCGATAATAGCATCATAGAAATGTATTTTATGTTAATGTTCCTGCATTTTATTTTAACTTTTAACATTTTATTTAATCCGAATTTGATATTCACTATAAAGCAGCATTGAGTTTCTGATTTAGAGAAGAAAGATCTTAATGTTATTTTTTTAATTGCATTATATATTGCCTTGCTCAAAATACATTTGTACATGTTATTTATAAATGCTTTGTGCATTGGGTCTGTTAATATTTATTTCTTAAAACAATTAACACAATGGTTTTGTCATTGGCTATATTTGATCATCAGAATACAATGTACAAGGAAAAAGTTATTAGGTGCAAGTTTTTAAAATTCTAGTGGAACTTTTTTTGGATATAAACTTATTCTTTACATGTATTAAAGAAAAAGGTTAGTGATAATCACTCATGATAGATGATTCCAGAGAATTTAGTACTCTGATATTGTATTGCTTGACATGTAATTGACTGAAAGATGTGCTGTTTTTATCTTGTTTAACCCATACCATTTTCACTGGATTTTAATTTGGCTTTGCATTGAAGTAATGCCAAGTAAAGCTAAACTGTCTAGAATTAGGGTATTCATTATATGAATGTTCATCATTCTTCACGTTGGCAAAATAAAAATTGGTTGCAGGGGTTTGAGTGCAACAGTATGAGAAATATTCATTGTGACTTCTTCCTAACAGCAATCTGTACAATAATAATTCTTGCATTTGATAAGGCACCTTATCATATCAAGAACATCTCAAAGTGCCTCACAGAAGTTTTTAGTGATTGTGTATTTGCAGGCAAAAGCAGCAGCCAGTTTGTTCCAAAACACCCATGAAGTGAATGACCAAATTATATCTAGGGGTTGTTGGCCAGGACACCCAGTGAAACTCCCTTCTTTTCTCGAATAATGCTGTGGATATAAAATTTTGAGCACTGTAGAAACCTAATTGTAAATTTTTTGTTGGAATAGTCTCTGCCAAAGTTGTTGTACGAGGAAACTTAACTATACAGTAGTTTCAGCAGTTATCTGGTAACCCATGTAGTCTTTCAATGTTGCAGGAGCAACATTTCTACAACTGCAGTATTTTCTCTCCAGGTTTAAAAAAAAAGGGAACCGAAGCTTTGAAGTTGCAAAAGTAACAGCAAATGTGTCTTATTTGTTCCATTTATAACATTGTAAGTAAGATCGGTTGAAATTAGTTCATCAATTGATGACTAATTCTATTGATAATTACACTGTATTTAATTAAAACATTTGAAAGAGCTAAAGAGCAGTGCTATTATTGAACAAATAATTTTTTATATTTCTGCGTAATATTTTTGATGCTGATTTATTTGGGATTAAAACAAAGGGAGAAAGAATTTTGCACGACCTGGTAATTTAAAACTAGATAGCAGATTGTGAGAACTCAAACATCACGTTAGTTACAATTCAATATAATCTTCACGACATTTGTTCTTTAGTGTCAGTGGAAAGGCTGGGTCTAGTATCTCTAATATTGCTCAGTGTTCACTAATGTTGGGGTGAATGGTGCTTTTGGAGGTTGAGTGTAAATGATATAAGATCTGGTAAATTCCCTGTAAAAGGAAAAGTGTTTTCAATTTAGCCAGACAACAGGGATCCACAATTCTTCCTAACCACTCATTCTCTATTTAAATTTAAATGCCCATCTCTGGTAAACTACAATCGACAAGTGATTAACGAGTATATTTTTAAAAAAACACCCACTCTTTTGTATTCACAAGAACCAAGACAGGAGGTAATAGTAAATAAAAGGGCCACTTAACCTTCTTTCAGGCACTTCAGAGTATCCAATTTCACAGTGCTATTTATTATCAGTGGATTGGGAAAAGGTTGCATGTCCACTGTTTATTTTCTGCCTTCCACTCTTGCACGCACTGACTCATGTTTGGCTAACCAACCTCCAATATTTTTCCAAGTAGCCATTCTATAATAATAATTCTTGCATTTGATATAGCGCTTTTCACATCTTCTAGATGTTTCAAAGTGCTTCACAGAATATACTGTAAAGTGAATTGACTGTATATTTGTGGGCGAAACGCAGCAGCCAATTGCACACAGCAGTGTCCCACAAACAGTCATGGATTGAAGTGACCAATTTATTATTGTTTTTTTTTGCTGCTGCATGTGTGAGCCTGAATAGTGTCAGCAGGGATATTTGTTCATGGAGGGAGAAATCACAATTCGAGTCTAATGTGTCTTGGTCTAACATTCACATACTTGAGAAGTCATTGGATAGAGATCAGCAGAGGGAACCCTGGATGAAAGGCTATCATACTGACCCACTGCACTACACTTGTCCACTAATTCGTAGATTCTAATAATTAATAATTGTTGTTTTCGTCTTTCAGACTAATTGTGTATTTTATAGAATTGAATTCTAAGAGCAATTGTACGTTCATTACTGCGCATTAGTATTCCATTCGAAACGCTTGTTAATTAGATTAATTAAATATATGAAGCAGTGAAATATATTCAGATCAGTAGGGCTTAGAATTGAAATGAGAGGAAAAAATGGGATTCATGATTTACTCGAATTAACACCGGAATATTTCACATCTCCATCGATATGATTTGCGAGTACATTTATGACATTTCCTGATCATCATACCAAATTTATTATGAAATGTTGCCAGCTCCATCCCTATACGTAGATATATTAATACCCTACATTGAGTTGGTCTCTGCACGTAACTGGGGAGAGTTGGTATGAGTTGTTTTACATGTTGAGGTTGAGGGGAGATTGCTAATTGGTGTAGACCTTTAAGCATACTCACGAATCCACGAGTGTTTTCAGTGCCAATTTGAACTTCCTTTTATGTTTATCAACAATTAGTTATTTTGATGGGCTGAATATTCACTGAAGATGTTTGAGTAGCTTTGTAATGCAAAACGGGTAATCCCACAGAGGCGCTATTGTGGAGTATGAAACAATAACTTACCAAAATGTCAGTACAATTTAATTTCCGCTGAAAAAAAACCCACCCTCTTAAAGGTCTTCCAAAATAAATTGCCACATGATTCAGGAAAGATAATGCGGGTTTGTATTTTGTTCCTGCAGTACCGTTTTTATTAATTGTAACCTTTTCGACAACGTAGGCCAGATTAGGACGAATATCTCAGAAACAACGTGATAATAATAATAATAATATAAATTTAAGCTAAGGTCAGTCTTTCACCCATCATGGCCGCATGCTGCTGCAACTACTGTACACACCTGCGTGAGACGCGACTCGCGTTTTATTTTAGCGCAAATAAATAAATAAAGAGAGAGGAAAAACTCGCTTAGAATAGTGGATCCAGCGTCCAATTTATTTCTCCCAAAATATTGCGCCTTTGTCTGGGCTTTCCTGGAAGATGCAAAGAGGAAGACGTTTGGAACTAAATCCTTTTGATGCATCAGATTGTGGAGTCCTCTAGATCAGTGGTTAGAGCACTCGCTTTGCAAGTGAGAGACCTGAGTTCAATTCCAGGCAGAGGGCGAAACCTTGGGCAAGTTTCCTTACTCCACACAGAGCCTAATAATAATAATCCCTCCAAAAATCCAAAAACAATAATAAATTGGTCATTTTCAATCTACGACTGTTTGTGGGACATTGCTGTGCGCAATTGGCTGCCGCGTTCGCCCACAAATATACAGTCAATTCACTTTACAGTGTGTCCTGTGAAACGCTTTGGGACGTCCTCCCGACGTGAAAAGCGCTATATGGAGTCCTGCAGCTCAGTGGTTAGAGCACTCGCTTTGCAAGCAAGAGACCTGAGTTCGATTCCAGGCAGAGGGCGAAACCTTGGGCAAGTTTCCTTACTCCACACAGAGCCAAATAATAATCTCTCCAAAACCAAAAGCAGTAATAAAAAAATTGGTCTTTTCAATCTACGACTGTTTGTGGGACATTGCTGTGCGCAATTGGCTGCCGCGTTCGCCCACAAATATACAGTCAATTCACTTTACAGTATGTCCTGTGAAGCGCTTTGGGACGTCCTCCCGACGTGAAAAGCGCTATATCAAATGCGAGGATTATTATTATCATCATCATCAGTGGGCAAAGCAGCCTCAAGTACACCCCGAGACGGTCCTTATTATCGCGTCCTCTAATTTAAGATCGTATTTAATAGGTCGGGTGAGGAGGTGGGGGGGTTTCTTGTGTGTTTTTCTCTCTCTCTCAGTCTCTCTCAGTCTCTCTCTCTCTTTCTCTCTCTCGACCTTCTGCAAATGAAATGCAAATGAACTCATTCTCACGGGGTTCGTGTTGTAGTGATTCACTGACAAAACAGAACACAGGACACGTCGCCTGTCGGTGTTGCTATGGTGGTTGGTGTCAACACTCGGTGCAGCCAAACCCCCTCCTCCTCCCTCCTCCTCCTCCTCCTCACCCCGCAGTGAGCTCAGCATCTCCTCCATCCCCATCCTCATCTTCTTCTTTTTTAAACAAAAACAACACCCCACCCCCTCCCCCCCAAAAAAAACAACAACAACAACAATGGTAACTGCGTACAGTTTTTAATCCGACTTTCCTTTCCCATCGATATCATCAGTTAAAAAAAAAAGGGGTATTTTTGTTTGTGGTCCCAACGTGTTTTTAAAACGTTAGATTATCTTCTGGTGCTTTTGGGGGGTCTGTTTGTCACACGTTATAAACCCCCAAATAACCCCTCCCCCCAATAACTTACCGACACAGTGATGGCTGTTCTTTATTGCTGAAATGAGATTGAAAGGGGAAAAAAAAAACACCCACAATTTTTTTTATTTTTTTTTTGCACAGGATCCTTTCACTGAACTGTTGAAGGAACAAGCTGACATGATAATAGACCGAGTCGTGGCCGAATCTTTGGCCTACCTGAAAGAGTTGCAAATGAAAGAAGGTAAGAAAAAGTCGTGGTAGCCTCTTAAGGAATTGTATCTTAATAATAATAGTAATAATAATAATAATCCTTGCATTTGATATAGCGCTTTTCACGTCGGGAGGACGTCCCAAAGCGCTTCACAGAAACGCCGCAAAGTGAATTGACTGTATATTTGTGGGCGAACGCGGCAGCCAATTGCGCACGGCACTGTCCCACAAACAGTCGTGGATTGAAAATGACCAATTTATTATTGTTTTTTTTTTGGTTTTGGAGGGATTATTATTAGGCGTGTGGAGTAAGGAAACTTGCTCAAGGTTTCGCCCGGCCTGGAACCTTCTTCTTCAAAGGTTTTTCTTAAAATGTCACCGCTCAGTTTGTCAGCACTTTAGCCATAATGGCAGCATTAATAGTGTTATAGAATCTAAGATGATAGGGTAGTTGGTATTGATGCTAAACAGTTTGATATCAAATGTATCAGCAAGGACAATATCATATATTCCTTACACAGTTATTTGCCAAATGCGTCATGTCATATACTGTATTCCGATGTTTATTCTTCTTATGTTTCTCCTTCTGAAAGAGAGAATTGAATATGAATTCAAAAACATCGATTGGAGTTCATGCCAGGACTTCACAATAGAAATCGGGGCAAGACAAATAGAAGAATATATTGCTGTAAGTTTTTTTCTCCCCCTATAGTACCATTCTCTGTAGGGTTATGTTGTAAAATCCACTGAATGTTCAATGCATTCAAAAAGAGCTGTAAAGAAAACCCAGAATTGTGCCATTTAGTGTCCAGCCTCACACGTGTGTCTCATTTCTTGACAGTAAATTATTGTTGCATTTCTTTGACAAGAATTAATTCTCCTGCATTTTTCTTAGGTGACGTGGGAGATTTCCAAATGCTGGCTTCATTGCCTAGATTTCTTGTACATGGAAGAACTGGAATATAATACGCGTTACCATTATCGTGTGCGGTGGAGTATTCCTACCCGGAGGAAGCCTATTCCACGAGCGACAGCTTGTACCTACTTTATTATTGAGCTCTCCAAAGTCAAACCTTCTGTGAGTAAGGGTAAACGTAAATATTCTTGTTTTCATTTTAGTTTGTGTTTGCTGATCCAGATCGAGAGAAACAAATGGAATATTTATAATAATAAGGAACCTAGTTGATCATCAATTGGTGGATTTGGAGTCAAATTTGGAATCTCAATCCACGACTGTATGGTCAATTCATTTTACAGTATATTTTGTGAAGCATTTTAAGACGACTCAATGACGCGATAAGGCACGATAACAAATGCAAGAATTATGTTTTTGCAACTGTCATGCCATCCAATTGACTGAATTTTTTTATATTTTCAGCACTTCCCGGTTGAAGTTTACTTCTATTTCGAATCAAACAAACTTATGCACAGGTAAATGACCAGAATACTTACATAATACATTTAATAACGTATAACTCAGAAGAGATGGTTTTCTCACAGGTGGTTTAAGTAGCGTTTAGAATTGTTTTAGACTGTAATAGGAAAACTAAACGTAAATGTGTTTTCTTTTAGGCCAAACCACTCAAGATTCAGAGAAAAGTGGCTGAAGAATATTATCCAAAATAAAATTCTGCTAATGGAAACAGTCACATTCTAACAGTATGTTGTCTGGAAAGAGGGAAAACACAGAACTCAGAAATACTGAAACTGATTCAGTCTGTTTATTTAACTTGCCTTGCGTTTTCTCCTTTCTTGAAGTCACTGCATGTTTGAGTCCACAATTCCAGAATTGTAAGGCCTTCAGTGCCTCACCCAGTTGGGAGATGGAAAGTCAGTGTCATTGGTCTATTGTAATAATAATAATCCTTGCATTTGATATAACGCTTTTCATGTATTCCAGACGTCTCAAAGCGCTTCACAGAATATACTATAAAGTGAATTGACCGTATATTTGTGGGCGAAACGCAGCAGTCAGTTGTGCACAGCAGTGTCTCACAAACAGTCGTGGATTGAAAATGACCGATTTATTATTATTTTGTTTTGGAGGATTATTAAGCGTGTGGAGTCAGCAAACTTGCCCAAAGTTTTGCCCTGCCTGGAATTGAACCTAGGTGTCTCGCTTGCTCTAACCACTGAGCTACAGGACTCCACGTTGTACCATGTTGGGAGGGAGTAAATCAAAATAGAATATAATCTCAATGAGTGCCCTTTCCAAGAAATGGATATAATGGTAACCACTTAGCATGGTAGCACTCAGCTCATGTACTGTCCCGCACTAGGCTTTGCGACCACATCAGTCCCACCCTCACTCGCCTCCACTGGCTCCCCATCCCCCAGAGGATCAAATTCAAGATCCTCATCTACAAGGCCATTCACAGCCTCGCTCCCTCCTACCTCTACGACCTACTATTCCACTTACCTGCCCGTACCCTCCGTTCCTCTGGCTCCGGTCTGCTCCACCTCCCCCGCACTAACCGCCCTACCATCGGTGGCCGGGCCTTCAGCCTCTCAGCCCCGAGGCTCTGGAACTCCATCCCCCAGTGACTTCGCCGCTTCCTCCCTTTCCTCCTTCAAGGCGTCTCAAGACCTTTCTCTTTGACCGTGCCTTCAGCTCCTCTCTCGACTCTCTACCCCCTCCTCGCTCCCTCCTTTCCCTCCCCTCACCATTTGCCCCCTGCTCGGGTCCTGACCCAACTGTCCAGCGCCTTGGGATGTCCTCCCGACATGAAAGGCGCTCTATAAATGAAATCTTCTTATTGTTGTTGTACCTGCCCACCTAGGACCACTCCATCTATCCCAGTTTGGGTGGGGAGGGTTGAGGACATGTCTACACCTTCAAGCCCTAATGAACTAGTGAAGCTGGTCAACTATCACAACCCAGCCTGAAATTTCCCCTTTTTTTAAAAAAATAGGGAGAGCTGACAAGTCAATTGTAGTTCTCCCATTTCTAAACAAGTCGAGATCAGCTACATCGGGATAGAGGAGTGGAATCCATTATTCCCATGGTTACCTCAAATCAGTTTGAAACGCACATGGAGCTCTCCATTCACATTGGTGTGGCTGTTTTAATTTCTGTTGGTGACAGCCAGTTTAAAAAAAAGGTTATTTTACATGAGTCTTGAATTTAAAATCTAGTTTAAATCATTTGTACATGGGAGTACGTAAACGCATTCCTCTTTGCCCAGCTGGTAAGGTGACCACTTACAACCCCAGGTCAATCCTCTACACACTCTCCTCTCTTATCTTCCCACCATTATATACTAACCCACCCTCTGAAGGAATTCAAATGTAGTGTCAGCCAAGGCTTGCTACTCTGCTATCATTTAACCCTTGGAATAAATATCCTAAAGTCTTGCTTTAAATGGGATGGTGGGAAAGCATCAAAAATGGTCAAGTTCTACATATTGGTAGAAGTGGTATAATTTTGCCAAACTTTGCAGCCCCAAAGTCTTTACAGCCCCGAAGTCTTTGCAGCCAGTTTTCAGCAAATCAAATATTGTAATTTTTCCACTGCATTCTTTGCTCAGCTGAGCAAATCAGTTTTTGCATAGCACTGTATACAAAAATTACACCACAAGGCTTTAGCAATTTTATCATAATTTTACAGCAGGTAGGCATTTAATTGAAACTAGCACAATCTCATAGAAAAATTATAGGAAGTAAAGTTTTCAAGTGTACAGCATTAGAAACATTCAATTTTAAATGGATAACAGCCAGAAATAGAAGACAATTTGTAACATTCAGATCCAAGTTTACAGCAATAAAACTTTCATTGATGTCTATAAAAAATTAAAGTTTTATTTTTCTTCCTTCCCCCTGGTCTTTCTGTGCACCATTTCTCTGAAACCAGACAGGATCTTGTTCTCTCTCTTCTGTCGTTCCTCTTTGTTAAATGAGGCTAAAGCCCTCTTCTCATCAGCACTGTAGATCTGGTTCTCTTTACGCAGACGCACAGCCTCCATACGTCGATGTCTAAACAAAACATTAAATATAGATTACTATTGCTACAAATGATAAAAAAAATATAAAACCACAGGGACTCGACCATTCAATGGGTTAGCACGCTGTTCTTTCATCAGTAGTACAAGTTTGAACTAATGCATGGCAAAAAAATTACAAGTAACAGTTTGGTGGTCAACCTCCACCCAGTGGACATGGGCCAACACAAAACTGCCCACAAATGTACAATTCCAGGCTGATAAAGATGGCTAGTGTGGAATCTAGAAAACTTCACACTAATCCATCCCTCCTAGCCGTGAGATACCTGATCTGGGAACTCTTGGTAAAAGATGCAAGAGTAGCATTTAAAGAAAAAAAAAGTTAAGCACTAAATTGGAAATAAATGTAGATTAAATTAGATTCTATCTAACCCAGTTCCAAACCGTAGTTTTCAAATTTAGTTCAAAGAGCGCTGCATCAGAAACAAAATGAATGCACTGCATTCCTTTTAAAAACTAAAGAGGCAACAGCTGGATATAAGACGGCGTGCAAATACAAGGAACAGAGTGAATGTGTTCTTACCTGCTCCCGCTCATTACATAACCAGAAGTTTCAAAGGAAGCAATCTGGTCGCTCGTCAGACCAATTTCACCTCTTCTTGGAATACGTTTCCCAGCTTTCACATATTCAGCCATGGCGGCACCTTCACCAGGTAGTAAAGCATGGCCATAACTAAGACAGTGATGGAAATAAGAGTACAAGAATCAGACACCAGCATAAAATTATTTTCACTGTCTGGGTTCACACATGAGGAATATTGCCGTGGTTAGGGTATTTGAGGACACTTGGCATCTATATACTGAACGCCTGCAGCAGTTCTAGGAAAAGGATTTCATTTAAAAACACAACTATGTATTACAATCTCTACAAGAAAGGTTTGACAAATCAAGTTTTAAAAATTGAATAAGGTAAATGTTTCTGCTTATACTAAATCACTGAGCCGCAAGAATTTTTTTTAAAGACAATAAAAATTCAAAGAATGTATGAAAATCACAGCATTTTATCAAATCCAGATATAATTAATTTGATGATCATATTTCTTTATTTTGATAGGCATTTTCCCAATGGCAAATATCATGGGTTAAATGGATAAGAGAAAGGCTAACCTATCAATTTGTAGACAGTCCTTGTCCAGTACAAACAAGGAGCATAACTCTGCAACTTTACACTGTATATTTGAGAGAAGATATATTTACTCAAGATGGGAAAAACTATACAGATAAGGAAACTAGTTTGATAAGCTGTCAGAATTCTGAGTACTTCAATAAGAAACGGATGCTTACTTCAAAGGTTTCTCGTCGTCTTGATTAGAATATTCCATTGGAGCAGCCGGCCCAATAGAAATTTCCTTTTCGTTATCATCTGCGCATGAAAAAAAATTAGAAAACAAAGTTCTTCTAGGTATGTGTATTCTTTAAGATGCATTGTCAATAACTTTGTGCTTACTCCCAAGCAGCTTTTGTGATCCTGAATTAATTCAGACAAAACTGCCCAGTAAGGAGTTCAATGTTTTACCAGTGTAACTAAAATCATTTCCATATAAAAATTGATTCAAATCATAAACATTTTAGCGGTCGAGTGGAATCAACAGAATGACCACAACTAACCAGAAAAATAACACTGGAAAGTGAATGCACCTAATCAGTTGCTTTTCTAACAAATAAATTGCTTACAAGTTCTTTCTATCCAGATCTCTTCACCATTCGCATTTTCCTCTTCAGACTCCCCACTACTGGAATCGGACGCCTTCTTTTTGTTTTTCTTGGCTTTCTTTGCCTTCTTCCTGCAAAACAAGCCAAAAGGATATTTTAAAATAATGTCAAATTTGCTATAACAAAGGGTTAAATAACAGGAAGCAGACAATAACAAAAAAAAGGAGGTGAGATTTCAGGAAAATTTTTTTTTTAAGAAACTGAAAAAAACATTTGTGTTGCAGCTTCCACTCTTCCATGTCCCCAGTGCCTTACTTCAGCAGGAAGCACACAAGTCTGTATAGCAGGTTTCACCTCACCTTATGCATCAACACTACAAGTAGCATTTTTTAAAAAAATGCCAAACAACTTATTAAATAATTATAATCCTTGCATTTGATATATCAACTTTCACATTGGGAGGGCGTCATAAAGCGCTTCACAGGGTATATAGTTAAGTGTGCTGACTGTGTATTTTGTAGGCAAACTCGACAGCCAATTTGCGCACAGCAACGTCCAACAAACAGCCATGAAGTAACCAATTTTATTTGGGGGATTGTTGGCCAGGACACCAGTGAAACTCACTTCTCTTTTTGAGCAATGCAATGGGATCTTTAACAACCACATGAACAGGGGGATGGGACATTAATATAGGTTAAATTAAGCAAATGACAAATAGGATTTTATAATAGACATATTACTTTTTATGACTTTTCTTTTTCTTCTTTTTCTTCTTTTTGTCTTCACCTGAAAACATACCAAAAATAAAAACATAAATTCAGGATAACAGATAAAAAAAAATTATAGAAGAATATGAACGGAGCAAGTGTCTTGAATTTCAAATCGTATCTCCTTTTTAGAAATGGAATAAAACTATATCCAACATACAGTTTAAATCCTTAAACATTAGCAAACCACTGCCTATTTTTCTTAGTCAGGTCTTATCATTTGGAGGCAGCTAGGAGAGAATTTTAGAGATTGGCCTACAAGTATCCACAGGATTCATCATAGCTCATTAGAAACATTTATGTAAAACACAGTATCTGCTATATAAAAAAATGTTGGTTGAAATTTGACAGCTTTGAAGTTATTGAGGTGAACAGACTGATTTCAGGGCTAACACAAATCATACCTACACTTTGGCAGTACCAATAACTTGATGGTGGTAAGAGAAAAGAAAGAATGATTGTTATAAAGTAACCTTCCAACACAAAAAGTACACAAAACAAGTCAAAAACACAAAGTTCCTGTAATTCTAGCTACGTTCCACGTGGTGGTGCTATTGTGAGCCTAAACATGGAGTCCTGTAGCTCAGTGGTTAGAGCACTCGCTTTGCAAGCGAGAGACCTGAGTTCAATTCCAGGCAGAGGGCGAAACCTTGGGCAAGTTTCCTTACTCCACACAGAGCCTAATAATAATCCCTCCAAAAAACCAAAAAAAAAATTAAATTGGTCATTTTCAATCTATGACTGTTTGTGGGACACTGCTGTGCGCAATTGGCTGCCGCGTTCACCCACAAATATACAGTCAACTCACTTTACAGTATATTCTGTGAAGCGCTTTGGGACGTCCTCCCGACGTGAAAAGCGCTATATCAAATGCAAGGATTATTAGTAAACCATTTGAAAGACGATTTTACCAAACAGTAAGCCGGTCTGTAAAACTTGTCTGTTATTGTCCACCAATTTTCTTAACTCTACTGAAGGCATTCATATGCCTGGCTGTGCATATGCAAAACCAAACTGTGCCTTTCCCCACCAGCCCACTTGGGAAGTTGAGGTGATAAAATCCACCTTTTTTAAAAAAAAACGATCTACAGTTCTAATGAATGCACAGTTCAATTTTAGAAAATAAAAGTGTTGTACATTTGAGATTGTATGTTCATTGTAATGCCTGTATCATGCAATCTTAGTTTCCAAATGAAGTTGAAAAGCTTATTGGAACTATTAACTCATTTTCTAAGCTTTAGATGCTAAAGTGCATTGATTATTGCAATAATTCCCTCTAAAGCAGTAACATCTTACCACTTAAGTTATCGTCACTGTCAGAATTGGATTCACTCTCACTCTCTTCTGAAAGCTTCTTATGTTTTCTCTTCTTTGACTTCTTCTTCTTTTTCTTTTTCTTCTTTTTCTCCTCTATATGTGAAATATTTTGATAATCACAAGATAATGTTCATATTTTAATTGTTCTTTTGATTTGAAACTGGAATGACCAACACCTGCAATCAAGTTAAGGGCCTGATCTGAACTAGTACTTGAAACAAGCATCCAGTCATTTTTCAGTAAACTTTCTGGACAGTTCAGAGAAATTGGCAGAAAAGTCTGACCTCTGCATTATTTGACCGTGCGTATTGCCACCTCCCACCTCCTTGGATTCAGGCTCCGCCACTGTTAAACGCACTGAGACTCTACCCTGCATGGGGCGGGGGGGGGCGCTACATAAGTGCAAGTTGCTGTTATTGAAGTCTTTGTTTTAAGAGGATCTGCAAAGCAAATGTGATTTGCTGCTCATCCATTTTATTCAGTTCAATATACTCATTCATATACAGTGCTGTTAGCATCATTGAAACTACTTGTACATGAATCAGTGTCAGATCAGACAAAATTGTGATGGAACTCCCTTCAAATAAAATTAATTAAAATGAGGAAATCTTCAATGGTTAAAAGGTGATCAAAGACTGGTATACCAATGCACTCCCTCACACTTGTAGTTTTTCTGTGACTTGACTGGATTGTTAAGGTGTTACTTCTAGAAGAGAAATCAATAAAACAATAGACTTAATCCAGGTTGTACTTGTGCAACTACAAAATTGTCCAAGTGACATATTTTACAAAACAACTGGGGAATGGGGAATAGCATGAGGCAAGGTGAAAATGGTGTGCTATAAGTAATGTCATATCCCATATCTAATTATGACTGCTCAATTCATAAGTCATAATTCCCCTTCCCTTTTTGTTTATAACATTTACCTTCCGTACTGGAATCAGAGCTGTTCTTTTTGGCATTCTCACCCTCTACCGGAGTATGCTCATCTGAACTAGAAAACAATGAAGCAAAATCACACTTTGTTCTGCAACAGTTTCCATTGATATTATTTGTAGACTTTATAATACAGTCAAATTCGAATTCTAACTTGAGGCGAATTTCCAAGTAATTTATCAATTACAAAATTATAGTTTCAGTTAGAGAAACCATTATTGATGGGAAAGTTTGCAAACTGTTTCTTATAATGCTGCTTAACAGAGAATAAGGTACATTGAACATAATGAGCTCAGATCTGTGATTCACCTGCTCTCATCTGTTTTCACATCACAATCAACACCAGGTTTTTAAAAACCTTCCAGGAGATACAAGGGAACCCAAATGTCAAGTTTGTTTTTAAAAAAATAGTTGAAAATTAACTTTATGCATACAGGTAAATATCCTAGTTGTAATTTTAAGAGGGTTTCCCCCCATCTTTTAATGAACTTTCAGGGTTTTGAGCAAGCAAACTACTCCAAAATTTAAAACAAGCCAAATAACAGACAAAGGATATATAAAAAGCACAGGCCTATAAATTGTAAGAGAAAAATAATCTTACTCTGGCTCGCCAACCTTTGGGGACATACCCCAAACTTCAGGAGCTCCAAGTTCTCCAATTCTTTCTCGTTCTTTAAGACGCCTAAAATAAACACATACGAGCTACAATATTATAATGAACTTAATTTGTCATATCAACATTTCACTCTCTCTCCCCCCCAGAACTTTGACAAAACTATAGCAAGAAGAGGATAAAGTTTAAAGCGTCTTGGACAAATCCACATACTGGGAAAATATTTTTTATTCGATAGATTCAGACCTGGAAATGAAGGCTTCATGCCTCTGTCGAAGTAGATCCTCTTGCTCTTTTGCATAGTGTTCTGCATGCATTTTGTTATAATATCCATGATGTGATCGCACATCTCGATCTCTTGATTTAGACGTGGAAGAGCTATGGTATATACTATTCTGATACTTATGCGCGCTGGATCTTTCTCTTGACTTGGACCTTCTTGGCTTTTTGTCTACTGATGGAGAACTGCAATGTCCGGTGAAAGGTCTATTTGACTTTACTGGAGGACTTCGGGATTTACTGTCACCACTACTGTTCCGTCGTCTTCTTTTGGGGCTGACCGGTGAATGTGGACTCCCACTCCTTGATCGACGTACTGGAGGCATTATTTAACATTAGGACAAGGGAGAGAGTTTCTCATTTATTTTCAAAATTATCTGCAAAGTAACACATCATTACAATAGATATTAACACTTCAATGTTTCATTACCAGTGCAGCAGCCAGTTTGGGATTTCCATTCTTTGCATCACATTAACAATGCATTTAAACGACCCATAACCATTGTACATTTATTGTAACCCATCCTGCCCCCTCCAGTCCAAATCCCTGACTGTCCAGGGCCTTGGGACATCCTCCTGACGTGAAAGGCATTATACAAATGTAATTTTGTATTTTATTGTACCTTTATGCCTACAATTTCACAATAAACAGGAGCCCAGGAGGAACTTTGGACAAGATCTGGGATGGCACCTACCTATAATTTACCATCCTATTTAGAGCCTCACTTTATTTGTCTTTTAACAGTGACAAATAATAGTTCATTTCAACATCCTTTTGATTGGTTCTATTGAATGCACTTAAAACAGTCAATGGTGTGATCATTACTGAGGAAAAGAGTGAAATCAGCAATTCCCTAGGAGCCCTGTAGCTCAGTGGCTAGAGCACAAGCCTCGCCAGCGAGAGACCTTGGGCAAGCTTCCTTACTCCACACACCTGATAATAATCCCTCAAGAAAAATACAATAATAAAATTAGTCATTTCAATCCACGACTGTTTGTGGGACACCGCTAAGTGCAATTGGCTGCCGTGTTTCACCCGCAAAATATACAGTCGATTCACTTTACAGTATATTTTGTGAAGCGCTTTGCGACGTCTAGAAGTCTTGAAAAGCGCTATATCAAATGCAAGGATTATTATTATATTATCATCAAAACAACATGCTTGCACTCGAGCATAACGGCTTACCAACAGATGTTAATTTACCTACATCATCACAGGTGTGGGCAAAATAGTTGGCTTGATCAGCGCGCCAGTAGAAAGCAACAGTTGGGAGGGCAAAAACAAATAAATTCTTGGCGATGCCTTAATTTCTGAATTAACGCTCATCAAAAGGTGAGCGTAAGGGTGCTCAAAAACAAATAATCGAGCTGATTTATCTGCCTCCCCGCCTTGCAAAGTTGTAGGACAATTTCTCCAGCAGAAGTCGAAGCATTTAAATAACGAATTAAAAAAAAAAACCCCAGAAACTAATTCGGGGAGAGACAGCACTGATGGTGGCTGGGAGGAGGGGAATAATAATGGTAAGGTGAGGGAGGGGGGGGGGGGCTTTAAGCATACAAATCAACACGAGGAAATTAGGGCTAAGGCACGGAATAATAATAACATCAATGGCAATATAATAATCCTAGCATTGGATTTCTATCACAACAAAAAGGATATTGAAAGGAACTATTATTTGTCACCGTTAGAAGACCCCCTCCCCCCCCCACAAAAAAAAAGTGAGGCCCTAAATTACAAGCAGATGCCGATGCCTGGTCCACACTGGGTTCCTAAACTTACTGTTGTGTCAACAGACGCGGTGCGGAGTTACGAAACTTTGCCCTGAATCGGGTTGTGAGTGTGTGTGTGTGTCTGAGAGAGTGTGTGTGTGTGTGTGTTTTTTTAACGGAAAAGGCCTGGAAACCGAAACGAAGCGCTGAAGAAGCGGGACTCACAGAGGGCCGCGAAGAAAAAGTAACAGAAGCAGCAGCAGCTGCAGCAGCTGCTGCTGCTCCTCCTCCTCCTCCTGCTGCTGCTGTAACTAGTACTTGGCAGCGATAGCCGCCGCCCGGTTAAAGCTGCGACACACACACACACACCGCGAAGGTGGTGGTGCTGCCGCCATTCCTGCCCACCTGCCTACCGACCTACCTGTCGGCCGCGTTAACCCTCCACTAAAACCGCCACGTTATTATTTGCCACCGTTTATTTCCTCGACCGTAACCGACCCGTGAGGAAACAGGTAATCAAATGAGCGGGTCTGTGAGGAGGGGGGAAAGGGCGGGAGCGTGTGAGAGAAACGCCGACAACAACCGACTGACAACAACCTCCAGCGACGTACGAGACGGGGCAGCGGCGGCGGCGGTGGTGCGGGAGGTCAGAGGTCAGAGACGAAACGGGCGATTCCCGGATGTAGACCGCCTCGCGCCGTGGCGCATGCGCGTCGCGTCGTTTAACGGTCGAGGCGCGCGCGGCGGCGGCGGTTGGGTCCCGTCGACGACGACGACTACGACGATGACGACGGCGACACGAGGAAAAGAAAGACGGTGGCGGCAGTTAGTGACCGCAACAACTGTAGTAATTATAATAATTATAATTGTACTACTACTAATAATAATCGTCGCATTTCGATACAGCGCCTCATCATTTGATTCGAGACGCCTCAAAGCGCTTCACAGGATATACCCTCAAGTGTAGTGACTGTGTATTTTGAGGGCGAAAACGCAGCAGCCAATTGCGCACAGCGGCCTCCCGCCATCAGTCGTGGATTGAGTGGCCAAATAATTTTTTTTTGGAAGGGGGGGAGAGGGATTATTGTGCCCGGAAAGCGCTCCCTCCGCCAATCGACTGACAAGCGATTATATAAATATGTAATTATATAAATATATAAACTGGCATTTATATAGCGCCCCTCATGCAGAGCTTAGTTTAGTTGGTTAATTACTTAGTTGGTTAGTAAGTAGAGGCTTGGCTAGATCACCTTCAAGACTTTTAACTCTTTCCTCTTGGGAGATTTGTTTACAGCAACATGTTTAAGAGGAAACTTGATGCGTAGATGAGGGAGAAGGAATGAGAGGGGTGCGGGAGAGGGGATCGGGATGTGAAGTATAAACTCAAGCGCATACTATCTTGTGCTGTAACCTATATAATTTTTGGCCCCATTTTTCACTCAAATTTCCAAGTTGTTTTTTAGTTAGCAATATTGCAGTCAATGCACTTAGCTAGACTTAGAAATTATAGTACACAGAGATCATTACATTTATGCTTACTGATATATATATATGTCATAGAAAAGGCCCTGCTATGTGGGAGACAAAGCTTGTTTTAAGCATCTATATATCTTTGGTATGTAGGAGGATTTGGATCCAGCTTTCTGTCTAATAGAGTATCCATGACTTGCCCAAATCATCCTGTGTACACACTGACTCTGCATTTCTCATCTCAGAACTACAGCTAAATGTCAGTAGGAGTAAAGTCATTTATTTCTGCAGAAATGCAACAACAATTGGAAAAGCGTCTTCTCCATTGTAATAAATCTATCAAGAAAAGAACACTGCCAAATCACAGGAAGATGGCAAATGTATATGTAACATTTAAAGATTGAAAACATATTTCCTATAGGAGTCAAAATTCTTTGGAAGAGTATACACACAATTTTAAACTCTCCTGACATTATAGACTCTATATCTCTGCAGACTCCCAGTTGGTTGAACAGCGTAGATTACAATCACAGTTTTAGTTTATCAGAGGCTTCTAATTAGTGTTCACTCGTGAGTTTCCATAGACGGTTTGTTTTCTCATTAAACGAGAATTCAGATTCTTTTTAAAAATGCTCTTATTAGATTTACGTTCTTATTAGATTTCTGCTGGAAAATAATATCTTGCGATACAATATATGATTTGGGACATGACATGTCAAGCGACTGCCAGGATGGTGGAAGGCGAACTGGATGGACCTTGTTCTTCTTTTGCCTAGCAAATTCTCATGTTCTTAAAAAATGGCTTTACATACCTAATAGTAATTTTCCCTAATGGGATCAAAAATGTTCTGCAGTGTATTACATTTTTGAATTCAGCTTTAGTTCCAGTTTGCAGTACCTTCGTGTTAAAGTAGTCAGAGTTAATGCAACCTGGATACTTTTAGCTATTTTCAGTTTCTTGTCACAAATTTCAATGCAGCAGAGAATTTCTAAATTGGATGTAATTGTACACAAAATGAACAATTGCAGCACTCTCTGTATTGGCAGTAAGTTATTGGAGACTTCTGAACAAGTCTTCATTTTGGGGGTCAGCCGAGTGTCATGACACATGCGGAAACCCTTCAGCATGCTTAAGAGTATCCAAACCAAACAGATCCGTGCATCCTTCCTACACATGGAAATTCCAGAGTTAATTGGAATGGAATGCACTCTTTCTCTAGAGGGATACATCCTGGTTACCTAATTCTGGAAAGTATTAAGCGCAGATTGCAAGAGCCAAGGCTTGGGGACCCCATAGTGTGCGTTGGGGCACTGATAGAGGCTCACCAGTTAAAAACGCAAAGCTTGCCATTGGAGAGCACGGCTTGCCAAGCTTTCCTGCTGCTTGTACAGCTAGTATCACCCGTTAGGGCTTTAGCTTGCAGGAGTTGAGTGGGAGGAGTTCCTGCCCCCAATGTCTGGCAATTCTTCATGACTGAAATCATTACAATAAATTCCTAAATGAATTCTTCTTGTTTTAATTTTAAAAGTTGGATCCCACACTGGTATTTGGTTTCAAAAGTATGACTCTTCCAAAAATAATCTGCAATAAGAGTGTTCGGGTGGATGCTAAAAACCCCACACAGCAATTTAATAATTCTTGCATTTGATATAGCGCTTTATCACATCATTGAGACATGTCAAAGCGTTTCACAGAATATATTGTAAAGTGGATTGACTGTATATTTTGTGGGCAAAGCTATTTGAAAAGAAAGGAGTTTCTTCCTGTGTCAGGGTTCAAATACTAATCAGTCATTCGCATCATGGCAGTTTGCATTTGTATTAGTTATTCAATCCATTTTGCCTCCTGGACGACTTAGTATTTTTTTTCCTGGTGTCGGCCTTTAATTTTTTTTTTAAAAAAATGATTTGCTGAAACGTGTGCGTAACATTGAAATCCAACCCTCACCGAGTTGTCAGAATGTTGGGGTGTGCAGTGGACGGTATCGTCTGGCAGGCAATCCCCCCGGAGGACCCTCACCGCCAATAACAGACCTAAAACCCTTAGATTCGGGTTTTAGTTCCTTGAGCACATTTGTCAACGCTCATCAGCATAACAACTCTGCGGGAAACCTCGTGCAACGATTGCTTCGAGGCATGTTAGCTCACAAGTGTATAAACATGCTCTGCACGGATGCTGTGCGTTTAAATCCCTTTGGCCCCGCCTTTCTACCATGTAAGAGCCCCCCCAACCCCCCCCCCCCCCCCCCACTGTAAAGCTGAGACGAGGAGCAGTGGGTTTTGTCATCCAGACCTAAAGAGAGAGGAGAGAGAGAGAGAGCGCCCCCTGTCGTCCACCAGCGGCTCCGCCAATGAACACGGCTCTTTCTTCTTCCCTTTCTTCTGTTCGCTGTCAAGGCCCAGAGGAGGGTAAGTAACAGTCGGGAAAAACCCGTCCACACTTCAATGCTCCGCAAGTGCCCGCCGTCGCCTTTGTGCGAATGCGGATGAGTGGGTCTCCGACGCCTCCGGGACTCCTGCAACAAGAAAAAATACCGACTTGAGCGGAGAAATCAGCGCGTCGCTGCTCCCCCACTGAACCAGGAAGAGAAAAGCCCCCGTCGCCCTGTCACTGTTTTCGGTGTTGTCTTCCTCGACGTGGTTTTAATTTTTTTTTAAAAAAAAAAGAAGGTAAACGGCTATCAAATTGGGGGTTGTTTTTTTTTCTTCTTCTTCTTCTCCCTCTCCCTCTCCCAAGAGGAGTTTGCCTCACGTCTGGGGGGTGGGGAGTGGGGGGGGGGGGGTGGGGATTCGTGATGTTTGTGGGCCCCTTGGAAGTGGAGCCCCCGAGGAAACGCAGTGAAATCGGGAGAAAACGAGCAAGTTTACAGGGCAGTTTAAAAAATGCAGACGGATCCTTCCAGTTTGGATGTGTTCGGGGCCTCTCCAGGCCTTGCACTGAAGAGGCAACTCACTTCACCGTCTTGTGATCGATGTTTATGTACACAGCGCGCCATTTAGGGTGTCAATGCAATGGCATACACTCTTTTATTTTTCACCCCTTCAATTACTCGGTGTCCCCCCCCCCCCGTCCCCCCCCCCTCCGAAATCTGTAACGTTTTTTGACACTCATCTTTCAGAACGTGTGTTTTTTTTCTTTCTTTCTCTCTGCAAATCCAGTGAAAGGGCACAAATAAACGCCTGTGTTTTACCCACACCAGGCACTGCCAAAAGTAACCAGACACGGTTTGCAATGGTCATGCAAAATGCCCACTCGTGTGCTGCTGAATTTCCAAGTAGAGATGAGGATATTTGAAGAGCAAGAGCTGTAAAATGTGCTGTGTCGTTTTAGGCAGATTCAGTAAGTCGAAAACAAATGTTATTTTAACCTGACAGTGTTTTTCCTTGAAATGCTCGCGGCTACAATCCTGTTACGATTTGGAAAAGTTCAAGTAACGACGTAAGGGTTTTGTCCGAAAAAAAGTGTTTCAATTATCTTTGATCCGGATTTTTGCGTCCGCACAATTTTTTTTCTCGCTTTCGAGCACACCTCTGCGGTAGTTTTAAGAAAGTTATTTTCCCTTTGCTGTGTTTTCTTCATTCTTAACTATCGGAGGGGCAGAGTCGCCTGAGCTGTGGAATGATTCACGGCTACCGTAACTGTTCTGGGCAACTCTGCCATTTTGTGCTCTCCCTAGTGGCTTGGGTAAGAATTAGTGAAACTTCGCCAACTTCAATTCCACTTAGGATTTGGGTGGACAGGGGTCATATTAATGGGTCTTTAATTTACACTATTCAGGAGGATCTCCCAAGTTTATTTGGGATCAAATACAGTAATAAATAAGTACAGTATTAAGGATGTTGGGTTTATGACTCTCGAGGAAAGGAGATAAAGCTGCAGCAGGGATAAACTATGAAGCTGCTTTGTCCCCAAACAGTAGTACAAATGACGTGTCTGGTGTCGGAGTCTGCTCATTGCTCAGCTAATTTAAAATTTTGAATTATTGTAAGGATGTAAAGTGGAGGAGTATGAACCAGCAATTAAAGAAGCATGGTACTTTCAGTTCATATAATGTGTGAATTAATGATGTCATTTGAATTCCCAGTACTCACAGTGAAATTGTACATCTTAGTGAGTGGAGGAAAGATAAAGTTTTAAAAGTTCCCCACGCAACAGCATGTTTTTAGTGCAATTTTTTTTCATAAATAGCAGACAAAGTACCATTATTTTTAAATTTACAATACTCATATTTACTGCCTGAGTGAGTAAATTGACTCACTGCTCGTTATGGCCTTGAGTTATATAGAGAAGATCCTCCAGATATGAATCCTAGTCCTTTTCGTTGGGCAGTCTTAGCCAAGAAAAAAGTTGTTTGTCCTTGTGTGGAAGGATAAACTGCCAACAGTTACTGGGGTCTTATTTGTAGGTTGTGTAAACGTGTACAAAAGGAATTACAGCTTCCCTTAATCATATAATATAAGAACCAATGAATAGGATGACAGAATCTCCCATAAGCAATTATTTTCATTAACGGTTAATTACAAAGTGAAGGTCACCTGCAATGCTCTCTATGCAGTTGTGTTTACGTATATTGAACATAACCTTCAAATTAGACACCACTCAATAGGAGGCAAATTGTGTTCATCCACTTTTATTCAGTATTTCTTCATAGTCAGAACGTTTTAAATGTTCTCCTGTGTTGGTGGTGGTCTGGCCCTCTCCTGCAGCTTACTTGACTTCCTTTGAGAATTTGGGAGGAATTTTCCAGGTCTTTCTTTTGCTGAATTGAGTTTTGTTTTTTCACTTTCCTCAAGAAGGGGAAGCATTAGACATGTCGGTATATATTGGTGGGAGGTGGAGAGGGGGGCTTCTCCTGGGAGTGGTCTCGATGGGTCCTAATATTGAGGTTTCCTATCCATGTAACACACTTTTTTCCCTCCAACATATAGTCATAAAGTCATTTATCAAATTAGGTATGTCAAGTTATTTCTGATTGGAAACCTGGCACATAGATTTTCTTTCCTATTCTGTGCCTTACCACCATTGTTCCTGGTGTTGAGGACAAACACAGAGCAACCCATTATAGCACAGTCATATGATTTCAGTATCAAAAAGATTGCATAATAACAAAGTTGGGAAAAAATGTCCAACTTCCAGATTATCAGGTTGCCAGTAACATAATTTCCTGTTTGCTGCATACAGAGTATGCACACTGTAAGGATACCTTTGAGAAGCAGTGATGGCACAAATGTTCAGTATGCAGGAAATGGCATCACTGTTGCTTCCTATACATAACGTGCATTCACACAAAGTACAGGAAGTGACAACTTGTCGAACTGGACGTTTGCCATTTTTTAGGGCAGGAAACTGGCTAGTCAACAGCAGCCCAGGAGCAATGTGAACAAATGTGCTGTTCAGTGCAGAATTGGAGCAAGAAAAGTGAGGAATCCACATGCTGTTCATTTCAGGTGTAACGGTATGTTGTTTTCTGGTAGTCTCTCACCCTCTGTTATGGACAGTACATCAACATGGATATACTGGATCCTGATGTTTAATCATTCATTTAATTATTCATAACACAAAATTACAGTTTATAAAAGTAAACTCTTAATCTTTCCCCGGTGAAGCTTTCTGGCATAGATGTTAATCCTGCTTTTAGCTGTCTTTTTGGGCATTTGGTGAGAATTGTGAATTATGTGGACTATATTCTGACATTTTGTGATATTATTAACCAATGTTAAGGATAGACACATAGATAGGAATAAATCTGGACAGGGGTTCGAATTGAAAAACAAAGTCAGTTTGATTTGGCAGCCTCAGTTTTCACTAAACTGTTTGAATTGTTTTATAAATTCCAAATCAGCACTGATGTAAACCAGACCAGCTTCAGTTGTATGTCCCATGTCAGTGCCAGGTGGATAATTTGCCAATGTAAACTAGCTGCAGACTTGTGATTCAGATCTTCTCCTAGACTGTCCAGTCTCATTGAAGCTTCCTCAACAACTGGTGATTGTTCACCGCCTGTGAAGAATTTAGTTTCAACAAATTATTCCAGGTGCATGCAGAGCCCCTAATACCAACAGGACAGTTCATTTGTGTGATTACTGGTTTACAGAAGTGCATCTTGAAATCAACTTCACTATACATAGATTGAAAGAGAATGTCCTTATTGAGAGCATTAAGATTAATCTTGACGTGCATTATGAGGTACGTGCGCTATCCAGGCTCAGTACATCAAATCTAATGGAGTTACCTCTGTTACATTGTGGGCTCTCTGGGGTAGCACCTCATCAGAGATGTTTAGTTGTTAACGTGCAGAAAAATAAGTATTAATTTTAAACTGAAGCTGCGTCTAGAGTGGATGTTTTGCATGCAGTCCAGTGGGCCAGCAGTGTTATTACCTGAAGGGCACGGAAAGAACAGTGTGAAACTGGAGCTTCAAGCCTACTGCCAGTCAGGCTCTAGTTGCCTGGGTGCAGATCAGTGCAGCTGTGTAATCAACCCCTGGAGTGAGTTTTGTTTGCACTAGCACAAATTTGGAATCATAATTTTAATAATCCTTGCATTTGATATAGCGCCTTAGCTTCGAGACGTCTTAAAATGCTTCACAGAATATACTGTAAAGTGAATTGACTGTATATTTTGTGGGGAGGAAAGCATAAATTGAACTGAATATACTGCATTTTTCGATGTTGGATTTCATCCAATTCAAGGTGACATTCAACCTCTAAAAACAAAATGTATCCTTGGCACAAATCTCCACAGACTCCTGAGAATTAAAGGGTTATTTTCAAAGATGAACTGAGTCATATGAGCTCTCCCAGTTTATGGTTTGATCGCTAGAATTTCAATATTGTGCTGGTCCTGTGTTCCGTAATTGAAGACTACAATTGAAGAGATGAAAAATGCTTTATAGTTTTTTTAAAAAAACAGATAAAATGATCTTGATTTCTTGTGTGCTGAGGATACAATCTTAATATTAAAAAAAGGCTTCACAAATCAAGATTACATCCTCATCTATTCATGTGTACATACTGTACAGTAACAGTGGTTGTTTAATAAATAACTATTGGTGCTGTAATTTCACCCTCCAAAACTGAAAATTACTCCAAAGAAACGCAATTGTCTGTTGTTTCCAATTTATGTTTGAATTTTAAAATGAGAGTAGTTTATTTTTGGATTTAACATTAATTATTTTGTTCTGGTTTCAAATCTTTCTTTTGGCACACTCTTTCTAGCTTGTATGCTGTTCGTACAGTATCCTTTAGGGATTTGTGAACCAGTTTTTCAGTTAGATTTTCAAGTCTGTTCAACCCCAAATGGCCCCCATTCTGTTGAATATGGGAGCTGGATCCAAACTATTTGCAAATGTAGTCATAGAATAGATACCTTATCCTCAGGATTTTGTTTGTTTGTAATTTGCATTATGCTAAACTTTATTTTATTTAAAGATGTTTATAATAAACTTGTTGCTCTCAGTTTACGCCCATCCTGACCTTAGGATCGTAACTCAGGAGGAGTTGTGTTTAGGGGCATTTGACTTTTTCACATGCAAATTGTGAACATTTCAACTTTAGCTATTTCACTCCCCACAATGATTGCATGGTTAGTTTCTGCAAACCACCAAGCAGTAACTAACTTAGCACAGACTAGTGTTTTTCCTAGTCCATATGGCTCTCTATCACATCACTTTGTAGATTAGAGAAATACCCCACTCGAATGTTAATTCAAAAATGGATGTTTATATCTTACTACACTTCGCTGAAAATGGTAAGAAGGTTACAAAAGTGCTGATTTTAAAGTGGAGGAGGATTGACGGTCACATTTTACTTTTCTCTCTTGAAATAAAGCTATGGAGTCTCCCATATCACCATTGGCCGAGAGTAGGAGGTTGGGAAACCGACCATTGCCACCCTAGAAATAGCCACTCTAAAGGTAAATGAAAGGAGAAGTGTTATTCTGACTTTTTTTCTGCCCTGCCCCTCCATTCACATAGGAAACACAATGAGGTATCATTAGAGTAGACTTCTATTTATCCTTACGTATGCAATCTGAGAGGAGGATAGGTCCTTAATACATTCTAACACCTGGCTCCAGATGCTGAGCATTGGCAGCAATCTGGGTTCCTGCCCATCACTGCTACAGGCATCAGGCCAGAACTTTGAAGCAAGAGAGAGAAATAAAAAAAAGATTAATTTGCCTTCCCCCCCACTCCTCTAACTTTCCCCCATTAAAAGTCCAAAATAATTAGCAACTTGTATCCTATTTGGAGTCTGAACGACCCACATCTTGCTGGCAGAACCTCTGCACATTCTTACTTATTTTCTATCGAATGAAATCAAATTATTAACATTCAGTTTTCAAGACTCTTGAGTCAGAACAGAAACAATGTGCTCCAGCCAAACTCCTCACCAGCCCCTGTCTACAAGCCCAAGTATCTAGGCAACGGGACGTGGAGGGATCTTTTGCAAGGATAAAAAAACAGCTGCTCCAGAACAAATCAACCTTTTACTGAAACGCCTAACTTTAATTACAATTTTTTTACGTCTGCATTGTGGGCTGATATTTTTTTTCTTTCGCCCCAACTTCCTCTCCCCCTCCCCCCACTTAGTAGAAGTGGAGGAATGACTGAACAAAGCTTTCTTCCATACTGTAAAAAAAATCCTATTCACTATTTATTGCATGAGCATTTTATTATTTAATCTTTGTAACATTACCACTATCCATTCTTGCTGCACGTTTGCTGCATCATTTAATTTTTTTCATAAGACTTTTTAAATAAAAATTAAATACAGGTGGAGTCCTGAAGCTCAATGGTTAGAGACTCATAGCTGAGTTCTGTCTTGTCCTTGCTTGATATCCACCACGTGCATTTTCCAGCAAGGAGTCATCCTAACAGCAGCTGAAACATCAGCCAATTTCTCCCTTCCCTAAGCCAAGGGGCAATGGTCCCGTTTACAGAGTCTCCATCCATTGCTGTTTTTGCTGAAATGAACTAATTCAGCTAATTTGATTGAATTACTCTGTATCACACTGGGCAATGAACTGGCATTGAAATATACCACTATGAATTTATGTAAACGTTAATGCAGCTGAAAAACAAATTAAAATTAAACTTGAAATTTTGCAATGTCTACAGCATCAAAACGCACTTCACAGTATTCATGGTAATTGCCATCACTTATAGTGACTTTTTTTGTAGGCAAAAGCAGCAGCCATTTTACTTGTACTCCCACAAACAATAAAGATGCAAATAATGGAATTAGCCAGAGGATTTTTGGTCAGGACTCCCTTCTCGTTTTGGTATTTAATGTCTATCTGAAGCCCAGGAAAATGTTTCGACAGTTTAGCATCTCATCTGATGGACAACATCTCGTTCAGCACAGCACTAAAGTCAGAATGCACATATAGTGCAGATAGATTAGTATTTCAGATAGGATTTAAATTAGATCTACCCCATGATGAATGTATTTCAGATATATTTTCTGAAATTGTCATTTTTACCTGTATTTGAAGTAAAGGTTTATTTAGTAAGATAAATTTGATATTTAACAGACCTATGTTCTAAAACATTGTATGTCAGATATAGTAGCTAATTACAGTGTTACAGCTGTGCCCATATATTTTAAGTCCAATACTTAAATTCACTGTGAAATGCAAATCCTGTGAACATTGATAAATGTGCAATGTATGTATAACAGTCGTATGTGTGATACTGGAATGTTCAAAGCAAATCCTTTCTGTGAATCATTTTGACAATATCTGTAAAACAGATTTTATAAATAGCATTTTATTTCATATTTCTAAAATTTATATTTTTCCCTTTGTATTTGTTTATATATAGTTGCCAGTATTTAACTCAGCTACATTTGGCTGCTGAAAGACTGCCATGATCAATTAACAATTCTCCCACCAATTCATTTCCTGCTCCCTATATTTAATATCCCGCTGGAAAGATCCCAATTCATTTTCCCTAAATCCTGAAAGATAATCAAGTAAAGTTCAAGAATATCAATGCATCCTGTATCTTCAGCCTTGCCCAGCTCCCCTCTCGTCCTGGAAACACTGATCATCATAGTCATCGAGTATGAATCCCTCTATTACTATACAAGTAGCTCTCATTCCCTATTGCAGAGATATTTATTCAAGATTTTAAAAAAAATCAGAAATGATCTCCCTTATTGTTCAGTCTATTTCACATATAAACCACTCAGGGTGTGAATATGTTTCATCAAATCTCTCTGGAGGATCATAAATGTACTTGTGTCTTCTAATTTTACACTCGTACATCAGGTTTAATAGCCTGCTTACATCTGCTTGATATCTTTCTTTCAACATGTATCACATCCTCTTTGCATAATCTGTTTTTCAAAATTCTGCTCTTTATATCTTCCTTTGTAACTTAGCCCCAAAGGCCTTGAATCACATTGTTAATCATGAAGGATGAGTCCATGTGTCACTTTCATTTTTATTACTGATTAACCGTTTAGTTTCATGCCTTATTAACTTGAGCTCATCTGAAACACAGTACTTCAACACACTTAGCAAATCTTGTCCCTTGGTAATTCACTGGCATGCATCTACATTTCCCAGCAGCACGAAGGATAGCTATGCAAAATTGGAGAATTGATGGCGGGGCTGGGTAATTTATCAATATAGAAGATGCAAAAATATGTACATAAACTAGATGTTGAAAGTGAGGAATTAAATGATGGAAAGGAAGAAAGAAAGTGGAGCTATTTTGTATTTTACCTGACAATTTTCAAATTGCTCAAACCACAGGAAAAGAAACATTGTTTTAGGTCAGTTTGCTTAACTGATGCACAATTTTATAATTGTGATTAAAGGTTAAGAAATGGAAATGATCTGTTTTTTACATTAAGTTTAGTATCTTGTAATGATCTGTACTTAAAGAGCATTACAATCTTTAGTACAGGAGTATATTCTACAGATCTGATCAGTAAGAGTCTGTACTACAACATTTTTTAGTCAAATGTTTTGTTTGTCTTGAGTTAATTTTATAATTGATTTAAAGGAAAGTGAAGCCCCGTAGAAAATTCAGTAATAGTGAAAGATATGAGCCCAAAGCTTTAAAGATCAAACTGAAAGGAAAAATTATTGTACACTTTGTGTGTGGTTGTTATTTTTAAAAAAGCTTAAAATTGTAATTTACTCACTTCCATCTCTCTGATTTATCCTAGTGTATTTAAAATACCATTGTTCCAAAGGTAAACACAACAGAAGAACAAGGAAGCAGCTCTATACATATGCTAACTGCTAATATGTTAACTTGAGAATAGATGGAAAAGTGGTGAGGATAACCTTTTATTGTTGACACTCACTCATTTGGTTTAGTATAATGATACAGATCTGTGTTTTTCTTGATTTTAAAAAAAATCTTATTCGGCACTAAAACTTTTACCATTTCCCTTAAAATAAAAACAACATAATTTTTAGAATGTGCTTTTTAATTTTCAGATAGCTGCAAAGGAGACCTAACTGGAAAAGAATTGTACAGGATAAGGTAAATGTAGAATTTAAACACTCTCGTTATACCTGCTGGCAAAAAACCTTACAATCCGATCCAGTTTCGTGAATTGAATCTAAAAATGACTAATAAATTGTTTTCTGTGCAATCATTCCATTCAGTCCTGTTAACTGAATCATTTTAGTTCACTCTTACAATGTCTTTATCTATCAGTATTCCTTCTAAAAATAAACATTTAAAAAATATATATATTTGTTAACTTCCAAGGGAAAGAAAATGAAGTGTGTTTTCTAATGACAACTGGCAAATCTGAATACATGCCACTATACGTAATTGTACTTTTAACTACTGGATTGCATACTCTGTAGATTAAAACAAAAATGGAGGAGTTCAACATCATTTATCTTTCAGTCTGTTTTGGGACACTCAAAATTCAACTTTTGTTCAAAGTAAATAAGGCCGCTGTGATGTGAACACTGCACTTCTACGGACTTATTTCAGTGACTTCGAGATACTGCAGTGTTTTTAGTGGAGGAGTCAAAGAAGTGGCTGCAGAGGCAAAGCACAGATGTGCCAGAGAAACAGTCCATCCGATCATCGGGAGGCTGGCCATTATCGGGTAAAACATTTCAATTAATTTTTTAAACTTCTGAAAGCATAACCCAGATGTAGTTGCAGAAGGAGTACTGTTATAAGATATTTGTAAGGGATTTAGCCAGGAATATCTTTTTTAAAAATAATACTGCTCCCCCCCACCTTGTTTATAACCTGAATTACACCTTCTTACCTGTGACTGTGATGTTGCATCATCTTTATTCTTTTAGCCACCTACAGAATTAAAGCCTGGTCAATGTTCAGTTAAATCTGTGGCAGAAATTATACAGGGAAAGTGTTTTAGTACTGCCTCCTATGAATTTCTAATATAATACTGTTCACTTTACAGGATTTGAATGCGTTCTTTCCGTTTGTTGCCTCATTTTTATTGGAAATGTTCTTTTTGATTATAGTTATGGAGAGCAAAAAGCTTGTCAGTGCAACTGATGCTCAGCACTCGGGGACATTGCTGAAAAGTCTTAATGAGCAACGTGCTCAAGGGCTGTTCTGTGACATTGCCATAATTGTGGAAGATCGCAAATTTCGAGCGCATAAGAACGTGTTGTCATCTGCTAGCACCTATTTCCATCAGCTTTTCTGTATCGACGGCGCCAGCAATGTGTATGGACAAGTCCTTGAACTGAATTTCATCAGAGCAGAGGTGTTTGCAGAGGTTCTGAATTTCATCTACAGCTCAAAATTAGTGCGCGTGGATGCTCTGCTTGTGAGTGAGTTAATACAGGCTGGGCAGGCCCTGGGGTTAAAGTTTCTTGCTGACTTGGGTGAATCTCTTGCAAAGGTGAAAGGAATGGCATCGGGTAAAGATAAGGCTGCTTCAGTCACAGATTCGAAGGCCGAGGCCTCAGAAACGGTTACTGGGGACCAGGCACTGAAATCCGAAGGCTTGATCATGCACTTTGAAGATGGAGAGCGAGGGCCAATTATCACCAAAGCTTTCTCCCTTGTCCAGCTCAGAGTTCAGCGATTCTAAAGCAAGCAGTAAGGCTTCATCCAACTGCGATGAATCTGAGGATAACGATGATGTTATTTTCTGCTCTGAAATTTCACCCCCCAAACCGCCCTCTAGTACAGTTATCAACAGTGCTGTGCAAAGACTTCTTGTTGCAAAAATGCCAGTCAACAGTGAGAGCTTGGGCGTTCAAACAAAGCAAATTACTCTGGTACCAGAGACTTCCTCTAAAGTTGGGGATTTTAAAGTAAAGATTTCTGACAGTGGTGCAGGGCTCGGGCAGAATAATGCACTTGGTCAACAAACGACAAAGACTGTAAATTTGAAGTACGTTCAGGAAGACAAACAGCCTTTAACTGCAGATAAAACTGTCGGCATGGATACTTTCTCAAAAGGCTGCAAAGTCTACGCTAACATCGATACAACCCCCAACACTTACCACATTGTGGTACCAAGCAAGGACGACTCTGCCAACTGTGAGGCTAAACAGAACAGGGAGCCTAAATCCCCTGAAAAGAAGCTGCTTCTTATTGGAGAACGAGTGTCCGGCGATAGAGGTCATTCAAGTATTCAACTCATACCAGACGATTCCGAGAATCACGTCAATAACTCGAGACCCCTGTTCATCAATGAACAGTGCTTTCCAGATGCAAAGCGGCTGAAAAAGGAACAAGATCATTACGAGCTAGTTGTGGACGGTCGAGTCTTTTATGTTTGTATTGTTTGCAAGCGGTCGTACGCATGCCTGACTAGCCTGCGAAGACATTTCAATGTCCATTCCTGGGAGAAAAAGTACCCTTGCCATTACTGTGAGAAAGTCTTCCCTCTTGCAGAATACCGTACGAAACATGAAATCCTCCACACTGGCGAACGGCGATACCAGTGCTTGACCTGTGGTGAGACCTTCATCAATTACCAGGTCATGGCATCGCACATCAGGTCTGTCCACAGCAAAAAGACGGGCAAAGGTGCAACTGAAGAAGAGAGTGTCTCTGACTCGAAACTCTACCGCTTGCTACCGTGTAAAACTCTGCAGATTAGGCAGTATGGGTTCCTGACGGCAGGCAGATCGGACTCCATGACTGGGATTAATGAAGATGGAATTGTTTATCATGTGGAAGATGATGATGATGCTGGGGCTTCTCAGCAGACCCCGGGAACCATAGCAACAAGTAAGCCAGCCAGTTGGGATGATATTTTTCCTCAGGACGGAACTCCGGTTTACAGGTACAATTCCTTAGATGGCAATTCTGAATTAGAGTTTGTTATACCAGAGTCCTTCCGAGAACTGGCATAAATTAATCCGTGCTGACTGACCAACCGAAACACAAGTAAGCAAATGGTTGTAATCTCCGATAAACTGCTGACAAGACATCCATTGGTGATATCAATGTACTAATAGATCAGCGAAACAGTCGTGTTTCAGGCAAACAAGAGGATTTCAGTGGCTGGACCATTGTATGAGTTACAATTTTTTTTACTTTCCTATTAAACATAATGACATGAATCCGGTGTGCATCATGAATGTGAAACAAAATCGAGTTAAGGACTTGTTGAACTAGAAATGCAGTTGATACAAGAGGTTCCATCAGAAGTGGGGAGAATGGGCTTTCGTTTCCCATGCTCACTGTAGATGAGGTTTGTTGTTTCAGCTTGCGCTGAGCAAACAGTCGACAGACACTCAGAACTATATTTTTAAACTACACATTTCTGGTCAGAAACTGAATTTGCGGAAATTGTGTGTGGCAGCACTTTCATTTGACTTCTTTACAGGGCTGGGATACAGGCTGTTTTTTTAATTGTTGAATGTTTTTTGGGAAAGACCTTCTGAACTGCCCTCCCATAAAATATATATATTATATATATATATATAGTGGATCACTACTTGCCAGTATCATACATACCTAATCATAAAATAGAGCTCTTCTTCTGAAGGGATTTCCAAGCATGTTTTGAAAATGATGGCTCACAGACGAGTGAGATTTTGATAAGAAAGTGTTTGTGCTTAGCTTGGAAACAATTTTCACTGAACAAAGTTTCCGAAGGGCGTGAAACTTTGTTCCAGCTCTTATTGATCGTGCTGGACAGGCGCTGGACTCCTGCTGCTGTAGATATTACATGCACCAACAAGTGATACTGGCTATTAGGGGTGGGGGGAGAGGGTCATTGGTCAGATCCACATTGACACGATCATAGTACAGCTCAGAAAGTCCACGGTCCTTTTTCTAAACCAACACGGCTGCTCTTGATTGTCTTGCAGTGTTAATCATCCCTTCATTTTTATAGTAACAATATACTGTAGTATCCATTTGAATTAAGAATGTGCCTAATTAAAATGTTAATACATATACAATGAACAGGGGGATGGTTGGGGAGACAAAATTGATCCGCCAAATGTCAATGGACTGGATAACCTACAAGTCCACTGTAAAAGGTGAATTATTTTGATTGTCGCCATGTTCCTAACTTGCTTTTGTCTTGATTATATGCAGTTTTGATTAAGTCTATTAAATTAGATGCTAATGCAGCGCTTTGGGATGAAAGCTTTTAAATTGAGAGCCAATGTGAAAATTGAACTGTTCTCTACAATGTCTGAATTACACACAATATGCATGCTAAGTAAGATTTTTCTTGGCTAAATTTGACTTTCAGGCATACCCTTTTCCTGTTTTTCGGTAAAGTGCAACAGCTGTGGATATGCCAGTTTGTATTTTTTTAAGAAGCAATATCCAGCTTTCTAGTAGCGAAGCTGCCTTTCACTGTCATTTCATGCAGGTTTAGAAACTTAATTTAACATTTTGAGTAGTGCTAATGTCACACAAATGCATACTCTGGTGTTCAGAAGGAGGGGGAATGCAAGATGCTTGTGGCATAGTGTCTGTCTGGTGTATTTTAATGATTACTCTTTTTACTCGAGATGCTTTCTCTACATAAAACAAAAATCCCAATCAAAAATTCAATTCAGAATATCTTATTAATTTGAATGTCATATTTATAGTAGAATGTTTTTAAACCAGTCTATCACCACTCATTTGTTCATTGCCATAAGAAAAAATATACTTCTTTCTTGAAATTCTGTACAATGCACCTCATATAAGCTTTCATGTTAAGTACTGTATGCTTAACAATGTTGGAACTGTGTTTTGTAGGAAATCTCTGTTTAGTTCCCACTCAGAAAATAATTCTTAGCAAAATGATTGTTTCCTTGTAAATGCTTTTACTGTATGGGTCAGGATTGTACATATTATGCTTCACTTTTATTTTTTTTATCAAGCCATGGCCTCTTAAGTTTTTCAAAATATAGAAAAGTAATAAAAAATGTAAAAGAAATAGATCATTATTTTGTTTGTAAAAGTTTTGCATGCATAGGCTAGAACAATAACTGCAGAATAGAAAATCTTTTTACACTTGATTGAAGTAATCTTTTTCTAATTACCTGCAGATTGGCAAACCAATGTAATGTCTTATTGTGCAAGCAAGATTAATGCTTTTGTACCAGTGAAAATAATAAAACTACTAATATATGTAAATATAGTTGTAATAAAGCTTCTTCCTTAGTATATAGGGTATCATTACGTCACTTTTTAGTTCCTTTCATTTTGAGCCTTAGAATGTAAGTTTATTTATTGTATTTGCTCTTTTGATGATGAAAATAAAACTTTCAGAAAATATGGATTCCTTTCTTGTATGCTGTTACTGTTGTCTGTAACATCTGATTATTAAACAGAGTTCAAAAACTTTATATCTTCACCAAAAACACATTTGCAACAATGTTCACTCCACGACATTGAAGAAGACAATTAGAATGTTTTGTCTTTTCAGTTACTTTTGATTTTCTACTTTAATTTCTTGAATAATTGGGGGAGAGAGAGAAAAAAAACACATGCCAAGCATTCAGTAGGGACAGAAAAGGATAAAAATGTCCCAACTTTGTTTTCTGAAATCTGACCCGAAATCTTACAATATAATTGATCTCAATGTTCACAGTGGGAGTGAGACAACTGAGTCACTTTTTCCTACTCAACCCAGTGAGCTGCCGCCAAGCGAAGAATAAATGGACTTACCTATAATTACAATTCTTTCAAAAAGTGAAGGGTTGAAGAAAAAGCAGTCTTATTTAGAGGTTAAGTGCACATCATTCCTTTTACTTACCCACACATTCCCTTTTAACTAGATTTTAAACCCCAACCGTACCTTCTCATGAAAAATTCCCTTTACTGATGGCCTTGGGTTGAATGCGAGTACTGGCATTTCTGTAGCGTGAAAGCACAAATAAATGAAAAGACTAGATTCCTGGGATTCCATCAAAATATCTATCCTGTCCTGAACTTCTCACATCTGTTGGTGTCGTAGAACGCAGTTAAGGCACAAAACTTTTGAAAATCGTACAGATATTAAAATGCACATAGAAATCGTGTATGACATGAATCCTTTGTCCCAGATCACAAGCCCTGGAACAAGTGAATCACATTCTCTCTACAGAATATGTTTCTTCTTCCACATTACCCCCCCCCCCCATCATAATATAATATTTTTTGCATTTGGTATAGTGCCTTATATTGAGACTTCTCAAAGTGCTTCACAGAATATGTTACAAAGTGGTTTGACTATTTTGTGGGTGAAACACGGCAGCTGATTGTGTCCCACAAACAGTTGTGGATTGAGTGACCAAATTTTTTCTTGTTTGGAGGATGGGAGGAAGGGATTATTACCTCGGAAAGCGATCCGCCAATCGACTAACAACTATTTACTGCTCGGTAAACAGGCATGTGGAGTAAGGAAATTTGCCTAAAGGTTTGCCCTGCCCAGGAATCGAACCCAGTTCCTCTCGCTTTACTGGTTTTACCCCCATCTGCACAGATGTTTCATGAACCCTAAGGCAATTGAGCACAAACTCCTAGAATATTCATCCATCCTTACAGCTCGTCTGTTCAACCATGACCTCCTTCCCTTCAAGGGCAACATTTCCCTCCCTCTCCCACCCCTCCCCCCTGGCTCAGCCCCCAGCGATATAGAAATTTGTGGTATCCTGTGGAGTATTTGTTCATCTCGGACTACATCTATTCCTGGATCCTCCAGGGCTACTCTCGATCAAGTGCGTACTTCTTTTTTGAAGGAGAAATAATCCTGTTGATTTTAAGTCTTGCACAACTTGTAAGAATGCAGAATGGAAAAACCTGTCTGCCTGCTCAGGTGCACGTTAAAGAGCCCGCCCCCCCCAAATAAAATTGGTCACTCGTTCCATGGCTATTTGTGGGACATTGCAATGCACAATTGTATGGCTGCGTCTACACAGTCACTCCATTTCACAGTAATTCCTGTGAAGCGCTTCCAACGTGATAAGGCGCTTTACCAAATACCAAGGATGATTATTATTATTAAGTGCCGTCGTTTGGATGAGACATTGCCTAAGGTTTATGTGTTGTAGTGATTCGGGTGAATGTTAAAGATTATTAAGTAATTCAAAGAGCATTGCATTCTCTCCGTGTCCTGTCAAGCGCTCTGGGACGCTACTCTGCCTGAAGGGCGCTTTATAAATGCAAGTTGTTGCTGTTTTGTCATTGAAGAAATATACAATCCAAATCTGCAAGCGCAAGCTCCTGCACTTTGTTGATATTATCAAGAACCAAGGGTGAGTTTTATGTATCTGTGGCTCAACCAATGCCTCATCCCATAACCTGCTCTGTCAAATGGCTTTTCACAGAAGCCACACAGTTCTCAGTTCAATTTAGCGAGCCTGAAAAGGAATCAGTTAATGAATGAGCTTTTGTTGAGGCACAATGAAGGTGAAGGCAGGAGGTTTGTTTCTCTGGTTGTTGCACTGCCAATCAGGACATTTTCGCAATCATTTATATTTCTTGGATATAGTAAAGTTGAACTGATAACCAATACGTCCTGATTCGCAATTTGTTCATCAAATTATACATCACACTCAATGGGCGAGGGATAGTTTGGTGCCTTAGAGCAGGGGAGGGAAAACAAACCCCGCAGAAAGGGGCTTCTTCCCCCACCCCCAACTCATTCCCGAGGAATCAATGTCACGAAAGGTAGAGCCCACTGAGCGCAGGATGGTGAGACCCTGTGGGAGCAGTCTATCCGCATTCCTGCCAACAACAATCCCAAACATTTTAACCCATTCCTGCCTGCTCCCCCTCCTCTCAGGAAAGCGTTCAAGGGTACTAGTACCCCTCCTATGTCTGTCAATAATGTGGGAGCCCAGTCAGTGAATGTGGCTGCTTATTTGAACCAGGGTGTGTGAGGGTGGGGGTGGGGGGAGGAGTGGGGGGAGAGGCTGTTTATTTAAACCTGGATGAGGGTGGAGAGGTGTGGTCATGATGCTTAAATTGGGGGTAATATAATAATCCTTATAATGTTTGCATTTCATATAGCGCCTCATCACATCATTGAGGTGTCTCAAAGCGTGTCACAGGAATTATTGTACAGTGTAGTGACTGTATTTTGTAGACAAACACAGTAGCCAGTTTGCACACAGCAATGCCCCATCAACGGTCATGGAGTAAATGACCAATTTTAACTGCGGAAATTGTTGGCCAGGACACTGTGAGAAACCATTTTGCCAACCAGTGTAAACAGTGACGAGCTGTGCAAAGTTAGCCGGTTAAACTCCAGCAAGTGCTTCCTATCTAGATGCTAGAGTCCTCAAGCCTTTGCAACTACACAGTTCGGTAAGTGGGGTGCGTTCCTCCACATTTAGTGTACACCGTCTATTCGAGACATTTCTACGTGTGGAACACTCAGTCTGGTTTGGTTACTTTAAAGCATGGTAATAGGTTTCTGTGGTGTATCAGATGCTCGGCCGGCCCAAATAAATTCTCAGTTCCTAAAGGGTTAACTAAGCCCTATTGCATTCACGGTTGCAAGAATGTTCCCAGGAGAGGGCCCTCCCTCCTCCTACCCTTTGAAATGTGGTGGATAGTGCAGCGAGGGGGAAAGAATGAAAACCTGGACTCCCATCTTTGAGTTTGCCTTTTGCTGGTTCCTTTATTTATATATTCCCATCATTTCTGCCATCGTTTTACTGCCCTTTTACTTTGCCTTTTGTGGTTTGCTTCTTTCTGCAGACAGCGTGGAAAAGGAGATGGAACAGCTGGCTGAGGAGAAGATGTAGGGAGGGAGAGGAGAGAGGGGGGGCTGGGCGGGGAGTTGTGGTGGGGGGTTAGGAATAGAAAGCGAGCTGAGCTAGGAGTGTGAAAAATGGCTGGGAGTGAAAAAGAACTGGGCTGGGAACAAAAAGAGACCTTTGGGGCTGACGGGAGAACATATGGAGAGGCCAGAAGGACAGAGCAAGAGAAAATTGATTTCCCACACATCCACCTTTGGCACAGCGCAGGCAAGGGCTCAGCTTTGCTGGACAGACTGTGCAAACAGCATTTTTTTCTCTCTCAGCGAGAAAATGGGGATTAATGCTGCAGTCGTGCATTGTGGGAACGTTCCCTACACTTGGCATTATGTTTACGCTGGTTCCCAAATGAAATATCTCAAATTTACAGCATTTTCCTGTAATGTGGAAAGAATTGACGTATATATATATATATATATAGAGAGAGAGAGAGAGAGAGAGAGCCTGGCTTGGTCAGGCCATTGTGAAGGTGAATTTTTCTGCCTAGAAATCTATCACAGCTTCAACCTCATTGTGAGAAATATACAGGGATTCTTCTCCAACCCCTCTCCCTCCTATTTCTTTGCATTACTGTGTCTTAAAAATGCAAGGATTATTATAATAAAATGGTCATAAAGAGATCTGGCATTGCAATGACCAGAGGTGTGTAATGGACTGGGGCTTGCCAAACCCATAACAAACAGCCTCACTCACACGCTTTGTTTGCAGAATTCAGAAAATATTGAAGGTTGTGCAAAAAAAGATTTCCGCCCAGCAACACTTTTCATATTTTTAAACGCCCTTATTTCCTATGTGCAGCAAAATACAGTATGAAAATACAGTAGATAAATTGTCTTTATTTTTTCTGTTGAGTGTGTGTCTCTCTGGGATAGAGTGCACTTGCCACTCAAGACAAAGAGAAATTTCAATATTCTGCACTGCAGCCTATTAATCTCTTACCTGGCTGCACTGTAATCATAGTTGCAATTAGCGTTACCGGCCTCTCCCTCCCTCTGCATTGGAAAGTCTTGAATCCTAATGCCCCTCAGTACATTGTACAATTCTAGCACCCTGACTCTATTTTCATAGCAAATTGCTTCAAGTTCAGGAATCATCCTGGCTGTTTTCCTCCCCCATGCACCTATTGCTGATAACATATAAACCACAAAGCTTAGATTTCAGGCTTTTGATAATGTACAAAATGGAAAAGAGCAGAACTGATTGAAAGCAAGTGCGAAACAGATGGAGGAGCAGCTTTGCCTGGGAGTGAGAGAATAGGTCACGGTTATTAAAATATGGACACTGGTCTGAAGAAGGATGCAAAGGTTAAATGTCCAACAAAGTACCAGGAGCCGTTGCCCCTTTTCAATGCAATGTAGGAAGCAACACAACACAAATCAATTTGCAGTCATGTAAAATATTCTGAGTGTGATCTCAACTTATGTGTTAGTGGGTGTAAGTATAATTATATTATTACATGTATACTATTTAATTCTGTTTCCTAATTGCCTGCAATGTTATCACCATCTTGTGAAGTTTGCAAACTGTGAATGCATCACCAACAACAATCCCTGGAACGTTTTCCTGATCTGCATTTTCAACATCTTCCATTTTCCTCAACTGTCTTTTCTTTCCCACATTCAAGCCATGACCCGCTCTGCCTTCCCTCACCATTGTAACATCGCCCGACTCTGCCACTACCTCACCCCTCAGGCCGCTGAAACTCGTGTTCATACCTTCATCACCTCCAGGCTCAACTATGCAAACGCCCTACTTGTCGGCCTTCCCAACTCCTCCCTCCACAGGCTGCAGATAATCCAGAACTCTGCAGCTCGTGTCCTCTCCTGCACCAAACTCCGTGACCCCATCTCCCCCACTCTCGCCCGACTCCACTGGCTCCCTGTCCTTCAGAGGATCCAGTTCAAGATCCTGATCCTCACATACAAAGCACTCCACGGCCTCACCCCATCCTACCTCTGCGACCTCCTAACCCCCTAACAACCCGCCCGCTCCCTCCGCTCAGCCGGCTCTGGCCGCTCCACGTCCCCTGACCCACCCGCCCCACCATTGGCGGGAGAGCCTTCAGCGACTTTGCCCCCAACCTCTGGAATTCCATCCCCCAGTCACTCCGCCTCACCCCCCCCTTAGCCTCCTTCAAGTCCTGCCTCAAGACCCTCCTCTTCGACCATGCCATCGGCCACCCCTCTTCCCCTCCCCTTCCTTCTCCCCCCTGACCCCAGCTCGGGTCTGAAATGCTGTACACTGTCCAACGCCTTGGGACGTTCTCCCGACGTGAAAGGCGCTATACAAATGTAATCTTCTTGTTGTTGTTTCCCACATTTTATTTCTGAAGAGCAATTACAGTACCAAGATTTTTTTCCTGCTTATGTAATTGATGGCCAGGAAACCAGGAGAAGGGAGTTTCTCTCTCCCAATGTCCTGACCAACAATCCCCCAAATAAGATTGGTCACTGACTCCTTAGCTGTTTGGGGGACATTGCCATGTGCAACTTGCCTGCTGTGTTTGTCCACAAAACAGTCACAGTATATCCTGCGTAACGCTCCCAATGTGAAAGGTACCCTACCAAATGTAAGGATTACTATTATTGTTATTATTATTATTATTATTAATAAATGCTTCCTAACATTTCAGCACCTTGGGACGTCCTCCCGACGTGAAAGGCGCTATATAAATGTAATCTTGTTGTTGTTGTTGTTGGACAGAGAGGATGAACAGATAAACTTGCCAATGCAATTCTTTACAAAGCCACAAGAGGATGCGCAAGAGTAACCTGGGTCCATTTGTCAGCCAGTTTAATGTCCCAAGCCCAGCACAGAAGCGTTGGACCTCTCAAGGGCAATATTCAGCCACAAACAAGATAAGAGCATAATTTGTGTGAAGAGCAAAATATCCTGAGAATAAAATGTGAAGCTTTATTGCAAGCTGTTTGGATGCAGCAATGACATGTTTCTGCGCATTTCGGAGCTGCAGCACTGGCCACAGCTGTTCAAAAATGCAATAAAAGACAGCAAAAGTGACACAAATCTGGTTTAAAAATCACAATTATTTAATGGTAAAACTCTAAATATCTGAATTGGATTGTGTGTGTGTGTGTGTGTGTGAAGGAGAAATGGGGTAGGGGGGCGGGGGAGGATCATCACAGATAAACCAAACCTGAAATCCAAACACGCCCTTCTTAGCAGAGGATTTCCAACATAATATAATACAGGATGCCCACTATAATAAGGGATATCCTCCATAAAGGAATTTGCAATGCAAACAACAACAACTTGCATTTATGTAGTGCCCTACACGCGGAGCAGGGTCTCAGAGCGCTTAGGCTTACACGGAAACTGTGCTAAAGAATGTGTGGTGACCGTACCTTTGGTCTCCCTCCCACCTCTCTGCCTTCCCTCACCCCTACACCACCCCTCCCCCGTGCTCGGGCCCCGACAGCTGACTGTTCAGCGCTTTGGGACGTCCTCCCGACGTGAAAGGCGCTCCATACATGTAATTTTGTTGTTGTTGGTGGTGGTGTTTTTGAGGCCTGGCCCTTGATTCAATTTCTTTTGGACCTATTCAACACCGGGTTTACTGATTACCAGAACGATGCAATTCGAAACCTGCTGTTCAAGCAGGATCTAATTTCACCTGCAAACAAATTGTGCTAGCTCTTATGCAATTTACTTTGCACAGATGTGAAACAATCTCACCCATTTCTATCAGCACCTCCCAGCTACATGTTAGAATGACCTGCTTTAAAAAAAATTAAGGATACAGCTAAATTAGAAAATAACACATGCTTCATTTTCAGAAGTTTCATTTCTGTATCACTTGTAAAGTAGTACTGCGAGACAATCATTGAACTGTCTGGGGTACTTGGTGCTACGATATGCAATCCCTTATTGTTCCAACAATCCATTGACCAGGCCGATAAAGATGCCAGGAAATTGCTCGAATTGAATTTCAGAACATCTTTAATAATCCTTGCACTTGCATTTAATCCTTGTATTTTTGTATTTTGTACAGCACCTTATCACGTCTTTCTCACTGGTGTCTGAGGCTTGTGTTTTCCAGTCGATAATGGTTTGCCCATGTGACTTTGCCCCACGTTCCTTGCTCCTAACCTAACGAGACGTGAGGCGGGCTCACAAAGAGAAAAGGTGGAACCCCAAAACAAAAGCAATGAAGCAAAAAGGAAACATTTGTAATAAATTGATATCATTATTATTTTATTTTGGATTTAGACTGACTCACTTTCTCTTCTCAAAAAATAACAAAGGAGCCTTCCACCTTATAAACTTCTGAAATGAATCCAGCCAACGCACGGAATTCGGGCACCATCTATATCTACTCCTCTCAATGATGTTTTCTCACTGAGTCTGTTGTGTTCAAATGTTACTCTTACTGATTGCCACTGAAGCATTTACTGTGGAAATGGTCTCTCCCTCTTTGAGGCCTCGCTGATAGATATTTAAACCACTCAGTTATTCTGCAATTAATTGATTAATTAATTAATTAATCGATCAATCTTTTGGTTGCTAAATAGCCTTTCACAGCCTTCAAAAACATCTGCATTTCTAAAATACATCTGGAAAAATAACTAATTTCTAAATATTTATGCTGGTTATGAAACTATATTTGGGTAAATACTGTATAAAGAATGATATTCACAATATTCATGCATATATATTTACACACAAAAATGTACACTTGTCACATTCTACCACTGCGGTCCTTTGCTTTTTCAGATGGTTAGTACATGAAACCGCTGCCCTGTTAGCTAAAGCAGCATACTAATCTCTAACCAGAAGGCTGTGAGTTTGAGTCCCATAATTATCCATCAGTTAAACAGTCTTATAGAGTTCCATGTGAACAGTAGTATCTTCAGCCCATGTAGCAGGGATTTGGGCCGGGCTACAATTTTTGTCTTCTCCCAGTTGGATCAAGCCCCATTCCAAGCTGGCAGTGAAGCAATATTGACGATGCTTTGCAGAAATGTATATACTATATTGCGTAACTTCCATTACTGAAGGAGGAGGTAAGAATCAGAATAATCAGAATTATCATCTTCCCTGTAATTATGCCTTGCGATGTAAGTGGCTTCATCTTCAGAAGATAGTCAAGCCTGGCTCTAACAGCGCACCTCTTCCCAGATCTCCTGTGTACTCAATGTCTTTGGTCAGCTTGTGTTGCCAAACCTCTCTAGGTTTACTTACGGTTTCAGAATTTGGTCTCGTAACACATCCATTATTTTGTGACTAATGGAAAGTTATTCCAATTAGTATTCCCTCTCAATTTCTCAAATGCAATCTTTCCTACGAGCTGGTATCCCAGAAATAACTTGCTCCCCGTCAAAGCAGCTCCATAAATAACATTGAGGTGTTGGAATAATGAGGAGAGACTTCCATTTCTGAACCTTCAATTGGCTTCTGCCCTCCGATAGACCAAACTGTGATTTGCAACCCCACAACACAACAAGAGCGCACCAGCCCGTGAGGAGGTAAACAGGCTGATAATTATTCGTAAAAATTGGATTAACACTTTTTTTTCCATTAAGAGTGACACTGAAACAGTAACCTAGATATTTATGAAAATTCAATCGGCAAAAAAAAAAATCCCAGAGGATATTATGATATAAGACAAACTAAAAATAAGATTACTCGTTTCAAATTATGTATTTGGAATCTTAGCCATTCCATATTTTAATTTTTTTTAAATTTTGAAACCTGGCCCGGTGTAAAAATCGCTTATGATCTAGCAGAGAATTAGCACACCATGTTCTAACAGCTAAAGACTAACATGCCCGTAACAATCCACAGCGGAATAATATTCTCATGTTTCCCTGTACAAAGTGAATCACAGTGAATGAGCGATATGCACAAGGAAAGGTTGCAAAATGGTCCATATGCACAGTGTTCTCACTCGAGAGGTTCTTCGAAAAGACCGGGGTCTGCACCTGCAGTGAGAATAAGGCGAGCTTAAGGAGTGTAGGGTGGTGGCTTCTCATCTGGTGGATAGTACGTAGGGGAGTAACGGGGAGGAGCATTGGTTGGCCACATGTAACTTGAAGCAGACTGTGAGATAGACTGGGACTCGTCAGATGGGGTGGAGTCTGGGTACAAACCGGGATGCTGGTGTGGAAGAGAAAATTGCAAATGTTATTGTACAGTCAATTCACTTTATAGTAAATTCTGTGAAGCGCTTTGGGACGTCGTGAAGACGTGAAAAGCGCTATATCAAATGCAATTATTATTATTATTACTGTTAAGGACTTGCAAACAAAATTAGTGCAATTCTGTCTGTATGTTGACCTTTCCATTCAGCTAACTCAAGCTTGTTGCCCACTCCCCCTCCCCCCGCTGCAATCTTGTTGCCACCGGTGGCAAATGCCAACAGGTAACCTTTTGTTTAATTTTTTCTATTGATTTTTCTCTTCCCACCCCTCGCTCAGATCAGCTAACGCAGCACGACTACGTATCAGACCTCTAGTCGTCTTGTTCTGTTCCGTACAACTCAAGACCGCAGATTTAAAAAGAACATGCAATTAGCGAACATTATCGAAAGAAATAAATCATTGTCACAGATGCAGTGCAAGAAGAAAATATACTACTAAATATACAACAACAACTTGCATTTATATAGAGCCCCCTCAATGAACTTTCTGATGGATAACTGAGGTACAGTACCTGAATATCATATGGGCTGTAGGGTGGCAGGTGGGGAGATCCAGGATAAAATTCTGTATAGGCCAACACCTGATGTCCAGGTTCATACATTATAGGAGGAGGTGGGGGCTCAGGTGCACATATAATTGGAGGAGTAACAGGTATCTGCTGGAGTAACATCAGAGAACAGTATGTCAAACCATTTTGTTGCACAGGTCTAACACTTAGCTGTGATATCATCACCAAACCTGTCTACAAAATCTGTTTGGTTTGAGAGGTAAATTGCTCTGATACTTTAGCTCAATCTCAGATATAAACCAAATTACAGCTATCACCAGATCAGCTTTATATTGCAACATCACAAAACTAAGTCACTGTAACTGCACAGTTTATGGTTACAAAACACTGAGAAGTTTAATGTTACTTGTCCAATAAGGAATAAGTTATCTGTTAGTACTTTGGCTCATGGGGCTGTTCAAAAGAAAAAGAATGTGAACTGATATCAAAGCAGTTTGCATAAAAAGAACACAAGGAAGTTTAATACCATATCTTTAAAGGCTCCGAGGACTGCTGCTGTGATGATTCCCAGAAACAAACCCACGATATTCAGGATGGTTGAAGACCACAGTAGATGGTACAGTTGAATGACCTCCTGGCAACTTCCAACATCATTATATTCATAATAACCACCTAAGATTTCACGACTGCATTGAAAGAAGAACGACAAGATGAGAAAACCTTTATGCAATGCCAACAACAACAACAACAATTTGCACTTATACAGTTGCTTTCACACTAGAAAAACATCTCAAAGCACTTTACAAAGTCTGAGCAGGAGTCCTGTAGCTCCGAGATACCTGGGTTCAATTCCAGGCAGAGGGCGAAACCTTGGGCAAGTTTCCTTACTCCACACAGAGCCTAATAATAATCCCTCCAAAACAAAGCAATAATAAATTGGTATTTTCAATCCACAACTGTTTGTGCGCAATTGGCTGCTGCGTTTCGCCCACAAATATACGGTCAATTCACTTTACAGTCTATTCTGTGAAGCGCTTTGAGACGTTGAGAAGACATGAAAAGCGCTATATCAAATGCAAGGATTATTATTATTATATATTATAAGTTGGAGAGGTGAGGGTGGGGGAAATGATGGCCAAAGACAGAGTTAAAGAGATAGGTTTTGAGAAGCTCTTTTCACCCTTAAACAGTGACAGATTTCTCTGTTAGTCCTGTCCATTCCTTCCTATCATTGACCAGCGAACCAAATGAATGGTCTGTGTGAAATACTCCCAACACATGTCCAATCAGTGAGATTGATTTGGAGAGACAGCGAGGGCGAGACAAGATTGTTACCTGGTTGGGAGTTAAGTGATCCCATGTTCACTTATGCTCTGCACAGTAGCCCATCGTTTTCGCATGAACTGTACATTATTCATCCTTAACCATTTCCTTTCAGTGCCGTAAACATCTCCTTGATGCAAAAGCAGCTCACATAAACCATCATGTTCTCCGTAGAGCATTTGATCATCTCTATCTGCAATAATCCATAAAACCTTTGATCTCATTATTGTCTTCAGTGAGCGAAGAGGACCCTTTGTCGCCAGGTTAAGTAATTGCCAGAATAATGGCGTCTGGATGCTAAATACAACATGTTCATTTCCTACAAACAAAGAGAGCCTAATGGATATCTGTAGATTAATTGAAAGCCAGCAACCCACTTTAGGGTTTTCAACGACAGTACAACCCATGAGAATTATGTTCAAGTGATTTTTGTTTATTATGCAAAGCCCAGGTATTGGCTGACTGCCTTAAATTTAATCAGGATGTGGAGAAAGAACATTGTCTGGGATTCCTGTATATTTGCTGTTAGTCCCGATACTATGGGCAGGGCAAGGCATTAACCACTGAGTGAAAGAGAGAGAGAGAGATGCAGCTTCCCTGCTCTTATTGTTTATGTAACTAATATATTGATTTGTTAGACCGTTAGCTGTATACTCTGCTGACAGTAGAGGTCTAATAATCTTGAATTACCAATGGGATTTAAGAAAAATTGGGAAATCGACAAAATTAGAGGCCTTTTCCATGCCCTCTCCCCATGCACGTGAAACCATCAGTGAGTATATGATAGCCTGGAATCTTTCTCCTGATTGTCCTGACTTGTATTCCCCAATCGAAATTTACGTCCAAATTCAGATTAATTAGCTACTCGTTATTTACAGGAAGTTGCTGTTCCTATACAACTTTCGCTTCTAATCAATTATGTTTTGGGATGTGCTTTGAAATGCTTATTTTTGCTGCAAGGTGCAATAGTATCATTATTACAGTTCAACTCAGTCCCCTGGCTAAACAGCTGATCGGATATATTTTATGCTGGGTGGTTTTACTGACCCCATCAAATCCTTTGAGAGTCAATCAAATTTGCACAACCTAGAAATAATTATCTGGTGAGAATTGTGAATCGTCTTTTACAGGGGTTGAAGATGGGGAGCAAATCCCGGGCCTCAAATTGATGCAGTAAAGATACTCCTTTATTTCGGACTTTTCATGACCATTTTAGCAATGGTTAGATTGAGATTCTTTCACAAAGGAGCTCCTTAGAGATTTAAACTGTAACCTCAATCGTTTTACATAATTTGTTTTGACAAATCAGTCATGATTGGTGGTTGCTGTTACGTTTAGCTGTTCTGGATAATTGCACACGGGCTTGGGCTTCTTGTTCTCCATTGTCACCCATTCCGGGAAACACTTTAATCTCTGTACCTGTTTCAACAAAAAAAGCCTCCTGTCGTCTTCATGTTTAAGAGTTTATTCTGAGCAACTCTGAGCTGTTTACTTTACCCACACATTGACATCACTCTGTTAACCATTGGGGGATACATCTCTTGGGTCTTTTCCAAGGAAGGAAGAGGATTCGCGTCCCAAATATTTATTGTTGCCTGAGATTTAATATCATTACATCACATTATGTAATTCCGTTTGATTTCCTCTAGCTTTGACGATTGACACAAGGACCCTCAAATAATTCATGATGTTTTTTGTCTCCCACTCCTTCAGCTAAATGTAAGTGGCTGCTTCTCCCACTTTAACTATTCTCCTCCCTCACCCCCTACCTTAGCTTAGTCAACACCATCAATAAGGAATTTATTGCAGGAAACTTGCAAAGCAGCTCCTTCTAGTGGCTCATCAACAACATGTCAAGTTTATACGGTATAAGTCTTGAGATCCACTCCACCACCTTTATCCTCTTAGCTCGATAATACTTAACAGGGGTGCAGGTTAATTAAAAAAAGTGGAGATAATGAGTTTCGTAACATAGATGTTTTGTAACTTAGATGTCTTCCTTAGTGCAAAGTGATTGGTACAATGAAACGTTTAAAATAATAGTCTTTGCATTATAATAACCTTTGCCCTGACATATCACCAAAATGTCTCAAAGACCTTCACAGGATTTAATGTAAGGTGCAATGACTGTGGATTCATAAGTGAACATGGCAGCCAATTTGTGTACAGCAATGTCCCACAATCAGCCATTAATTAAACAACCAATTTTATCTGGGACACTGTTGGCCAGGACACTGGGAGAAACTCTTTTGTCTCTTTGAATAGCACCATAGATTATTTTACATCAGGTAGATGGGAGCTCGGTTTAACATCTTATCCAAAGGACGACACCTCCATGAATCCAACAAAAACCCCCAGCAGTGCAATGGAATGTCAGCCCAGTCAACAATCCCAAAGTCCCAATGAGGGGTTTGGACCCGCAAACCTTTTGACTCGGAGGCGAGAATGTTACCAACTAATCGAAGTTGACACCAAAAGATAAAAGATAACAAAGCACAAAGTTCACTGCATCTACCAGAGATTTACAGTGAAGCTCACCTGTCGCAGTTATAAAGATCACAACAGTAGCAGGTATCACTCTTGATTTTCATGATGCACGGACCACGCATCTGACTCTGGCAAGTCACCTGTGTACAGAACAAATCTCTGAGAAATGTCCAATCTTCAAACACTGTGAAATAGAATAGTTCCCTTTTCCTACCCTGAAAGATTCAGTTACTGCATTTGAATTTGTCTTCTGTTAGTCAGTTAGCGTTAAGATAAAAATGTGCATATTTAAGATGCCTTATCACACAGAAATATCTCAAAGCAATTTTGTCAATAGTGTCTGTCACCAAACTCAACTAATCTAGCTTGAGAATTTTTCTGTTACTAAACATAGCATCCATTTACACCAGCACAGTCCCACAAAAAACAGCCGTGAAGCTATGGTGGAACAGGTTATTGATACGATACCCATTGTCCCAATTAACAAGTGATGAACTTGGATATGGAGCCTAACTCCAGTGTTAAGTCGTCATCTCCAGGTGAGCAGAAAGGGGGAGAGTTGTGGAAGGAAAGCAAGTGAAATTCACAATGCATCATGGATTTCTCTAGTTCTCTAATTCTGTACACAGAAGTGCAAAATAGAGAAACGCATATTGCAGGCAGACTCTTTAGTATTACCGGAAGTTATTGGCTGGTGTTTTTCTAACAATCATAATAATACTTTTGACATAGAGCCTTATCACGTCTTCGAGACGTCTCAAAGCGCTTCACAGAATATGCTGTAAAGTGAATTGACTGTATATTTTGTGGATATATCACATAGAAATGTGCAAGAAAAATTGAGCTGAAGGAGCAGTTGAGATGACGATGAACGTCTGCAAATTGCAAAAAAAAAAGATTTATTTGAGGCTAAATTTAGATCATCAAAATAGTGTTTTACAAACTATCACTTTTCTTTGTTTTGTGCGAACTTGGCTCAGAGTTGAGCATCTAATAATAATAATCCTTGCATTTGATATAGCGCTTTTCACGTCGGGAGGACGTCCCAAAGCGCTTCACAGAATATACTGTAAAGTGAATTGACTGTATATTTGTGGGCGAACGCGGCAGCCAATTGCGCACAGCAATGTCCCACAAACAGTCGTAGATTGAAAATGACCAATTTATTATTGTTTTTGTTTTTTGGAGGGATTATTATTAGGCTCTGTGTGGAGTAAGGAAACTTGCCCAAGGTTTCGCCCTGCCTGGAATTGAACCCAGGTGTCTTGCTTGCAAAGCAAGTGCTCTAACCACTGAGCCACAGGACTCCACGTCTGGTGAGTATGTAATTTTAAGTACAACATTGGACCCAATTGTGAAGAATGTTAAGATGGATGAGATGATAAATATATCGACTATAAGTATAAAAGCTATTTAATAAAATTAATCGATGCATAAAACTAAAGTATTTGATAGAATATATAATGTTCTAAGAATGCCATTGAAATCCATGGTGTATTGGCCTAATTACAGATTCTCCAAGGGAAGGAGATAGAGTAATGGATATGAAATGTGTTAGGTGCCCATTCGAAGTTCAATCTGGTTTCTTCCTAAGCAATACTGCGATGCAAGAGCCATCTCTGCAACAAGATTTGTTCCATTTGTAGATTGTACTATGTCACTCTAACTCCTCCTCCCTTCCACACCGAGCACTTAAACGCTTGTGAGCGCAAGCTCCATTGGGTTATGTTACCATCCGAGATCAATTTTAGTATTACTTCGGATGTCTCTTCTGCAAAATCCAATGGATCCAGTCAAGGATACATGATGCACATTATAATATTAATGTCTCAGTGGTTAAAGCACTCGGCTCGGCAAGTGAGTGACCTGGGTTCAATTCCCGGCAGGGCGAAACCTTGGGCAAGTTTCCTTACTCCACACGCCTAATAATAATCCCTCAAGAAAAAAAAACAATAACAGTTTGGTTACTCAATCCATGACTGTTTGTGGGACACTGCTGTGCACAATTGGCTGCCACATTTCGCCCACAAATATACAGTCAATTCACTTTACAGTATATTCTGTGAAGCGTTTGAAACATCTAGAAGATGTGAAAAACTCTATATCAAATGCAAGGATTATTATTATCATTATTATTATTGTTATTCTAACGTGGGAATTTTCACTTTAACACCTTTGGGATTCCAGGAGAAATTTTACTGAGGTTTTTGTTTTCTGGAGTTTTTACTATGGTTTCCACAGAACATTAAGTTTGTCAGTGAGAGCCAGCAGCGGTGAGAAATATGCAGGGTCCTTGTAGTGTTTGATATTAACTTTACATTGTATAACATTAATTTTCACCCGCACAAACACAATAAAAGGTTGAAGGAAATAAAATAGAATTTACATTTAAGTATCTTGAATAGAACTAAAAAGATGTAGATTTCATACAGCAGTGTTTGAATCATGAAATGAACAGAAAGAAGGTACTACTCTGTATTCTTTAAACATTTCTCACCTGCACTACTAATTTCATCCACAAAACATACAGTAAATTCACTTTACAGTATATTCTTTGAAGTGCTTTGAAACGACTAGAAGACGTGATAAGGCACTGTATCAAATGCAAAAATTATTATTATCATTATTGTACTCTTGTGTTAATGTCCTAAATGAGAAATTAAACAAATATTCAGCTAAGATTTCATAACACTGTACACCTATCTGTAAGACCACACTCACTGTACGCTGAGGGGAAAGCTATCAAGTGGCCAGAGTACAGAGGGCTTCGCGCAAACCAAAGAATTGCAGCCAACCAACACCTTCTGCGTTCTTCAGAGAATGAGCAGCAGCAGAGAAAATTGAAAAGAGTCACAAAAAGAAATTGCTGTTTGGTCAACTCTTTGCAAAGGACCCGTGCAGTTTCGCACAGCCGATCCATTTAATCTGCCAAGCAAAGCATAGAGGAAAAACAACCCAGAGGAAGAAAAAAAAATCACTGAAATTCTTCCCTGCTCCACAATGTTAACTGAGTGAACACTCCAGTATATCGGAAAAGAGAAGATTGAGAGGTGGCATGATTACTATCTTTAAGATTCTAAAGGGGCAAGTCAATATAGATCATGACAGGCTGTTTCAACTTGTCCTGAATAGTAAAACCAGAGGACACGGCCTGCGATTGAAGGAGGGTAAATTCAGAATGAATCTACGCAAACACTATTTCATTAAGTGGATAAGTGAACAGGCTCCCTAGGGAGAGGGTTGAAGCAGGAAGTGTTGATTCTTTCAAACACGGATTAGATAATTTTCTTTTAGGAAATAACATTATGGGATATAGTACATAGGTAGTTTGGGACATATGCGCATGTGACTGCCAGGAAGGTAGAAAGCGAACTAGATGGACCTTGGTCTTTTTTCGTCTAGCATTACTTATGTTCTTATGAATTTAATTTTGTAATATATATTATTCACCCCTTCTCTGGCTCCATTCCACACATGACTTTCTCAGGGGTCCCAATGGGGCTGAGGCAATCACATTGTGCGAACTATTTGTTCTATATCTGTGCTTATCTCAATCACCCTTAATCGGTTTGTAACCAGATATTTATCTTACTTCCTATTAAAAACAAATGGCATTACAGAGCATTTGTTTCAGTATAAATTTTAAATGTGTAATATTGTTAGGTGGCAGTTTGAGCACAGATACAAAATCCCCACTGTTCCAGTCTTTTAACGATCTGCGGTACTGGGTTGCTGTAACCAAAGTGTTTAAGTGCAACTTTCAGAAAAGAGCCACTGAGATTGTTAACTGGATTCGCATATTGTTATACCAACATTGGCATTTTGCCCACAAAATACACAGTCAATCCACTCTACAGTATATTCTGTGAAGCGATTTGAGACATCTCAATGACGTGATAAGGCACTTCATCAAATGCAAGGATTATTATATATAACATGTTGTATGCCCACTGTTAGTAACAGTTTCAGTAGTGAGAGGATGTGATTGCCTTTTGTAGAGAGAGAGGGTCCAAATCAACAAGTGATCCTACCTGAGTCACTCTGACATCTCCAGCATTGAGTCATAGAGCATCGCTCAGAGTCTGCATACATGTCTCCCGCCTACTCTCAGGTGGATGGTGTGGTGTGTAAAGGATCAAACATTCGTCAACCATGTAACAGGCATGAATTTAACACCATTGATCTGCTCAGAAATGCCTACAAGCAAAAGACATATTGCCAGTTCTGGCAAACATACCTCTGTATTATAACCATCCAAAGGGTATGAGGTGCCACTGGAATAATACTGGCACCTGCCTGCATTGAGAGGTCGGATATCCTGGAGAAAGGTCACAAAATGTTATTTTAAATTGCAAGTCAGGCTTACTCTGGGCTTTAATAATCAGGTGGATACGTTGTAAGTGCACTTACTTTGAGGGGTGAAATTGCTACCTCTATGAAGTTAGAGTGGAATATTTAATGGTCGATTTCCTAATAAGCATCCTCCGTACCAGCAGCAGTTAAGAGCTAATTTGTGGATGTAGGTTCATGAAGTTAATGACGCATCTCTTTGACGAATCAACATTAGTGCACAGGGGTCATACTCACAATATGTCTGGCAGCGAATACACCATCAACAATGGCACAACAGAAAGACGCCACTACACCAAAACTGATGAACACGATTGATGCCACCAGCTAAAGACACAAAATGTTAGTTCAGTGCAAAAATTCAGACTCAACGTTCAGCGAGTGTTTCAATGTCAGACGACAAAAGAAACTGGCTCTGCTTTGCATCAATGAGATGCATATGAAGAGCACTGTTCAATTTAATTCAGATTAGGTGGTTGGAAGAACCCAAGTGACCACTGAGAAATCAGAGCAAATGCATGAACAAAGCACCATTTTGACAACAGTGGCAGGATGCTGTTAGACACTGCTTGCAACTCACTGGAGACGTGAACAAAGTCAACATTTAGGTCAATGAGGTGCAGTCATACGTTTTTCCCCTTAGCCTTCACTGCTTACTGTCACTAATGAAGTAGACTTACAAATGTATATTGGAATGCCTGCAAATATCTATCCTTTTCTCAATAATTATACGATATCTGACAACAATATTGTAACCTTTGTGGCACAGATTTTACTTTAACTAGGCATGGGTTACCAGATGATTACTTTAAGAAGTATAACCCAAGCAGCTCCTAGCAAATAATAATAATAATTGCATTTGATGTAGCACCTTATCAGGTCGTTGATAAGTCTCAAGGTGCTTCCACGGGATACAACATTAGCAAGTGATGCTATCGTGGAGTCCTGTAGCTCAATGGTTAGAGCACTCGCTTTGCAAGCGAGAGACCTGAGTTCAATTCCAGGCAGGGCGAAACCTTGGGCAAGTTTCCTTACTCCACACGCCTAATAATAATCCCTCCAAAACCAAAACAATAATTAAATTGGTCATTTTCAATCTACGACTGTTTGTGGGACATTGCTGTGCGCAATTGGCTGCCGCGTTCGCCCACAAATATACAGTCAATTCACTTTACAGTGTGTTCTGTGAAGCGCTTTGGGACGTCCTCCTGACGTGAAAAGCGCTATATCAAATGCAAGGATTATTATTATTATTATTATCTGAGTCACTCTGACATCTCCAGCATTGCATTGTAGAGCATCGCTTAGAGTCAGGGTACAAGGATCAAATGGGAGTGGATTGACTGTGTATTTTGTAGTTAGAGCATCATTGGAGGAGGCTTGGGAGGCTTGCCCAGCCACCGAGTCAGGGAATGATGACACCAAACAAATGCCCCCAAATAAATGAATTGCTGAAAGCTGCAAACAATACCTTTAAAAAACTGAAATGCAGTAAAACAAACAAATGTATACTCTAGTCTCAAATATTCAAAAAAGCAAATATAACTCACTTGAAAATATATCAATACCGCAAATTATACAGCAATCCTGGGAAGACTACAATGATATGTAAAAGGGATTTCTGCACTTCTTAGGACAGTGATTCATATTGCTAGAAGATTGCTGGAAGAACATTATCCTTTCTCAGGGTAGTATGCCAAGCACGAGGAGTAAGCTAGCAAAATCAGCATTCACTCCACCAGGACCTGGGTTATAAGCCCATTTCCCATATGTAATACCAATTCAGCCTGGGCTGGCTGTATTGCTGTAGCCTGTGAACACAGCCATCATGTACATTAGTCATTAATATGAGAAGTTGGTGTAAGATCACACCTTGCATAACAAGCATGTTCAAAACAGAAAATATTCAACCTGAACAGTGGAGGGGTGGGGGGAATAAGTGCAAAGAAAATCCACATAACCTTCAATGTGATTTGAGTGCCAATCTGTCTTGCACTGTCCTGGTGAAAAGTCCCCGATAAAACCCATGTTTCATTGAATGATTGGCATGTTCATTTTAACAGACGTGACATTAACCAATGTTTCAAACCATCTTTACATCCCAAACACAGCCCCTCGCGTGTGTTCCGAAGAAGCCCTCACTTCAGAGCAGGATTTACTGAGGGTTAAAATTAGCTTCGCGAAAATAAACGTGAATCTATTGAGATTGCTCTAGCTAATCTATGTCATTATTAATTGACCTTCAAGCAAAGCACGCTGTACAGTGGTCATATCCTAATTGTCAACTGTTGCCAGATCTCCAGAGAGAGAGACAGAGATCTCATCTCCACTACCATGCTCAGCATCCAATAAACTACCAGTGCCCTCAGTCTTCATGCCTTAACTCTACATAAGTTGGTGTAAATTTCTGAGAGTAATTAGCTCCATTCACAGAGAGGCTCCCTGTGGGGAACAGACAGAAAGAAGAGTGTTTCATCAACCAGGTTGATACAACTCACCATTCTCTGTATTTGTCTGTGTGTGTGTGTGTGTGTGTGTGTGTGCGACAGTAATATAGAACCACTGATTGTTGGAACCAATTAACAATATTACAATTTAAATGATATGAGATCATAAAGACAAGGAAACAAAGATTGAGCAAACCCTAAATAAAATAAAACAGTCTTACCTTCACTCTCTCCCATCAGTCAGACTTTCCAAAACATTCCACAATTGAAACACATCCCCAAACCACTTTTTCCGTATTTTAGGTAAAAGTACGAATGCTGTTTGAAAGTGACTGCCGAGATGATATGTGGGACTGTTGTGCAAATCCCCGGTAACATAAAATGAAATAGAGCCCGATTTCTACTGCATCACCGACACAGGTAACACATTTGGGTTTAAATTGGACACTTCGATCATGGAAGCAACATGTGGAAGAGGACCTGACTGCCCTCGTGTCAGCATTGGTCTATAATTAGTGTGCATCTGAATAAGGGACAGAGGAAAATGAACTCACTAAACTCTGATGGGTGAATACGTTTATTTTATTCAAATAGCACCAGAGCACCACAGTGACAGTGTCACGCGTGTCCAGCAGATGCTGCGTTAAGTGCACGGAGTTTATTCAGCAGGACCAAGGCAAACACTGAGACACCCGCATGGCCATGGATTTCCTGCTGCGATGGCACAAATGGGAGACCCTGGATCATTAGCTCTCATGAGTTGTCTGTGCTACTGCTAAATATAGTACCTCCCATCTGCTGATAAGAGTCTGTACCTGCGGTTGCCATGAGCTGTTGAAAGTTCTGCAACCTGGACTGGCCCAGCCATCCAACTGATTGATATCCCCATGTTGTGCGAGGACAAATTGCGACACGAGAAGGCAAGGATAGGGAAGAAAAAAAAACAATCTTCCAATAGGGGAAACCATGGGAGATTAATTGATACCTTCTGCAGGGTTATTTTTTTTGGGGGGTTGAGCTAAAACATTGCAGTTCATTTCATGGCTCCACAAGTTACTGTAGTACTAAGTGCAGAACGCAAGGCATTAGGACTGATTACTATTTCTTGTCATACTTCCCTGCAATTCCCGTTCTTATGTATGTTGAACCATAACATCCAGGAACAACGGGATAGCAGTAAACCATCTACTTACCATCTGCTTTTTGTTTTCCAGTAGATTTGACCCAATAATTCCGAGAAATGATCCAAAACCAAGCTGAAAGGAACGAGCGGAAATAACAGCAGCTGATCACCAGTTCACGATTTTTTTATATAACAAAACTGTTACCAAATGTTCGTGGTTTTTCTTCACTCAGAATAATGGTGACAGGATCAACACACTCAGAAAGCTGACAGTTAACATCTCACACATCATAGAATCTTATAGCACAGAAGGATGACATTCGACACATCGTAATAATAATAATAATCCTTGCATTTGATATAGTGCCTTTCAAATCTCCTAGACGTCTTGAAGCGCTTCACAGAATATACTGTAAAGTGAATTGACTGTATATTTGTGGGCGAAACGCGGCAGCCAATTGCACACAGCAGCGTCCCACAAACAGTCGTGGATTGAAATGACCAATTTATTATTGCTTTTTTTTTGAGGGATTATTTAGTTCAATACAATTTATAGGTTTGCTGCATTACTAGTTACTGGTTTAATTCAATGCTTCTATCGTACCTATGCCATTCTTTGAAAGACCTACCAACTAGCCCCAGTCCCCCGTTCTTACCCCCTACACCTAGACCTGAAATTATTTTCCTTTTTAAGTACCTGTCAATTTTCCTTTTTGAAAGCCTGCAATAAACATGTAACATGCATTGAAGGCTTATTTCAATAAACATTGCAGGTTTATTGAAAGGACTTTTGCAAAACATTTTTTTTCCAAAAGCTGAACAAAATGATTTAGAAAATTTCCTTTTGCCACGACGTATAGCGACTTTGATAACCTGTGTTTAGAGTGGGATTTCTTCATCAAAGCGCATCTTGGGAGCAAGGATAACCCCCCCCCCCCCCAGCTACTTTGTGGTAACACAGATATCAATAAGAATACTATCACTAGGAATTCAATAAAGCACAGGAACAGGAGGAGGCCAATCAGCCCATCAAGCCTGTTCTACTGATTTATTGGATCAGGGCAAACCTTTTAATCCCATTTCCTCTCCTTTTTGCCATATCTTTTTTCCCAAATCAATCAATCAATCGTAATAATCCTTGCATTTGTCGAGACGTCTCAAAGCGCTTCACAGGATATGCTGTAAAGTGATTGACTGCATTTTGTAGATGAAATGTGGCAGCCAATTGCGCAGCCAATTGAGGGACCAATTTTATTTGGGGGGTTGCTGGCCAGTAGACTTTTCGTATAGTGCCATAGGATCTTTAGCATCCACAGCTTAGACAGGATCTTGATTTAACATCTCATCCGAAGGATGAAAATCAATCTATCTATCTGTCTGTCTGTCTATGTAGATCTACCAGAGGAATGTGAAATAGTGCTTATGCAAATGTTCATATAATGTTCAGTGTCTCCACTTGAACTGTAACAAAACACCCACAGTACCAATTGTAGGTCTTGTCCTTTCAAAATTGGGCACTTTGCCTGGAGAACACCAGAATGCATGTCTACAGGTCTGTGAGGGATGGTGGTGCTGATGGGAGCCATTAAAAGTTGGTACATTAAGAACACCGGAAAACAAAATATATATTGGATGCAATATAAAATATTAAGCACAACGTTTACACAATGGAATGCCCCAAAACACTAACTAAGCAAAAATACCATTACCTTACCAATCTATCTAGAAATGACCATACTTTAAAGGGCATATTTTATTCCTAACATAAAAAAGTAAAACATGTGTGTGTGTGTGTGTATGTGGGGGGTGGGTGGGGGCAATATAAGTGATGTCATTAGGTTTCCCGTGTGATTTTAATCATCTCATTGTGAAACTATGTCATGAAGATGATTTTCCTTTGAATTGTAAATTCTCTAAGTCTATACCCAGGTGTTTTATGTTACCTCTTCCCCAGACATCCTTCACAGCTTTACATTTATTTTGGTAAATGCAAAATACTCATCTTTTTTGACTCAAATAACAGGAACGACCAGCAGGTCCCCCTGGATCTGTGTCGGGGTAACATCTGGCCAGAGAAATAACAATCTCCAATGTTGAGATGTGGGGAGGCCACAGTGGCTTGTCGTGTGGTTGGGTCTAAAAGTCATGGGATCCCCTTGACTTCTTCCCTTTGGCAATGTCGATGGCCAAATAAAAAGAAGATCACAGCCAGGGGAAATGTGCTGGTTTTGTTGGGAAGCGTTAGAAAACAGGGTTAAAAATGAATGTTCCTCCCCTCCCTTCTGCTCCCTCCCCTCGGGTCCATGTACAAGTTGCCTTTGCTCATGCTTTGCCAGTGCAGTGCAGTACTCACAATGACCCCGGGATAATATCCTCCAACCGAAACGTTCAGGGTCCTGGTGGTTGCAACCAATCCCACAGCCAATATTAACACGGAGACGATCAGCAAAGCAATGCTCACGAAGAGAGAAACTCGCTTCCTTTTATTGAACAACCCTGTTACACCCAAACACACTCACACACACACACAGAGAGAGAGAGAGAGAGAGGAAGACATCACACATTAAATGCTCTCGGTCACCATCACTGCGTTTTGTCTGCCACCGAGGTCACCTGTAACATTAATAACCTGTTAAATATCTGATACGTTTGAATGGCTGTGGGGTCTGGGATTGTGGGTTGGTGGTGTGGGGGGGGGGGGGTGGTGGTGTGGGGGTGGTGGTGGTGTGGGGGGTGGTGGTGGTGTGGGGGGGGTGGTGGGTGGGGGTGGTGGTGGTGTGGGGGGTGGTGGTGGTGTGGGGGGGTGGTGGTGGGGGGGGTGGTGGTGGTGTGGGGGTGGTGGTGTGGGGGGGGGTGGTGGTGTGGGGGGGGTGGTGGTGGGGGGGGTGGTGGGGTGGGGGGGTGGTGGTGGTGTGGGGGGTGGTGGTGGTGTGGGGGGTGGTGCTGGTGTGTGGGGGGTGGTGCTGGTGTGGGGGGTGGTGGTGTGTGGGGGCTGGTGGTGGTGTGGGGTGGTGGTGGTGTGGGGGTGGTGGTGGTGGTGTGGGGGTGGTGGTGTGGGGTGGTGGTGGTGGTGTGTTGGTGTTGGGGTGGTGGTGGTGTGGGTGTTGGTGTGGTGGTGTGGGGGGGTGGTGTGTGGGGTGGTGTGGGGGGTGGTGTGGTGGTGTGGGGGGGTGTGGTGGTGTGGGGGGTGGTGGTAGTGTGGGGGGGTGATGGTGGTGGGGGGTGGTGGTGGTGTGGGGGTGGTGGTGGTGTGGGGGGGTGGGTGGTGGTGTGGGGGCTGGTGTGGTGGTGTGGGGGTTGGTGGTGGTGGTGTGTGTGTGGGGGTGGGGGGTGGAATTGGACAGTGCAATTAACGAGGAGGCAAACAATTCACTGTAAAAGCCCTCACACAGCGTCGGGCAAAAAAAAAACAAAAACAAAAGCAAACGATCGCTTTCACCTTTTGCAACACCGCGCACTCACACTGTAACTCACCCGCTGAGTCGTGCTGGGTCAACCCGTTGGCTTGCTGAGTCAGTGCCGGATGCATGCTGAACCAGACCAAGCCAACACCTCTCCCCCACAACGCTCAAGCCCCACCAGACACCCAGGGGTGGGGGTGACATCCACACGCCCGCCCTTACCCCCCCCCCCCCCCCCCCGCTTTTAACCCTTTCTGCGTGAAAGGAGCCGCAATCGATGGATGGACTTGGTTGGACCTGACTGGACCGGACTGTTGCGTCCAGGGTCAGATCGGATCGGCTTCCTGCTGTTTTCCCGACACGTCCATCACCGACAGCTGCAGGACCGCACTGCCGTCCCTGTGGCTCTGACAGTAGCGCATGCGTCAGGGTTACTCCTACCGCAAAATAGCGGATCGAGTCCTTGGGATCCTCCTGTCAGGACCCGGGATGGAGCGGGTTTGCACGGGGATAAATGATAGGACACGGCGCAAGGGGCAGGAATATTGATTACAACTGATGGGTATATATATATATATATATATACATATAATATATATATATATGGATTGCGCAACGCAATGCTCATCACACCGTTGCTCCTCGCAGAAGTCATTCATTTTCTTGGCAGTAATTGAATTTCTTTCTTTCCTTCTTTCTTTCCTTTCCTTTCTTTCTTTCTTTCCTTTCCCTTCTTTCTTTCCTTTCCCTTCTTTCTTTCTTTCTTTCTTTCCTTTCTTTCTTTCTTTCTTTCTTTCTTTCTTTCTTTCTTTCCTTTCCTTTTCTTTCTTTCTTTCTTTCTTCTTTCTTTCTTCTTTCTTTCTTTCTTTCCTTTCCTTCTTTCTTTCTTTCTTTCCTTTTCTTTCTTTCTTTCTTTTCTTTCTTTCCTTCTCTCTCTTTTGCTTTTTTTGCCTCTTCGATTCGCGGGTCCTCGACGTCGCTCGGTGGCAAAAATACCGACCGCGACGGCCTTGAGATTAACGTCTGAATCTCGCAACGAGTTACTTTTCTCAGTGGATGACACCGAAGCAAAACACATCGCCGGTTTCACTGTTGGACACTGTTCAGAATTACACTACACCAGAGAGGGGCACAGCGACGTTGGAGAGCGTAAGACTACGCCAAACGCCTGTTTCAAGGGTAGAAAGCGCACACAATTCCGTCTGCAAAACACACAGTCACTACACGTTACCGTAAACCCCGCGGTGATAAAAGCGCTGCAACGAAACGCAAGGGTTATCAGTAATAAAAGTTGTCTCGGTGCTGGAGAAATCGGGGCGTTTGGAGTTTTATTTCAGGCACTTTTATTAATTTTTTTAGCGTTTAGTCCCACATGGAAGAGGTCACAGTATTCAGGTGGACCTCGACGTTGGGATCCATATTCCCAACAGGGAGGAGACGGGTCTCGAAAGGAAATGTCAAGAGCAGATTGAGCTCGAACCCCAGCCCAGATGTTTCTAATCACCATTGGAAAACCGAACCAATCTCGGTACCCTTACCCTCCAAACCCCTCCTGCAACCCCTCCAAGCTCTGGAGCTGGGCAACGTGTCATTGGGTTGAAGTGCTTCGGGGTATTGCTGAATCGGATCCCATAGCTTTTACACAGGACACGTCTTTAAATGTGAAGAAGACACGCGGAGACCTCTGAGGCTAATCTTAGGATGTCTCTGGTTTCGGCTCCTGGAGGCTGGTTATGTATATATATATATATATATCAGTGAGCAGACGATGGCATTGGCTGATAATTTTACATCGTAACGTGAGACTTAGCAGCACCGTAACCTGTCACAGGCACAGGATTGCTCATCTGTCGGCATAACAAGGAAACGCCAGTCCACGTATCTCACGCGTGGAGTGAATGATAATAACCACTGCATTTGATACCTGACCGGATCGTTCAGACCTTTCAACCCACTTCACGGAATGTATTGTCAAAGCGGATTGACTGCGTGTCTTGTGGGCGAACGCAAATGAACGAAGTCAACAAAAGCAATACATTAATCCAAGCAGCTGCAATATCAAGACACAGCAAAGGAGCATATTACGGAATCATAACACCCTTTGAGCTTGGAATGCAATATACTGCTGATAACTTAAGCTTTCTTAACTTATAATTACTTTAAAACTTGCCAAGGTCACATTTGTGACGGCCGGATTCACACATTATCTTTATATATATATATATATATATATATATGAATGTATGTATATACATATGTGCATTAGAGCTTATATATGTCCATTAGTGTATTAATTAGATACATAGAGTACAGCTCCTTTTTTTTCGAACTTGTATAAAACGCAGAGATTTGTATGAACAAACGCTGTAATTGCTCTCAGTAGACCTGTTAATGTAATCCATCCCTTTACAAGACAAACAAGGTCTGAGGCGGTTTGCCTTGAACCTGTCCCTTTCTCGTGTTACCCTTAAAGAGCTGCTGTGCAGAGTGGATGTATGAGATATAATCAATCCCACAAATATATACATATATATATACACACACACACACACACATAAAACATATGTTGTGCGTTTTAGGGAAAGCCCAGAAGCACACGTTTTCAGCACATTTGCGCATCTGTAGCAGCACGAACAAAAAAACAAACAAAAAGCCAAACAATAAACATCTGCCACCATAACAATGAAGAAAAATCATCTCCCAGAGTCTAGACCTATATATAAGGGCGACAACTGTACGTTCTGATTATTGCAAAGCCCTCTTTGTGGGGGGAAAAAAAAGGTTCACTGGGATTAAATACTTCGGACTCATTTACTATTTTACATCTTGTGAAATGTTAAGTACTGTTAAGCCACAGTTTCAGTCGTTTGCATCAAAGGCACAAAAACAAGAACATACTTTTTTTTTGAATGACGGATTTGAGAATGACAAGTGCACGAAACATTTTTCAATCGCCCCAAATCGGATGGCTAATAAAATGGCCTTCCCATTGAAACCGATTTGCGAGGACTAAAGTTAGCACCGGATGACAGGTGCAGATTAAATCGGAAAGGAGAAGAAAGATATCTGATGTCAAATGTCACTGCTGTAAGAGGCAGTGAGTGCAAAGTGCACCAGTGATGTTGAAGTTGGGTTAAGACGTGAACAGATCGCGTTTGCAAGCTCTGCACATTCATCTCCAGGACAGACAGCGAGGGGTCCTTGGAAAGAACATCACAGGACGGCACAGCACTGCGAGAGGCTCACCAGGAATTGGGGCTAAGGTACGGTCATTGCAGTCAAGTCATTGCAGCTCTTGAACTCTCTCTTTCTCTCTCTCTCTCTCTCGAATAACATAAATATCTGGGTTTGGAATATGACGGGAGAACTTCCACGAAGACAGGACCGACCTCTCCAGGTCTTGTGCCAATGCCTCCTCGGTGGCTGTGTTTGATAGAGAGAAAGCTCTTGATTCGGGGTCTTCTCATCGGTGTTGTGGTTAGTTTGGGGGTTTCTCACTTGTCAATAACACGAGCGACAGGTAACCCCGAGTTGATGTTTGAAGGTGTACGCTGTCACTTGTTGTTTTTTTTTTGTGTGTGTGGAGCTTTTCTTTGTGGGCTATTTGGGGGAGTTTGGACTCAGCGTTTCTGCTGGGAATCTGACACTGCACATCAGTGACTTAGGCAACACTCCACAGCCCCAACATCAATTATAGAGCCGCAGCAGAACATGTTACCAGAGCACTTGGGAATCTTGATTGACGCCAACACATTGGCTAAAGGAAAACAACAGACTTGATCCAAACTTATTGGATAAAAGGGGGAAAAAAAAAGTGTTGTAAATGACTGGGAAGCAATTTATATATCTGAGTGGATGTTTGTGTCTGTGTGTGGGGGGTCGGGGAGGAGGAAGGAAGGATAATTAATGTAATCTGGTGAAAGCAACATGTATTTGTTGACCCTTAAAAGTCCAGTTGCTGTGGACAAGGTCACGGACACGCAGTCCACCACATCAATGCGAGAAGGCGCTGTAAGGACCGCCGGGGTATTTTCACTTGAATTTTTTTTATATAAAATGAAATCTAATCTCAAAACCCACCTGTCAGCTCGGCGTGTTCTCCATCACCTTGCGTGACAGTGTGAAGCGGTGATGGACCGATTTGGGAAACGTATGCAGTTGGTCTCTCATTCCCTTTCTCTGCAGATCCAAATGGAGAGGAATTCCAGAGCCACAGGTGGGGCTGAAGGCAATGATCCTAAGCAATCGGTAAGGCAACGTGTTTGGTGACAGTGGGAAACCCTTCATTGCAAACTAGAATTTTTTTTTTTAACCGAACTGAATGAATTCGAGGACGTCGACATTGCGATGTTTAAAAGCGGTCAAAAAAAAAAAAAAAAAAATTCGTGTTTTCTGAAACGCACTCGACCATTTGATGGGTAGTCAACTTGAAAACAAATTGGGAGAGTACTTCAGTGTTCTCCTTCTATTGCAATGGTTCCGTATTCCTTATAGGAACTCACTGTTCTGCTACCATATATATATATATATGTGTATATATATCACCAACTCGTTCAGGGTCATTCCAAACATTGTAGTGAGAAAGAGGAAAGGTTTCTGCTGGAGCCAATGCGAGTTTTTTTTTTACGCACAGATGCCCTGAGTTGGGTCAGTGAAGGTTGACGTGAGTGTCAGGAAATTAAGACTCATCGCAGTGTACAGTGGCTCCTACTTTAAACCTCGTTCTGTTTCAACGTCTGAACTTCCATTTCCTCTCCTTCCATTAACCCACCGTTTCTTAACACCAGTTTGTCTCCGGAGTCCCCCAGGGGGATCATGCAGATGGAATAATAAGTCGTGAAGCTGGACAATTACATGGATTGTCTTGACCGGACAGTTTGGTATTACCCAACTCAGAAGAGTTGGACTTATTATCCAACTTGTCCAATGCAAGTTGCAATAAAGAACTTGAATGTGAGCCAGTCACGCGTGCGCCCCCTATAGGCGATGCGACTGCATTGCGTGCTGAAACCCACACGGGGAACAGAGGGGGTGAGCAACAGGGCAGAGCTTGTGCGATTGATAGATCTCAGAGTCTTTAATTGAGTGTTTATTTTTCACGCAGAGAGAGACAGACAGAGAGAGAGAGAGAGAGAGACGATGATTCTTAGGTTGGATTTCCATATTTTCGATTCGTTTTTTGCTGCCACAGCAACAATTGATGCACAAATAGTAGTGCGTTTGGTCAAATCCTCCAGTTTGTTGCCTCTGAAGATGATACCCTGTCCAAGGCCAAAGAAAAAAGTGAATGATCAATGACACTCTTCCTCTCCACTTTCTCTCTCTTTTTCTTGGGAGAGCTAACTTGAGCTGGGGTAGAATCTCACAGGTACCAACCTGGTGGCTACTCACAAGATTATAGAGGAATTGGCTCATTTCATCTCACCCTTCCCAAATACTCACCCTATTGCCTTCCCATTAAGCGATTTATTCCTCATGTATGAGCCTGGACACTGAGTATGAATACTTAAAATGCAATCTTCATCCCATAATGTTTTCAGTTACTTTTCTATTGAAAACTCACAGACCGCACGAGAAAAGCCCAAGCAATGCAGATTATAGGCCATTAAAACTTCTTTTTTGGGGAAAAAAAAGAAGCCTGAGAGACCAATTTCACCGGGTGTCTTAAAAATTAAGTGGCTGCTCATCTCGAATCGAATTAATGAATATTAATACACACAAGTAGGTTATATAAAGGAGATGATGAGTTTGATCTCTTTAAACCTATCAAATTAAGCCACTTTAAACCAGCTCCATTAAGCAAGCCTGGCACATCATTGTGTTATCTGCAGACACTTCAGTATGCTGAATCATTTCAGTAATGCTGGCATGAACTGGGCCGTCTCACTAGAGTAATGGAGGTTCTCCTGCAGTGGCTGAGTGACTGATGAGGCAATTTCACAAAGTCTAAGCAGCGAATAATGGGTTGGAGGATATTCTTGACACCCAGGGTTTTTCGTGGTTGAATCACCTCGCGTTGACAGTTCTGAGTTCAAACTCAATGGCATTGGCGTACCTCTCTCGATCACTTACTTATTCAGGCAACCCCGGCTGCGGACAAGAGGAACAAGCAAAAGGAAGACAATGAGATTGAAGTGAAACCGGTAGAAACTTTCTATCAAAAGAAAGAGAATTTTAAAACTTACGTGTGGAACCCAGAGAAGAGAAAATTGCTCGGGCGGACGTCCAGGAGTTGGTGTAAGTAACACTAAGTTAATGCGTTGTAGTGGATCTGAATCATATGTAACCCATTTAGAACCATTTGGGCCAAGGAAGGAAGTTAGCAAATAAGAATGACATATGAAAGATGCAGATAAGATAGACTGAATAAGAAGGAAGCAATTGTTTAATTGAAAATGAATAGAAACGATGGATTAGCAGCAGACTTCAAAATTAATATTATTGTACAATTTCATCTGCAAAGTACACTGTTAGTCCCATTTTACAATACATTAGGTGAAGCTTTTTGAAACGTTTCAAAGACGTGATAAGCCGCTTATCAAATGCAAGGATTATCATTCATTTATTATTGTTATTATTACTGATGACAAGGATCGTTCCATCTGCTTTGTAGTTCTCATCCTGTTATTCTACACCATCTTCTACATCTTTCTGGCTGGGATGTTTGCTCTGTGCCTTTATATATTGTTGCTGACGATCAGTCCATACACACCGACGTACCGAGACCGACTTGACAACCCAGGTAAGGAGCTGTGTCTGAAGATCCAGTCCTGGGGACACAGAGCGATGCAATGGCTTACAGCTTACAGTGATGAATTTCAAGTCGCTTTCATATATGGCCTAGAAAAGTGATAAATAATTGCTGACTAGGCAAATACTCAGAAAAACAATCATTAGAAATTCCTTCATCTTTCTGATTGGGTCAATTTCTGTACCTTTCACATTGGTTCAGTACAGATGGGCTTTTCCGATTAATCCTCAGGAGTTGCTTCTGTGACCGATACCATCCATTTCAGTGGCTCAATCCTATTATTGGTCATCTATGTATTGCTTGAGTTGAGAGTGTCTTTAGAAAGGCTGATGCTATAATGGGTGAAGGCAAATTAAAGCGAGTTTTTTGACCATTTCTAGTTTTGCAACCCTTGGTCTGGGAGGACTCAATGCCAACCACTGCATGACAATTTATTTCCTGGCACAATGTATTTCGCCTTGATGAGCACAAAATTCACCTTTTTTAAAAAATATATAAATACAATAATAATGTAAGCTGTGATGTGAGTCATTGAGAACAGCATCTTTCAGATCAACCCACCAACCACTGTTTACCTGGTAGAATAAAAACAAACATCTATTTGTTCTTCTCCAAATCACTGTACTTAATTATACCTGTGTTGGAGTGAGTGCATTAGCACATTGTCTGTTCAACACACTGACACACATTTGAAAGCAGAGTAGACAGATACGATGAAGTACTTTGGTCTGTAAAGCTGTTACAAGAGATATGTTTGGAGTGTCTCCACGTGATTCTTGGCAATATAACCACAGTACCGAGGACATAATTTATGATTTATTGGCACTCACACGACTTGCAGAGAGGTCAGAAGCGTGGGAGTTGGGGTTAAGGTAGATTGTTGGGATGGAGTAGAGAGAAGCTTCATTTAGCAAATTTTTAAGCAGCAATGAGTATGTTCCTGGCACGGTTGCAGTTACTCAACCCATTTATAATTTTGCTAATGAAGTACTTTCTGGTACATTCTGGTCTATTGGATTGAAAAGGAGTATATTGTATTTCAAACCAATTACATTACCCCAGGATGCTGAATACATCCTTAAACTGATTAAACATACAACCATAAGATATTACCAAGAAATCCTCATTGACCTCATCTTGATCCCGGCTACTTGATGATACAAACAGCCTAGCCATTAATCTTTCCACTTTGCTAGGGGTCACCATACTACCAAATCTCGAAGGATCTGAGATTTTCTTCAACAGATCAGAGAAGAGTACATGGTCAGAATACGTGAAAAACATGCATCGATTTCTTGAATGTAAGTTCCTGCATCCCGAGGAGAAAGTGCAACCAATTATAATCTGAATTTAAAAGTAATGCAAAACAATTGTAATTGCCACGATCACATTTCAACTGCATATTTATTTAAATGAAAGGAAAAAAATATTTTATTTTATTTAGCTAAACAGCTTAAAGCAACCTCAACTATGCTTTTCATTGATTGGTTTGAATACTGATTTCTGGCTTTTATTTTGCAAATATTCTATTTCGGTTTGAATTTCCTATATTTTCCCTGTAGCGTACAACGACAGTGTCCAAGCCGATAAGAACATTCAATGTTCTCCTGGAAGTTACTTCACACAGCAGAAAAATGAAAGTGAGGAAAGAGAAGCCTGTCAGTTCAATCGGACTTTGCTGAGAAACTGCTCTGGAACTGAAGACCCCAACTTTGGCTACTCTCAGGGGAAGCCCTGCATCCTTCTAAAGATGAACAGAGTAAGTTGGTATTTTGGGACATACAGACAACTTCGCTAATAAACAACAACAAATTGCATTTATACGGAGGACGTTCCAAAGCGCTGGACATTCAGGTGTCTAGACCCCTGGATGATCGAGCCAGTTTGACAGGGTCCATGGATTTACTAATGATTGTCTACACACCAGTTTCCACATGGCCTAATCCTGGACATTCCTGAAAAATCAGTTGCACAGGTGAAGCTTTTAAAAAAAATCAAATACCGACTGTCAATACAATGATTATTATCTTCCCTAATAACAAAAAAATGTAATTTAATAATACCCACTTGGCATCTATTTTAGCCATTTACATCACAGTGGTACTATATAATGAATCCCATTGTACTGGTTCAGTCAGTCATATCCTTTAGAAAATTATATACTTTTGAAAATTCTGTTTATTATTTCAAGCTATTTTTCTTCACTCCTCTTTAGGCTTCCTGCGCAGCAACGCACCATTCCTCGAGAGGGAGGTAGGTGACTTGCTCCCAGGGTTTTGGTGCAAGATATTCCCCCCCCCCACCCCCCACCTCCTCTTGATTAATTTGACCTTACATTCCCTGCCTCCCTATGAAGAAGTACCCTAACCGTGGCTCAGTTCCTATCTCGATAGTCCAATTGAGATTGAACTCACTGTGCGGAAAAATCCATAACTCGCAATACCATGTTACAGTGAGTTCATACAGTGGTGTGCTCCATCACTGACTACCGTGCATAAAATCCTAATTTATTATTAATAATCTGTTGAAGCAAATTTTGATTTCAGGTTGCACGAGTCTTTTGTTCTTCACCAAGGAGGAGGATTTAAGTGATCTGTTCATTGCCTTGCACTATTGTGATATGCGTTTCTTCCTTTAGCTCATTGATTATCAGCCTGGTAAGGGAGTGCCGCCATATGTGGATTGTGAAATAATGGTGAGTGATAATTTGTTAACATGTCTAACAGCAGTCCTGTAGAGTATCGCTTAGAGTACTCGCCTCGCAAGAGGACTTGGGTTCGATTCCTGGACAGGGCAAAACCTTAGGCAAGTTTCCTTACTCCACATGTCTGATTACCTAGCAGTAAGTAAGAACCCAGTTGATAGTTGATTGGTGGATTGCTGTCCAGGGGTAATAATCCCTTCAATTCCACCTATTCTGCATGTTGTCCATTACCTGCCTAAAATCGTGTAGATTAATTGAATCATTTTACCTGAGAACTGGCAACATTCAGCCAAAGAAGCCTGTGGAATAAGGCAGAGCAAGCGTTCAATCTCAGTTCAGTAACCTCCTGCCAAGATCTGCCTCTAGAACCAGCGCCGCCATGACCAATGGCAAGGATTAATACATTCTATTAAATGTTTTTTTCAAGCCGTAACTGATAACTTTCCTACCTTAGAGATGACTGAAGAATTTTTCTCTGTGCTTAAGATGCTGAAACAATAATGTGCTCTTTTTACAGAAAGGAATGGGAGCAAACGTTGTAATTCACTTCTATCCTAAGGGCGGAATCTTCGACCTGATGTATTTCCCTTACTATGGCAAACAGAGACATGTAAGTGGCGAAATGTTTTGGCACCACAGCCCGATACTAATTACTGCACTGTGCTTCAACTAAAAATGTTTTGCCATATTTTAAAACGAGCTGTGACAAGTTTAAATTTTAAAGTAAAATGGAAACCAATTTTGGTGTCAGATCAAAATTAGCTGATTGACTACATGAAGGATGACCCAAATTTTATGCAGCCTCCATCAAAATATATTCCTAATGTTTTCCTCGACCCCACTTGAACCCCAAACCCAATCGTAAATCAAGATGCCCTTGCAATAGGGCAGTACCTGCACATTTAATAGCTCCTATTACGAGGCGACGGTCAGCTTCTATATTTACTAAACATCACCGTCAGTTATGCTTTGTTGACTTTTCTACTAATTCCCCATGGTTGTTGTTATGAAGTATTAATGCAGTCAAAAATGCCAATGATATTGTACGTTTTCAACCTCGACAGTCAGAAGTGAGGGGCTGAATTTTCTGTCAAGTTGAAAAGGTGCACTCTTCTCTCAGCGTCAATATTATAGGATTCTCTTTTGTAAACAATGTTTAAAAAAACTTTTTTTTTTAACAATCCCAGGTAAACTACACAGTTCCGTTGGTTGCAATGCAATTTGAAAACTTGGATAAGAACACCCCAATCACTGTTCAGTGCAAATTAAACGGGCCTGACATCGTAAACGACATCTACAAAGATCGCTTTTCTGGCAGGATTTTCTTCACATTTCTTCTCCAAGCATAGTACCGAACCGACCTTTAATTCACTGAGTTGTCTGTATATTAGTACAATAGGACAGCGTGAGCTTCTGCACCGACTAGTGGGAAGTGGATATTAGCACACATTTGATACTTTAATTAAAGTATCAAACAATTACATGAATTGAGAGATAAATCTGACTTTATGGAAATACCGCATCAAATAAGCCCAACCGTAACATTTCAATTCTCACGTTTTGGTATCTTCGATCTGCATTAAGTGTAAAAATTGCAACAGGGCAGTACCTGCACATTTAAAGCTTGTGAATTTTTTTTCCATAAAAAGCTCCATTATCAAATATACAGTCAACTTCTCAAGTTGAAGAATTCCCTAGGCTGAGTCAGAGTAAACTGTTTTACTAACAATCATGATGGAGCTATTGGGAGTCATTATCCATCAATCCTGAAAAAGTTACCTTTTCTTGGAAGTGGGGAAATTATATTTGTCCCCAAATCTGGTGAAATGTTGTAGCTTGTATATATTTCTTCTTAAAAAAAACCCTTTCTATACAAGTTTTCTCCATGATTGAGTCATTTCAGTGATTGGACAGCTCTAACCATTAATCTGAACCACAAATTCTGTATCAATTCTCTCAGTGAACAAAAGCAGTCCAATTCCAATGTGTGTCAGCGTGGCTCAGTGGTAGCACTCTCGTCTCCGAGTTAGAAAGTTGCGATTTATAACTCCCTTGCTTTTGTATTCTATACCTCTATTTATAAATTTTAGTCTATTTATCTTACCCTATTTATAAAACATTGTAAATGTAAAACACTGAAGTTGGGGTTGTTTTTATGTGGTATGTGACTTGGTTCACTTAAGAAAGAATATTGTATCTCTTTTGTGAATTGTGCTTTCTCTTGGACAGAGAATGTGTTCAAGTGGTCCCTTTACTCGAAATGTCTGAGAGATGTACAAAATGTGCAATAAGTGTCAAGAATTTGTGGGGGGTGGTGGTGGGGAGAGAGAAATGGTCTATAGTATATTCATTATTCCTGTTATAATTCCGGTTATCCCACAGAAACTCCACTTCGGAAGTAGGTTACTGAATATGTGGCCACAGTAGTATGATGCACAATTCCAGTTAATGGAAGGAATCCCCATTTCCACAACTGATTCCTCAATTTACTCTTAACAGATATTGGTTCCCTATACTGCTACTAACTTTAATTGTTCCAACTGTCCTATTAAATTATTAATCCAGTGAATTAAAATTCTTTCAAATTCATTGGATAGATCACATAGATCTTCTGAAATAATATAGTAGCAATAGCTTTTTTTAAAAAAACAGCCAGATAAATAATTTGACTTGCATGAGAAAGGAAAAAAATTAAGTTTAAAAATCTCTTTACCCATTAGAATATCCAGTTTACTTACACTGGAAGGCTACATCATAGCTGCCTGAAAAAAATTAGTTTGCACCAGAATACATTGAAGAGGAACTGTGGGCTTTCTTCGTATCTCTCACCAAACTCCCCCAAACAGAACATAAGCAATTTGGGGATACTGAACATACAAGCTGTCAGTTGGTTACCGATAAGAATTTTGAAGGTCACAAGATATCCGTTAATACATAAAAGCAATGTTGGAGAAAGAAAATTCACAGTAAATAAAAGTATGGGATGAGTTGGGGTGAACTGTTGCTTAACCCTAGAGTAAATCAGCAGCCTTTCGCAACGAAAGTCAAATATAAGATTACGTTTTTATTTCAAGCTTATAAATTTGAATGATAGTCATGAAACTAAATCAACATCCTCATAAGTAACAATGCAGACTGTGTCTGAATTACAGATATTATAACTGCAGCATTAAGTGATCAATTTTTAGCCCCAAAGTTTACAACCTCCCACCTCCCCTTCCCATTTTCCAAAAAGCTTTAAAAAACCTTAGGGTAGGGCAACACTATCTGTGACTACATTGTTCATTACGTGGATAAAAGATGTGGCATCACTGTAGCACACCATTGCAACAAAACATATACCTTCGGAGTTTATTAAATCTTTAAATACTGTACTCTTAAACTGCAGATTGCTTTGCTCATGTGGTGTTTTTCTTTTAGAGACTTGTCAGTCTTAAATAATTCATATTCCAGTTATTGCCTTCTCACCATACTTAAGTTGGTCCAGAAATAGACCTAGTGTTCGTAGAAAATTCAGTGAACAAATTTCTGCAAATGTACAAAGTTCCTCAAAAAGCTGCTTCCAAAACTCCCATAAATCAATTTAAGAATCACTGTGGAGATTCAAGGTTTATAAGGTTACCGTAGGGCCACAGTTCCTATGCTTTATTCTATACAATTGCTTAGGTAAGCTCAAATCTGGGAGGCACACACACATACACGCATGCTTCAGATTCACTATAACCAAAGAATCCTCAGCCGTCATCTGTTTTTTCTTGATAAACCAGTTTTAAACGAGGATGGATGACATGGTACACCTTTCTTGTACAATTAAGATGAACAGTTAATTGCAAAGTGCATCTGTATTGCTCCAAATATTCGACATAATAAAAATGAACCAAAAGACAATTTAACACTAGGCAAAAAAACAAATTCATTGGGAACAAGGGTGGGCGGTGCAGCTGGTAAACTCGAGAGAAAATCTTGAGGGGTGTAATAAGTGTTTTGAATAACAAAACTATACATGGACATGCTTTTGTTTGTAGCCAAGAAGGCAAAACAAATACAATAGCTTTAGAGGGATTCTTCAGAACTTGATTCTATCCCCTTGGTTTTTAAAATATACAAGAAAGCTCAAGGCCAGGAACAGGCCCTCATTGTTCTCACACTGAGTACTTCATGCTTTCACACAGCCTCCCTTAACCAGGGACACGAGTGTTCCAGGTTGCAGTCTTCTCCACAACCAATACTAATAAACGATTTGGCAGGAAGAATGCAGGCGAAACAGCGAATTCCATCCAAGACTAGATATTTACTAAGAGGCAATCTACCCCAACACTGAGGTTACTGATAAAACAGTCCCAACAACGTTGCACAGAATTAAGCAACAGGCAGCTCCGTACACTCATTACCATCAAGTTGTAAGGCCAACCATTACAACTAACTTGCTTAATCAGACTCATTTTATTTCCCCTATATCAGAGATTTACAATATAAAAGGTCTAGACTGAGCAGCTTTGAAAAACAGCAAAAAATGGTCGTAAATGAGACTAGCAGATCAGAATGGTGGACAATTTCAGGCCACAACTTGAAAGCTACTTGCCTCAAGAGAGCATACAGCTGCCTCACTGCCAAAACAGTTCTTACTAAATAAAATCTGCACAAGGACTACCAAAATGTAAGATAAAACTTTTAACTTTGCTGCGCAAGACTGATCCTCAAAACAAGAGAAATTATAATCCGAAGAGTCATGAATGCTAACCTTTTGTGAATAGATTTTAAAAAAAGCTGTTGACTCCACAACAGGTTCAGTTTAGCATTTATTTGGTTACAAAACCCCAAAAGTTTATTTTGCTTTGCTGTTTGAAGACCTGCCTCTTTTTAGTGAATGGATCACTATGTCTGAAAAGTTTTCATAAAAGTTCTACATCAGTGCCGCTACCAAAAAGTGCAATGTAGAACTATATAGAGCACGGTGTCATGAACCCAATATCAGAAATTCCAACAAACTTATCCACGATTTTCTGGAGGGGATGTTGCAAAGTTTTCTGACAGCAGCAAAAAAAAGCTTTTATATTGCATTTAACATTAACATAGTCCATTTTTCCTGTAGACATTTTTACCTTTTTCACCTCTCCCCTCAAACAGTCGCCTGAATTAATCATATAAAGCCTCCTCTAGCTGAGAAGATAAGACAGATTACTGATCCATCTAGGACTACTTACAATGCCACCCTGACCAGCTGGCACAAGGTGCAGTTATCACAGGGAAGGATAATCACCTCAATTTGTCCAGCTCCAATGGGACACAGATTCAGCAAGGTGCTGCACCTTACAGCTCAGCTGGGGAATAGCACAACTACAACAGCTAAATGTAATTTCCAGATAAGCTTTACAATGCCAGATGTTACCAGTACAGAGTGTCCCAAAATACGATCAAACAATTCTTTTATAACTTCACTTGGAACCAAAACTCATTACAAATGCTCAATAAAGCAAAAAAACACCTTAAAAATGTAACTGTTCAAGTTCAGAAACGTCTTGTCTTTTGGTGCTTCTTCTGTTTAAATTAGAAGAGAATAGAATTAAGTTAAAACCCCTCGTAAGTCAAAATAACAATTCTTAAAGCCTCTGCCTTTCCAGAGTCATTTCTTTCCAGAGATGTTGTCTCAAGCAATAGAAAATGGGAACAAATGCAGAATGATCATAATTCATTCATAGTCCTCATCATCTTCATCATCGTCGTCATCACCGAGACAGGACATAGGGGTCTCCATTCTGGGATTGGAATAATGTGCGCCATTGACGTTTCCTTGTGCTTGACTGGTGACTAAGGCCACTTCGGTATCAGTTGCTAAGGCTGCTGTTGCATCGCTGCCACCGAATGCTCTGAAAGAAGCCACATATTAAAAAAAGTGTATTTTTCATCTTCATTACTATCTCCAGGGCCTTGTGACGTCCTCCGACGTGGCACGAGACAAATATCATTTTGTATTGTATTTTGTACCCAGGTTATTTTGAAATATGAATGCAAGAGATCTGGTCTGTGTATCTTATAATTACATTTCAACTTCCTGATTTCTATCGCTTGTGACAAGGACCAGTTTTTCTTTAAATCTTTTCTGCATGTTAAACACAAGCCTGATCTAACTTCAGTCCCATTAAATTATTGATTGCAATCTCTTGATACTAACCCTATAAATGTATCGCCTTTGCTAATCGCTATTGTTCCCTGTACCTCTGGTATTGAATTTTCCTTTTCCACTGCAAAGATCGAAGCAAAATATTAATTTAGTAGCTCCACCAAGTCTCCATCCTTCACTATTGTTCTACCCCTAATCATGTTTAACAGACCCATCCCTTCCTTTGCCACTCTTGCTTGATGAAATTATTTAATACCATCTATAGCTTTTTCTTCATATTCATTTTCCCTATCATTTCCTTAGATATTTTAAACAATTGTTCTCTGTTCAGTCTTCATCCGTGCCACTCTGCACATCACAAAAGACTTTTGCTTTGGTTTAATAATGGTCCCAAACAGAGTCTAGGATTCCTCATTCCAGAAATACTTTATACTGCGTTTTCTTTAATTGAATTTCACTGTTGATCTGTTATTTTACCAAAAAATTATCCCTAGTGGAGACAATTCCCCCCAAGGTGGCCCTACTTGAAAGCACAACCTTGGATTTGTGATTGTCCCTTGCTCCTCCACATGAACATGAAAGGGATTTGAAAACACCCTACACATAAACCACTGGAGTCAATTGCTTCTCTGCAATCCAATTTTGAAGGAGTTGTTGAACTTTCTTGTATCTGATCATCAGCTCAGATGATAACATTCCATCACACTTTAGACTTCTAATTATGTTAAATATTAGATTTTCAGTTGCGATTTTCAGTTTCATGAATTAAAAAAAAACACTGAGCAAGTGCCATCACTCACAGTACAAAACCTTAGGCTGTTTGTGAACAAAGAATGGGAAGGTGAAATGTAATTCATTTGTCTCGATGACATGTTTCAAAGGTCAAATCTTAAAAGTCACTCATTTGACCTAATCAGACGGGAGCTGTGGGTAACAAAACAAAACTCACCTGCCAGAATGGAAGCCAGATGAGGAAGCAGATGCTGCTCCTGAACTTGGGGCTGAGTTAACATTTTGCACTCCTTTAGCCATTTCTGCAGAAAGAAAAACAGCAATATTCATTTCTAAATTATCATGCGGTATGGTAGGACACTCCAACATTCCAGATTTCAAACAGAGCTGTGAAATGCACTCAACTGAAAACTTTCTTTATGTAAGCGTAAACTTTAACTAGGCGTTACCTTGTCTTTAGTGTCTTAAACAAGATTTGACCAATCACATTCCAATTTTGTGCATTTTTCAAAACTGTTAACATGAATAGAACGTGAAACAGTGCAGTCAGGAGTGGATTGTGGCAAAATCTTACCACGTGAGTTTCTCTTAAAAAGTTTGCCGAGGCTATAACAGATTTGGATTAAAGGAAGTCAAGATTTTCCCCTTTCAGAAGCTTCGCTTTTCCCCACCCGTTGGTTACCTATTACATATGGTTCCAGTACTTGGGGGACAAGGCTCTTGGCTATCTTCAGTTCCTCAGCAGAACAGCCACCAGACTCCAATCCAAAAGCCATTCGCATTCTCTTGAGAATTTCAATGTCGTCATGAATTTCAAACGTATTGTCAAAGTTAAAAAAATATTCAAACCTGTGAAGGCAAGAGACACTGTAATGAACACAAGCAACAAATTTCAAGAAATTCACCAATACCAAACGTCCTATAAACAGCCTTTCCTTAAGCACGAGGAAACAGCCTCTGTTCTCAATTTATATTTTGAAAAACATAAGCTTGCTAGGTCCTGAAATGTGGCACTTCTTTGCCTATTTTTTCACAACTTTCTTTCACATTATTGTTCCACCATTATTTCAGCATCCAGCCTCAGAAAATAGCGCCAGGATTCAACACAAACAGGCAACGAACCCTCACTTAGATCATCTTTATTTCTACTGCTACCACAAGCTTTATAAATACATACAAAGGTTGTTTTCCCACAACTGCTTAGTGTTGAGCATTTATTGTTGCAACTGATATTGTAAAACTTTTAAAATGAATAACATTTCTTGTAATGGTTGAATATTACATCGACTTACTTGTCAGGAGAGATACTGCAGTCTATGATTGTTTTTTTGCTGGTGTTCACTAAGATGAAGGGGAGTTGAATGGCTGTATTTGGAGGAGGAACTCTGCCACTCTGCTGTTCTACAAGACGATTTCGCTGAACCAGATTCTTAAAGGCAATTTGCTGTAAAACAAATATTGTTGTAGAAACATTAACTACATAATAAAAACAATTTATAATTAATTGTAGCTACTTCAATATTTTCTTCCCACAAAAGTATTTAATCACAACAGTATTTCAGCCAAGAAGTGAATGGGCTGGTTTTATTCAGGTCTCTAAGTTCTGGAAAATCGGAAGGAGGAGCGGGCAGGGCATCCCTGTTAAGCGTCTTGCTGAAGCTCGCTTTTAACACAGGTCTCCTGCAGGCCCACGGTTACTGGGAATTCAGACCTGCCTGTTTACTGCACTAAGAAATGGCTGTCTTCTGGGAAATCAGATCACCATTGATGTCACTTTGTGCACAATATGCACAGACAACACCACTGATAACACTTTGCAAAGGAGGTGATAACAGCTGTGATTTTTTAGATTGTCCAGTGCACTCTTTCAGTAACAACATGACAATCCAGAAGTCAGCTTTTCTTGAGCGTACAGATCTGGACAACCACCTTATATATTGGGACCCCTCTGAACTAGTCATAGAGTTCCCATTTGGTTTCTTCTTTAGATCTCTAACCTAGCCTAAGTTATTGCTGCAGTATATTAAGACTAATTTACAACAGTATTTCTGAAAACTGTAGAAAGACACTTATGCGTTTAATTTTACCTGCAGTAGTAGCTCCTTAAGTTGCGACTGCTTCTGCTTTATCCTTTCTATCTTCCTTTGTTTCTCCATCTGTTCACAAAGAATCCACAGGAAATAAAAAATTAAGTCAGTAATATATTGTATTTTTGATCACTTATTGGAAATGCCACAAGACAGACACATTTTAAATGTCCTAATGTTCTGTGATTGACATTTTAAGAGAAGTGGATAATTTACAGAATTGGATAAAGAAGATGAAGAGAGCAAAGACAAACGATGTGACAAGTCTCTCTCCCACCCTCCTTCCATACTCATAGATCTGTCAGTAGGCAGAGGTGGTAGGATATTCTACAAAAAAAAAGTTCCAAAACCAAAATCCTGGCACCAGCTAGCCTCAATCAAAAATGTTGAATGAATTGACAGAATTTGAGGGGGTAGAGAGTTGCAAATAAAAATTGAGACAGTGAAAGAACTTGTTAGACGTAATTACACAAACCCAAACCATAGTGCTAAATACATCCTACACCAAAGGTGCACAACTTGTAAACCACAAGAGCTAGAGAATATAATGGAATGGATAAGAGTACCTCTGGGCTACATATTGCACATCATTTCAACCCAGATGTTCACTCTGTGTACTTACCTCGAGGTTCTGGCATTCTTGAGCTGAGTTTGTAGGAAGTCCTATCCACCGAATTTCTTTCTTCTCTTTAGAGATAATGTTCATTGCCATCAGCACATTCAAGGCATCGTATACACGACGTCTTATATTCTTCTGATCGTATCCCTGCTGTGAATAAGGGTTGTTTAAAAACATCATTGAACATTTTCCATTCACTTCATGGCTGTTTGTAGGATATTGTTATGCTCCCTATAAAATCTTATGTAAGACAGGCATTTATTAAGGAGGTTGAGTAAAGTCCAAATTTCTATCTGTGCATGTCCAAATCTCTAAAAGGTAGTGCTTTGGGACGCTTCCTGAGGGGCGCTATATAAATGAGTTGTTGCTGCATTGGGAGTCCCCCCCCCCAGTATAAATGTAAATTTGTTGTAAAAGTCAGAGGGATGAAACTCAGTCACAAAAATCTAAATGCTGATTCATTGCCACCAGAGGGAGCTTTACTACATGGATCATGAAGACCCCCAAAGGCAACGACGACGACAAAATAACATTTGTATAGAAACAAGACGCAACAACAATTAATCTATTTAAATTATGAAGGCTGTACAACACAAGATACTATTATGGGGTTTAGATTTGATTTGCCAAGTATCAGAAGTGCCTTACTTCTTCGGAGCCAGATTCTTGGTTGCTGGAATTACTGAATTCTGCCACAAGCTCATCTGCCACTTCATTATAGGTGGTTGTTCCTTTTTGCTGCACTTTCTCGCAGACCTTCATTGAGAAATGTCGTAGTCCTTTGCCATTTTTTTCGCCCTTTTTATTCCTTTTACTGAAAAGCAGAAAAAATACATTATTTTCCGTTTCTGCAAAAAAAATCACACAGCAAATTTTGCAACAATTTAAAGGTAAGACACGTGCAACGTGTGTTCTTTAATGATACAGTAACATCAAAGTGCACAGTAATGCAATTTATACGGAAATACTATCTAATATTTTTCAAATCACACTAAAATGTTGTATTCCAAATAATTATTAAAATCACTTAAAAAAAATTGAAGAATACTATTTAAGTTACACCAAGAGCAATAAAATAGAGGCAAATCTGCTAAAACAGCACAAACTTATTACATTCTTCAGAAACTTATGTGAGAGCCAAAATTACATCATCTTAAAATAGCTCAAACAACCTCCACTGGAAATAGGGAACTCTGAATACTGCAGTAGCATTGATACTGTAGATTTAGAAGGAAATTCTTAAAAACTGGAAATAAGACCAACCATTCTATTAACCTTTTTTCGCAGAGGTTTCCCATCTGGAAGCCTACCAAACAGCCTCCCTTTCGCTTTGTCGTTTGGTTCCTCTACATACTACACGGATTTTAGGCCTAAACACAAATTGTAGGTCGAGCAGAAAGCCCACAATTGAGCTGACAAATGGTCATGACATTGATTAATAAAGTAAATCAACCCCAAAAAGCTGGAAAAACTTGATCAGGTTTATCATTCACATCTCTTTTAAATTGATACCAATCGCTAAGCTTGCCTTGTTGCCAAATACATGTCAGTCACACTGGTAGTCAGGTGGTTAAGTTTGGTACAATGCTGAATTCTCAATCAAACAAGCTCAGATCTGCATCTCACTAGTGTTTTATAAAGTGCCTTAGCTAACCAGGAATGGAACAGTGCAATCTTATTTAGCAGATCTCTTGTACCCGGACTTAGCACAGCCCAAAGATTGTAAAGTTGGCATATTCCATGCCAGAATTCACCCTCTTTTACCTAAGAGGCCAGTCGGTTCATTCCTTAACAGATCTGTAACCATAAAGCTGTGAGGGTTACTAGAATTTGAGCTAGATCTCCACATGTCAAAAGCACAAGAGCTGCTGCGGCAAAAACCTACTAAATTTCTGCACTATATCTTATAAACATAGTTGAATAGTTGGGTCACAATTAGAATTTTGCTCCTAAAATGTACACTAAAACCTCACAGAATATCAATGTTACCCCTAACAGCCTCAGTCTGTTACAAGCCAGTGGGGGTACATTTATCCTTAGTATTGCATCAATGATATTTCTGAGATAGTCAGAAAGTGGGTTGGACCAAATGTGCAAACAGGAAAGAAGCCATTTAATACTTAAGGTCAGGAACTGGCTAGCACCAATCACTGCCTAGCAACATCTGCTAGAAAGGAATTTCTGTAGGAGGTTGGAAATAATCTACAAAATTCACCCACTGCTTTACTGGCAAGATTCTAGATATACCCCAAACACCTTTCATGTAGAACCGCTCTCGTTCCTTTCTTTTTTAACAATTCAGATGATCCATCATAAGATAATGTAAATCAGCATGCTTGCCTATTGCTAGGCTAAAGCCTACATTTCTAATGGTTTAGGACATTGCTCCTAATTGCAACAACTGCTTCTCAGTCAGACTAGATTTGTACATACATGCACTGCCTGAGATCTCCTTCACGAATAGAAGCAAATGATGTAGTTTTCCACCTCTGGCAAATATTTCATTGGAATGTATAAACAATCACGTTGTCCCAAGTTGCAGAGTGCACTTCATTAACTAAACACCGATGTCTCAGAACGGGCTATTCACATTTAGCTGGGCTTGATTCCCAGCTCCTGACCTTAAATATTAAGTTACATCTGTATATCTCAATATGAGGAAGTTCCACATCAAGGCACAACTTGCAAGCCACATCAGGTTGAGCAATTCAGATTTCATCTTTGAGGAAGAAAAGGCTTCAGTCTTCCCGTATGCTGGGGAATGAGGTAGTCAGTCACATCTATTATTTCAGTATGTCCAGTCTCTGGTCCTACTCTTACAAATGTTTTCTAGAATGTTTTCCAATAACTCTGTTAAGCATTTCAAGACACTGATCATTCCTGGGCAAGTGAGTTTTAAAGGACATGTGAGAGCCCACATTGTTCCCAAGAATTTCCACTTCTAGTTCCAAGTGTAATACTAGTAAAAGAGTAAGAAGACAGTTCACTGCAGGAAACGCAATTGTAGAAACAAATCTTATTTAGGTCACAAGCATTGAAATCCTCCAAAAACTGTTAAGTCCTTTCATAAAAGCAGGAGAAGTAAACTTGGCTTTTGAATACAACCAGATGAATCTCTGAAATACTTATTGACAATTGGGACAAGAACAAAATACACTAAGACTAAATAATTCAGCCCCAGAAGCAGTATGTACATTTGGTGTGAGTGATTAGGCGAGGAAATAAATCTTCAACAGATTCACTAGTTGTGAATACATTTTAACAGATCATGAGTGACAAATTTCCACAGGTCACATCTGATATCAATGAGCAATGTGAGGTTTAAAACTTTATCTTAAAATTATTGCCCAGTGCATAGCACAGACAAATTGCTTAAATCCTGATTGGCACATACATTTCTTGCCTCCCCTACCATGATTTCCAATCCTCCTAAACACGTCACCATTTATGTCTCAGCAGAGGAGGAGGCCTGTGATTCTATAACTCGATAGGCAAACCTTTTCATAATAGGGATCAGCTCAGTTTCTTTGTAAAATGGAGCAGAGCATTTGTAACTGAAACTGTCTGGTCACTCAATCTCAAAACTGCTTTTCTGTACCACGAGATTGTCACAGATCAGTTCCAATCCTGTCATTGAAAAAGAATAATCTGGAACATCTGGATTTAAGACATTTATCCTGCACCAGTATACTTCCGTGATCCCCATAACAAACAGCACATACAACATTTCCTGGGATGCATGGTCACAATTCCATTTTTTTCCAATCCATATTCCTGATAAAAATAATACCCCCACATTTCTTATACCAGTTTTGCCATAACCTTCAATTTTTTTTATTTGGGTTTACCCTGTACTCCATGGAGAAGTGTCCGATGCCTCGCCCTGAGTTACCATGTGTACGTTTGGAGCATGGGGGCTTCCCACTAAAAGAGTAGGTGTTGATGGTGTTCGTTGAGGTGTACCAATTATCTAGAAATGCACAGTAAGTTAGAAAAATAAATGGTTAATCAACAAATTATAAAAACAAAATATTGATAAAGTAAACTGTTGGATTATATGAAAATTCAAAATGACATGCTAATTACTTTTCTTCCTCTCCCCCCACCACCCCATTAAAAAAGATAGTATTTTAGAGGTCAAAACCACAGCAATTTTTCCCACTTTTTTTGAAAAACAGAAAAGCTAGATAACATGACCTCCATTACAATCATTGTTGGTAATGTGCAAGGTCAGAATACTTTTAACAAAATGATCATCGTCAGACAACATTGGAAAGTTTGTATGATTGAATATTACTCATTTAAAATAAAGCAATGAAACTAATTTAATTTTATCCATTTCAAACCATCTTTACACAAAGTTCATAACCATTTCTAGTAATAGGTTTCACCTCGACAAAAACCCTTTGCAATAATTGTTAATGGTCTTAAAGGAAACTACTGGTGTTTGAAAATAGCAACCTACCATCTGAGGAGCGTTAATCAGTCACTTCACCTCCAGACACAGAGACACAGAGAGGAGGAGGAGGAGGAGTGGTGGTGATGGTCAAAAGTAATGAGATATATATATGTGTATATATATATATATAGAGAGAGAGAGAGATATGGGGCGAAAAAAAAAAGGAGTTCAGCAAAGCCTCGTTACACACTGCGAACTGTCTCCAGAGGTCCTATTTTGCGGCACAGTTCCTGTAACGGAACTTGAATGTCTTGAGGCCGACACCACACCCACAGGAACACCATCACATTTTTAAACGGTGAGGAAACAGACTCCGCCTCAGCGTTACACACACAGCGCCGCGAGTCAAACCGACTGCGCCGTGAGCGCTCCTGTTGGTGTTACAAGAGCTTCGTGCGGGGGGAGGGGGAGGGAGGGGGGGGGGGGGGTACACAGAGCAATGCTGCTTCACCCCCCACCCCACCCACCACACATACACATACCCACACACAGCCCCCACCACACACACCCCACCCCCACACACACACACCCACCACCCCACCCACACACACCACCACACACATACCCACACACACCACCACACACATACCCACACACACCACCAACCACCCCAACACACCACCACACACAACCACACCACACACACATACCCACACACACACTACCCACCCACACACACCCACACACACTACCCACACACACACTCACCCACCCACACACACCCCCACCACCACACACATACCACACACACCACCCACACACATACCCCACACACACCACCACCACACACTACCCACACACACACACATACCCACACACATACCCCCACACACACAACTACCCCACCACACCACCACACACATCCACCCACACCACCACACACCCCACCACACACCACCCACCACACACACCACAACAGCCCCCACCACACACACCCACACCACCACACCCCACCACACACCACCCACACACACACAGCCCCCACCACACACACACCACACACACACACAGCCCCCACCACACACACCCACACACCACCCACCCCCCACACACCACCCACACACACACCCCACCACACACATACCACACACACCACCACACCACCCCACACACACTACCCACCCCACACACACCACTCCACCCACACACACACAGCCCCCACCACACACCACACTCACACCACTCCACCCACACACACACACCCCACACACACACCCCACCACCCCACACACAAACCACCCACACCAACCCCCCCCCCCACACACACACCACCCCCCCCCCAAAACAAAGGGGGGCAAGGCAGTGTTAAGGTCCAGGCAATTGATATACAGTTTATGCCTTAACCATTTTGTGAATGTCCGGCAATGGGTTCCAAGAGAATTCTCTTTCGCAATACTGCTTAAAAAATTCTTTTTTTTTTACCCTAAAATAACTTGTTTCACGGTGGCGTGAAACTGAGCCCTCAAGGGGACTCAGTAATTCCAGATTTGACTCCTGGTCCGCGCTAATTGCGAGCTAATCCCAGCTACGGCCACGATAAATCGGGTCCGATCGACCTCGAGGGATCCGGGTTAGAGAGGAACTTCAGCAGACGGTGTTCTTACTCCTGATTGCTCTCCGGTGAAACCCGCTGGAAAGTGTATATGTGCTGCCAATCTCGTCAGGATCTGATGGACCGGAGGTTTTGACGTTGCCTGGTGGCTGAATGGGGTTTCCGATCGCTATTCGAGCGCGGTGCACCTTCCATTCCAACAATCTATCACTGAGATTTCCACGTCGAGTTGGGCTGTATGGAATCCTGTTTGGTTTGGATGCTCTTTAAGTGTGGTGGTGGGTATCCACACGGGTCAGACACCCGGCTGACTGAAATAAAATCGCGATTCGATGACCTCCCCCCTTGCTGGAAGGTGAGCTTGTATGGACATTGAGTGAGGAAAAGGCATGACTGAGCTGTAATATTATTACTATACGGTTGTATAGTTACTGTCTCGCCTCACGTGTAAAGTGTGATCATTTTGATGTGAGGTATTGAGAAATACCAGTATCAATGGAGTATTAAAAGGAAAAGGCAGCTATGTTGCATACTGTGGTTCCTTTCTTACAGAAACCAACATACATTAGTGAAGGGTGAGCAAACTATTTATTTCCAGATAAAATTCGGTGCTCTAATACAACTTGTACTTTGCCCACAAAATACACAGTCACTACAATTTACAGTATATCCTGTGAAATGTTTTGAGGAGTCGCGCTAGATGTTATATGCGTTGCAATGATTATTATCATTATTTATTGTGGAATTAATGATGTGAAGCAATAAGGATGATGATAATATCATTGGATGGCTCAGGAAAAAAAACATACTAATCACCTCGTGTCAAATTTAATTCATATTTTTCCTGTTTGTTTTGGGCAAAGCTATTGAGATCTAATTGGGGGGGGGGGGGTGAGTCCCAGCAATATTAAGAGGAATCATACAGCTGTGAATTGCATCTACAGTAAGTATAATAGTAATAATTCTTGCATTTGATATAGCGCCTTATCATGTTTTCAAGATGTTTCAAAGCGCTTCACAGAATCCAATTAAACGCGGCAGCCAATTGTGCACAGCAGAATCCCACACACAGTCGTGGATTGAGTGACCAAATTATTATTATTATTTTAAGGAATAATTATCCCTAGAAAATATATATAATTATGATATATCTGAACAAGTTCCAATTTCCTTTCCTCCACCTGCTATGGTGCCATTATCCGGATATACTCGCTTCCAAATCCACGAGGTGGAATGTGATTATTTCTCTCCCAACAATCAATCACTTTGCCTTCCTGATAAAGACAGAAATTGATAAGCCCAAGGAATAGGGCCTGGCTTCTACGGAATATGAGGTCACTGTGGGGAAGGCCTTGAAGACAGCCTTCAAAGGCTTTACCAATCAGCTAATGAATAAGGAATAAAATATTTTTTGGCAGCAATAGATTCCAAAGGGAGGTAGAGAACACATGAAGGAAGTCATTTGCGTAGCCTTGATGAAAATAATTCAAGCAGTTTCTCCCTATAAGTACCTTTCTCTGAGGACGGTGATTGCAATTTGGCTGGCGGATATGGCAGAGATATTTTGAGAAAGGACAAGGTGAAGAAGTGTTTAGATAGCACCCAAATCAAGTCAGACATGAGCACTGAGGGGTTTGCAGGCTGAACCCACCCCTTCCAGAGTAACGTGAAGGCTCAGCCCGAAAGGCTCCTTTCTGTGCTGAACGTTACTGTGTAAGAGCAAATTATGTGGTTATTTACCTACAGTGGAAGAGAACTCCCACTACTGTACCTGACCTCGGAGCCGCATGCTTCTACAGTGCATGCGATTTATGTTGCTTCAGTTTTAATGCATTCATGTCAATCTCACACAGGTTTAAGCTGGAAGTGGTGCACACGTCAGAAGGGTGACTTATTGCCCCCTTCCCGAATCTTAGAAATCACAGCAGAGGAGGAGGCCAATCAGCCCATCAAGCCTAAGCGCTCCGGGCTGCTACCCCGTGTGTAGGGCACTATATAAATGCAAGTAGTTGTTGTTGTACCACCAAAGCTATATACCATAATCCACTGTGGCTGACTCAGGGGATAGGCTTCTGTATAAAACGTAGAGAATCACATTCCGGTTGGATTATTGTGACCGCACCTAGATGTGATCTCTATGGCATCAGGAGTATAAATGGTCTATGGTTTCAATGCCTCAAATTCTTGTTATTGTTAACGTAGAAAATTGGGACCACCTTTCAGGGATAGTGTTGAAAGTGTTTTTATTTTGAAAGGGGTGCTGTTTATTCCTGGGCTGCGGGAGGCCAGAAGGCCAGAGCAGCCTGAACCAGGGATATCTCCACAAGCATCACAAATACAGCTCCGTCATGCAAAATGCCATTTTCAAACAAGACATTTCCTGTTATTGTAATTTTTTCAAAGGTGCCAACATGTAATTTCCAGCTTTTAAAACGACCAGACTGGACGTGCACCGTATTCGCAAGCAAAACACTTCCTTTTGAAGTTGAAACAAGAAGCAATGCGTTTTTCTTACCCCCTCAAGATGAACGTCATTCGGTTTCTTGAGCTCCAGCAAAGGAGGTAAAACACACACCGCAAATCGCGTTTCAAATTACTGTGTGCAACAGATGTTTGTGGATTCAATTTATTTTCAAGTGGAGCACTGCTTCATTCCAACCAGAAATTGTGGGTTTAAGTCTGTTTGAGGTACTAAATATAGCAGCAATAATGTTTGGACCTTCACTTAGAAGGGCCGATTCCACTAATCTTACCAGACATGCTGTCTAATTAAACATTTTATTATATGACCAGTCCTGGAAACATTACATGGCAAGGGGAAACCTGATTGACACAAATCCAAACCCTTTAATAATAGTTTGGCTTCTTTGTAATTTGACCTTTTACTAAATTTGAGCATTTCTTCACTTAGAAGGCAAACTCTTTAAGTCATTCCCAAAGGGATTATGGACATGGTGTTGTGTTGACACAATGGTTTTATTAATTTGTCATAGCTTTACAGAATGTTACAGCACTGACGGAAATCATTCAGCCTTTTATGTCTGCTGGATTTCTGAAAGACTCACTCCCCTGCCTGTATCCTTTTATAGTTTGCTTTGCCAAATATTTGCTTAACTGCCTTCTAAAATATACTCTGGATTCTGCTTCAACTAACCGTTTTTCATAGAGCACTCCACGTCCTAATAACCCTTGTGTATAAAACAAAATTTCCCCCTTGTGCGCGTGTGTTTTTTTTTGGTGATGATTTTATACGTAATCTTTCTAGTTACCGACTCACCGAGAGTGGAAATAGTTTCTTCCTATTTATGTTGCAGCTTTACTGCAGTTCACATGGAGGCACACGTTGTGTGTGGCATGTACAGTATGGGTACTCAATGGGAGCAGTAAAGCTTTACTGCTTACATAGCAAGTGATCATCATTCTCCCACCAGTGAGGTAAGACAAAGTGGATCTGACATTCCGACCAGTTTTAGCCTGGGAGACCAGCCTGACTTAAAAATTGTCACTTCGCTCATAATTGTGGAAAATTAAATCAAATTGGGTCTTAATTTGCGTGTGTGTAAAAAAAAAAGACGACGACTCTTGTGTTCGAAAGCCCTTCCTCTACGTGTGTCCCAATGGTCAATGATTGCTCCCAAACCAATTATTCTACATGTTGAATTTCCCCTTGGTCACTTGGAACCCTACTAATCACCCTGTGAAAGTGGATATTATTAAACAGATTATGAATTTACAGGGGGTTGGGGAGGCGGGTGTGGTTGGGGGTGGGGGGTAGCGAGGCACCACATCTTATTGATTGTTTCACCTGCGCACAGACACACACACACATCAGCAAAATACACAAAACATCCATTCGGTCAGCGGGTTCACCAGCATCAAATAGTGACAGGTGAGGAACACATCCGAACAGAGAAAGAGAGAGGCAGGACGTATCAATATCCTTTTTCAGCTTCATCCAAGGAAACTCCTGCACCCAATGAAACTCCTGCACCCAATGAAACTCCTGCACCCAAGGAAACTCCTGCACCCAAGGAAACTCCTGCACCCAAGGAAACTCCTGCACCCAATGAAACTCCACCCAAGGAGACTCCTGCACCCAATGAAACTCCACCCAAGGAGACTCCTGCACTCAATGAAACTCCTGCACCCAAGGAAATTCCTGCACCCAATGAAATTCCTTCACCCAAGGAAACTCCTTCACCCAAGGAAACTCCTTCACCCAAGGAAACTCCTTCACCCAATGAAACTCCTTCTCCCAAGGAAACTCCCCAGCCATACTGCAGATGGAAACAACTTATCAGTCACCCTTTCAAATGTGTCCCCAGCACAGTACACCACTAGCTTGTCAATGCCAAACCCCTGGAACATCAGTGCAGCACCTTCCAACTCCTATTTCTGTCTTAATATTGCCAAATCCTCTTTGATTTCTGTGTCGCCTAACTCTCTGGAACTCTTCACATGATAACAATGCATCCTCTCGTTCATCAATGGGTAAATTCCCTCGATGGCCCCGGCGGTTAAAGGCACTTATGCAAGTGAGCACCAGCTAGGTAGGACTCTTCAGCGTTGAAGGAAAGGGAGACGGGCATGTTTCTGTCTTGTATCCACAAATATCCATCTAATTCACTTTTAAAATGTATTATTATGAACTATGCTTCACTCACTGATGTCACAGGGTGTCCCATGTCCCCAAATCCTAACGGGATTAAAAAAAAATGTTCTCCTTAACCTCGTCTTTTGTTCTTTCGGTAACGAAACTCACGACCTCTAGTTATCAATTCATCACTGGAATACGCAGCAGGGAACAGCAACAGGAGAGCTGGCCACATCTATTTGTGGTGGTTATAGAGAAACCTCAGCAGGAGGTGATCTTAAAATCCATTACCAACTGCATTGCAACATTACCAGCTCATTTGCATCACCCGATGGCGTCAAGTTTAATTAGCTTTTTGATAGAAACATGTCAGGTTTGGCTGCTGAGATTTGGTGGATCCTGAAGGGGTTGTTGTGGGAGTTTCTATGAAGAGGGCAAGGGATGGATAATCCAGACGTCTCTGGTTTCTGTCTCCTGATATGTTGCAGATCCAATAATAACAGCTTAGCTCAATCGAAAGGGAAGTTACATGGAACAAACACGTTCGAAGAAAGAAAGAACTTAACACTTGGAGTCCTGTAGCTCAGTGGTTAGAGCACTCGCTTTGCAAGCGAGAGACCTGAGTTCAATTCCAGGCAGAGGGCGAAACCTTGGGCAAGTTTCCTTACTCCACACAGAGCCTAATAATAATCCCTCCAAAACCACAAACAATAATAAATTGGTCATTTTCAATCTACGACTGTTTGTGGGACATTGCTGTGCGCAATTGGCTGCCGCGTTCGCCCACAAATGTGCAGTCAATTCACTTTACAGTGTGTTCTGTGAAGCGCTTTGGGACGTCCTCCCGACGTGAAAAGCGCTATATCAAATGCAAGGATTATTATTATTGTAGATCCCCCCACTTAACACTGTTTCAAGTCTCAAACAATTATTGCCTGTGTAATGATTTGTAGTTTCAGTGATCCTTGTAGTAAGTATTTATTGCACGGATTTCTGACGCACTTCATACATGGTGTCCTGGTGAATATCTAAACATTTTACTAGTTTCCTGTCCCAGTTAATACACAACTTGAGAAATTTACCAGCAATGAACACAACACAATAACCCCTCCCCATCCCCTGTAATCTTCAAACTTCAGACATATGAGAGAGTGTGCCAGAAATAGACAGATAATAGGACACAGTTTATGTCACTATTCCTCATAAGGGTCATGCCAGGCACTGCCAAGGGAGAGGCTAAGTACTTCCCCACAGCGGAACATGAGTCATCCTGCTCTCAGACACTCATTGCCTCTTGCTGAAGTCACTTTATAAAGCAATGTTGGAAATAACTCCTCTCCTGACTGTCTGTGAGCCAGAGACTCAGGGGACACTTCAAAACAAAGAACGTCATTTTAAAGGTGGGTACACTGTTTGGAACGCTGGCTGATGTTAACACAATTCCAATCCCCCCTGTGGCTCACTTAAAGCCGCTTTCCCAAATTTCATTCCCGACCCGTGCTGTTGGCTGATTGGAGTTGGAGGAAGCCTGTCCCAGGCCTTCTACCATTGACCTCAGCACCTCCCAACAAGGACATTAACAGGAATTCCAGCTCCCAATCAATCACTACTGGGTGGTCACTGTTGGAAAGTGATTGTATTTAGATGTCAGATCAGGACAAGAGGGAGCCATGCTGTGATTTCCACCCACACAAGTGGAGCAGTTTGACAAGGCACAAACTCACACATGAATAATGGCCTCTAGCAATGAGAGCGTGGCTCTCATTCCTGGCCTGGCACCTCCTAAGGTTGGTTTGGATGAAGGAGGCTCTTTGGCCATTTTGATCTCATCCTTTCAGATACCCACCTTACTGTCTTCTCACCACAGCATCAACTTGTGTTTTTTTAAAATGAGTCCAGCATCCTGACTTCAACCAACCTGTTCCAGTCGTTCATAACCTTCTGAGTAAAGAAAATCTCCCGAGTGTCTGTCCTGAAATTACCCTTTTCAATTCTCTAAACCCATGTCTTCTTGTTCTAATGTCTTGTTACTTCTGTAAACATTGTTGGGTTTAGTTTATCAATGCCATTTGAAATTGTATATTATGTCTATTTGGTCCTCTCCGCGATCAAAGACTTGGCTGATTGTTACTCAAGGCTCATTCTTCTAACATTGGATATCATCCTCGTTGCTCTCCTCTGCATTGCCGCGAGGGACCTGTGCAACCCCCTTTTGTTGCGGTGTCCAAGGACTCATCTGCAGAACAATATTGCAGAGCGAGTTAGATTGTTCAGGATTTGGGGAAACTGTTGCAAATGTAGAATGCCCTCTAGTGGCCACTTGAGTGCTATACTTGAACCCAGATTGTCCTCCAAATGGCTCCTCAAAACCACATCCTATTTGCCTCGCAATGGGGGGGTCTAAATAGCGGCTGTGCTAACCATCTGTAAAATTAAGTTTACAAAGAATCAGTAGGCTTTTGAACTGGGGGGGAAGCATCACAGCCAAGCCTGACCCAGTCTTCCCCCAACATTTGACATCCACTGGAGATTACTGCACAGCAAACACGAGCAAGAACTTGGGTGAATTATTTCCCCTCATAGATCAGGAATCGTTAAGCCAACTGTACCACCCTCACCTCACTCCAAACTGAAGTTGGCCAAATTCATACAGATCAGAGATTGAAGTTGGAACTTGCCCGGTCTACACGACCCAGTGTTTATTCACTGAGGCATCAATGGAGCCAAGCCTCTCCATTTTAGGGCATTTTCTTTCCTTATTTTCTCTCTGGACTATTAACCGCAAGACGAGCGAGTCTGGTACGGCGTCACTCTTCCACGAGAGTTTTCATAACCTTTCTATGGGGAAACGTTTGACCTCCGTTCTGTGGCACCAGGAGATCTTCCTTTCACTTATCTACTTTTATTCATTCAACAACGACAACAACAACAACAAGATTCCATTTATTGAGCGCCTTTCACGTCGGGAGGACGTCCCAAAGTGCTGGACAGTTGGGTCAGGACCCGAGCCTTGGGGGGGGGGAAACGGTCAGGGCGAGGGGAGGGGAGGGAGGGAGCGAGGAGGAGGAGGGGGGGGGGGAAATGGTCAGGGCGAGGGAGGGAAGGGAGGGAGCGAGGAGGAGGGGGGGGAATGGTCAGGGGGGGGGGGGGGGGGGGGGGGGGGGGGGGAAATGGTCAGGGCGAGGGGAGGGGAGGGAGGGAGCGAGGAGGAGGAGGGGGAGGGGGAATGGTCAGGGCGAGGGGCGGGAATCCTTTTTGTTTCGTTCCGTCTCCTTTCCCGTTTGCCTTCTGTTCCGTAAGCGCTCGGCGATTCCACGCCCGGGTGTGCCCGACTCTCCGCCGCCGTTCGAACTCCTTCAACGGGACTGTTGGGTCAGTCTGGCCTCGCGACCGCCCTCGGGGTGACCTCTTCTCGAGATGGACCGGAAGCCCGGACCCCTGAAACCTTTCGGCCACCGCCGCCCGCGGCCGGGTCAGCGCCTTCAGCCACCGCCCTCAGCTCGGGTCGTTTTTAATTCAAGGGATATTTTAAATAATGCTGATGATAATAATAATAATAATAATAATTATCGATCACAATCCTCGTCACAAAGCCCTTCCCCCCCCCCCCCCCCAAGGTCGGTCGACCGCCCGTTGCCTGCGGACCACCGCGCGCTGGGCGGAACGTGAGCGCGGGGCCGAGGGCACCCCCGCCGGAAGGTTTTCGCCGCGGCACCGGCTCACCCACGCGGAGCCTGTGCGCTCTCCACCGACTCCCCCGCCGACCGAGCGCGATTGGTCGGCCGGAGAGGTACCCGCCCACGGAAGCGGGCGGGGTCGCGGCTGCTGATTGGCCGGACGGGGTTGTCAATCCGCTCCACGTCAGGGCCGAGCGGGTTAGGTGGTGTGCGCGCGCGCGCGTGCGTGCGTCTGCGCGAGCGCGAGGGGGGGGGGGGGGGCGGTTAGTGACGGTTGGCCGTGTGTGTGGCTGCCATGGGCTCGCGAGGGAAGAAGACGGGCAGACGGGAGCATGTGGTGGCCTGGCTCAGCCGCTCCGAGTGGGACCAGGTCCTCGAGTACTTGTACTGCGGGGACAATAAGCTCAGGAGATATGCCCTGGATAGGATTTCCGCCTGGACATGCAGGTGGGGAGAGAGGGGGGGGGGTGAGGAGGACTGGGGGGTGGGGGGGGGAGGTGTTTATTACTGGCTCTCACCTGTCGTTTGGCCTCCTCCCCACCTCGAGGGGGAGACGCCCCTCAAATGCAGGTTTTATTTCTGATTCGGGGGCCGCGTTCGTTCTCCTGTTGCACGAGGGAGGGAGGGAGGGAGGGAGGGTACGTGGGGAAGACGGGGCTGTATATCCCCCTCCCCCCCCCCACACACCATCCCCCCCCCCCACACACACACCATCCCCCCTCCACACACACACCACCCCCCCCCCCACGCATCATCCCCCCCCCACACGCACCATCCCCCCCCCACACGCACCATCCCCCCCCACACGCACCATCCCCCCCCCACAACCATCCCCCCCACACACCATCCCCCCCCCACACGCACCACCCCCCCCACACGCACCACCCCCCCCACACGCACCACCCCCCCACACGCACCACCCCCCCACACGCACCACCCCCCCACACGCACCACCCCCCCACACGCACCACCCCCCCACACGCACCACCCCCCCACACGCACCCCCCCCCCCCCCCCCCCACCCCCCCCCACATGCACCACCCCCCCACACACACACACACCACCCGCGCCTAACCATTACAAGCCATGATGCCTCCCTCACTCCCCAACCCCACACACACACACTTAACCCACCCGTTGGCAGAAGCCGTTACTTCGTGAAGGGTGGCGGACTGCGATGCCTCCTGTGACCGAACAAAGATGGATAGAATGAGGGGGAACCCTCTCTCTCCCCCCCCACCGCAAAATACCGCAGATTGCTGAAAATCTGAAACGAAAACCAGAAGTGGCCGAGAACACTCAGCAGGTCAGGCCGCATCTACAGAGAAAGGAAAGTGGGTCAACGTTTCGGGTCCGCCACTCTCCGTCGGAACTGGGGGCACGTTGGGAGGGAGAGGCCTTTAAGGGCTAACAGAGAGTGGTGGGGGGTGGGAGAGGCAGGGCACGGAAGACGAGGGAGAAAAATGGGGTAGAGGGCAGGGGGGTGCGTGGCTTGAAGAGGTGTTAGTGATGCAAAACAAAGGTGACGAAGGTGTCGTGGACCCGAAACGTTGACTCACCTTTCCTTTCTCCATCGATGCTGCCTGACCTGCTGAGCGCTCCCAGCCACTTCTGTTTTCGTTATGGATAGAAGGGAAATGGCTTAGTTGCAAACAAGTTCACTTATAAAATACGCAGTCACTACATCATTTTCACAATAAAATCCAGTGAAGCTCTTTTATAAGTACCCTCTGTTAAAAGATGTAACATCGAATGCAAGGATTGAGTAATTCTCTCATGGCAGGTGGTTGCAATTCTTTTTTCAATTTCAATCACACAAGCATGGTATAGACCTACGTGTTGGTGGAGCAGATGGAAAAGAATGGATTGAGCGACGGTCATTCAGTACAACAAGCCTTCTTCCACATCCAGTTTGTTCACAAGCATGGAATGCACCACATCTGCTGTTGGATAGTTGGAAGTATAGTTGCAAATTTCTATGCAAGGACACAAACTCATTGAAAATTCTGTAATAGAATTTCATCACCACCTCTCAACTATACAAACCAAACTCCTCTCTTTCCCTCCACAGAGATTTATATAATCCTTGTAATAATAATCCTTGCATTTGATATAGCGCCATATCATGTCTTACGAGATGTCTCAAAGCGCTTCACAGAATATATTGTACAGTGAATTGACTGTGTATTTTGTGGACAAATCGCGGCAGCCAATTGCGCACCAATTTCTCCCACACCAGAGGTGTAGCAGTACAAAATTCCTTGTATTCTGAGTATTACCCAGACTGATTCATTTTTTTCCCCCAGTACTTGTCTGAAGTGGATGCTTCCCCAATTCCTTTTTAGAGTTTTATCAATAAAACCCACTATTCTGTGAGAAAGCAAAAAAAACCTTTATGGTTGAAGTAAAGAGTTGACAGTGGAATCGATCATTAAACATAGGAATATTTTCATTAAATCAGTAATATTTTTATTATTCCTGGTAATACATTCTTGTTGCTATTTTGTAGGTATGGCAATAATAGTCCACTTGCTGTGGAATGTACTGCAGCCCTCGTAAGGTGTAAACTGAAAGATGAATTGGGTGAAGCTCCATCTGAAGAAATGATCTTGTCATATGGACTTGCTCTTGTCAGGTAACATTCATGTATGAACATTTTTAATTTCTGATAACTGTATTTCCCTCGGTAAGGAAGTTCTTAATTATGATGCTTATTCACACAGGAATTTATGTTGAATTTTTGTGAGGGAATGTCAAAATGTGGAATGTTAGTGATAGGAAAAAGAAAATTTTTCTATTTGCTTTGCTTTGCACCCATTGTCAACGTCAAGCATTCCAAAGTTAGGTGTAGCCTCAGAGTGGATGCAGTCTACAGCTGCATTAACTAATCCACTCCCAAATTCCCATTTTAACTCAAAACTCAGAATTGCACATCTTATTCTGTCTCCCCTGTATGCAATCTTTGGCTGCTCTGAGTGAGACTCCCATTTATGTGCAATTATATGATGTGCCAGATCGAGATGATCCAAACTCATTTCACAAAGGATCCTTACAGCTAATGAAGTTCCATTATGACACCTTATACCTAATATTTAGTGCTTTTCAATCGCACTGGTGGTGGTTTGAAAGTTTATTTTACTCTTGATAAAAGAGTTTTCCGTTCTTTTTCAACAAAGAGACAGCCGTACATTTAATGAAACTGAATTAACTGTTCCCGTAGGTTTGTCAACCTGATTACTGAGCGGAAACAGAAACCGCTCGCTGTACCACTGAGACGTCTGGCTGATAAGGTTTGTGACCACCGTGTTCTGTTCAGCACCGTTGTATATTGGGCATTTGATCCAGATGACTAGAATATTCTCTTAAAAATGGTGTATTATTGTGTGGGTTTTCTCATATATATACTGTGCATATATGTATATACTGTATATGCCCAGGGTTTGCAATGGATATGCATCTATTTATGGATGTTTGGATTGAATTGCATTATTGCAAAATTATGTGAATGAAGCCAAACAGGTACAGTTGGACCAATGCTAACTAGAATGTGTAGAGTGAATTAGATTTATAGCCTCTGACCGTCAGTAAACTGTTGATACAAGAGAGGAAAAGTCAACCCATGCAGCACTCACTCCACAGGAAGAGTCTGTGTGGTCCATATGGCTTCCCAGCTTCTTTCCATTTTCATGAATGTCGCATTTTATGTGCTTGGCTTATTTGGTCTTTTGCCAAAGATGATCCGTTCCTTAGACTTTAAAATAAATACTTGGGATGAATAAATCTACCTACTTGGCTTATATCTACTGTTAGATGATATGCTAGGGATAAATCCTGCCTATGTATGTAAAGATGTATTTATAATGTTCACAGGGTTTTATAAAAAAATAAGGTTAAGTTTGGGTTTTCCCTGTGGTTTGAGGATTTGTTCCCATAAAAATATAAATTACACCCTGGAGAATATTTTTCCTGGATTCTACCTACTTTAATTATCCAGTTTTTTGTCCTATTTTAGTAATACTTTTTTTTAAAAGAACCTTTTTTTCTCTTTACTCATGCCTTCTCCCAATTAGATTGTCTCGTGTATTTCAATTGGCGGGCCTGTCTGAACTCTTAAAAGTACAGACATCTGTAGACGACTGGTGTCGAAGCAAATCTGATTGGTTGGTAGAAGCAGCATCCTTTCTTTCCAATCAGCAGCAGTTCGCCCCGTTTCACCCCTCCCTGAGCATTCTCTGCCGCTGTAAAGTCTCCCTCTAGTGGACCCAAACTGTTCCTATTATTTCAGAAAATCCTCAAAGTGAAAATGCACAAATGTAAAAAAAACACACAGATTGCTTTGGACTAAATAACTAGAAATCCAGATCCATTAAACAATTAACATGAAATAAGTAAACAGTAGTTAAATTGGTGCTCTCATCCTCTGTATGATTTGAGTGCTAAATTCTTACTTTACAACAGTGGATAAATATTACACTTTCATTTATGATCTTGTTGAGACTTTGGTATTTCGAAGATTGCCTTTGATGACCTTGTTCAACTTTGTCAGAAGAAATTTACAAAATCGTTCAGCTGTATCTGTCCTTAGGCAATGTTGACGTACTCATGCTCTCAGAGTTTGAAGGCAACCGATAAGGAAAATGAGAACAAGGTTAAAAATTGGCAGCAACAATGCTTGTCAGTTCAAGAGGTTACTTGGAGAACTGTTAGCGGGGAGGAGGGGGATGTGAGCTGCATAATTCATCACTTCGAGTGACTGGGAAGAAGAATTGGGTTAACCTTGAAGCTGGACTGTTGAATAAATGGAGCTGTTGCAGAAGTTCAAGGGAGGGCAAACTGGGCTATTTAGGAAAAAGTGATGAGAATGGTTACGTTTATGAAATACAATGTTTAGGTAATTCTACAGCACTGCAGGGGAAATATCCATAATAAATTCAGTATCTACAGAGATCTTTTCTCCTTCTCAATCCCCTTCCTCGCCCCCCACCCCCCTCCCTCTCCCCCCAACAGATGAATATTCCAGAGTGGATAGTGAATCTCCGACACGAGCTGACTCACAGGAAACTCCCGACATTGACATGGTGCCGGAAAGGTAAATAATTCCCCGGAGGATTTGTATTTATTTGCAACCTATGTCCTTATTAAGGAAAGGAATAGATGAGTTACGCACTTCCTTTCTTGCCAGCTACAAGTTTAGTACTTATTTCCAAGAAGAAAGCGTTTAAATTTATCTGTAACCTGGAAGTTAATGAACACCTTCCTTTCACTGACCCGAGTCCAAACTTACAGGTTATTTATATTGCTATCCACTGTTAGGGTATCGGTTTGATTTGGAGGACTGCTCCTCAAAACTGGATTGTATTGCAGATGATTTTTAAAGAGCTTTAAAGATTTATTTCATGTTGATGTATGAACTGTTCTTAAATTTTTTATCGGAGACAGTTATGCGACTGTCAGCTGGGCACAGTTCTGAGCTTTCGCCTGCCTAAAAAAGCGAGTCGAAGAAAAAAATAGAAATCCAGCTTCCCATACTGAATCACTCTTCGTACTACTGAAGCAAATCACATTGCTTCCAGGGCTATAAAAAGGAATGTTATTGAGGTATGTTGGTGAAGCATTTAGTTCTCATGCCCAGAGCTAAAGGACAGATATGGTTTATTTATCGCCAAGTGGCTCTGTTCGGTACACGTTACAGGGAGAAACACTGAATGTCCTGGAGCAGCTCCATTTACTTTAATGTGCGGATTTGGGGAAGAGATTAAATTAGAGAGAGAAAGAGACTGGAACCTGAACCAGCAATATGGCCTGACAAAAGCACGGTATTGGCTGGATTTGGAGCTACTCTGGAACCCGCTTGAGCTTCTACCGGTAACATACATTGCAACACACCAAATGCTGTTGTTCCGGTTGAGTGTTTTGATATGCACGTAGCTTGCACTGCTTATATTGCAGTCTGAATGCTGTTTGCTTTGATTACTTTCATGCCTCTATAGCATTTGCTCCAAAATTCAAATGGGTGTGGTGTGGTGTCAGCAATTGTTTTGCTCAATTTTCTCTTGGTTAATGGACGAGTTAGTTTTTATAAGTTTATAAATCAACTTTTCTGTTTCCAGCGATGACATAATATACACGTGAAATAGAGGGTTAGATTGAAAGGCGATCCCGTCACCTGATTTAGAATCAGGACGACATTGTTGGCAGTGTACAATGGCTAATTTTAGAATCTTTATGGCATCTTGTTAAACAAACTCTTTGTAGCTACGAAGTTGAATTGGTTACTTTCTAAAAATAGCTGCCGCAGACTTTACTCATGATAAATCTACAACCTCCACTAATGAGGCAGTTGATTTCTGCACGTTAAGTATAAATACATTTGCTCAAATCGATGTATTTTGGCTCTTTCGTGCCCAATTTTTAAACGGTTTACGAAAAAAGGGCTGATTCCAGCTGTAAGCTTGAGTCAACTTGCTTTTGAAGTATTCTGTTCCCATTTGGGATCTGCAATTAAAAGAGGGATTTCACATCTTGATGTGTTTAGGATTTATATTGGGTTGTGAATAAGTGGCGCTGTGCTCTTTGAACTTTAACAATTCCAAGCAATAGCATGGAAACTACAGCAGAGGGCCCCATTCTGCTTTGTTAATATTCTCATCTCTAAACCTTCACACCCTTTTGTACCATATCAAGTCATCCTTCCTCATTGGGACTTGTTTTTGAACCTGGTTTCTAGCCAACGTGAACCACAATGAGGTACGAATTGACACTAAAATCTAAATTTTACTCAAATTCCTGGACGAGTCCATCGAGCTGGCAATAATGGCCTTCTCGGTTTTGGGTGGTTCCAGATCAGCTTTCAGTGTGAATGAAGTGACAACCAACATGAAAGCAAACAGCTTGTGTGATTGTTAGTTTGTATTCAACAAAGCTTTTTTTTTAGAAAGAATGTGTATTCAGCGATGTGAAGATGACAAGAATCTCTTGTAAAAGTTAAAGATCGTAAAAGCTGGTCACCAGAATCCTCCTTTAGGATGCTGACATTGGATCATGCATTTTACAAGAAATATTCTTTTCCATATTTTCCCTCAGATGTATCGGAGAGGTATTCTGGAAGAATTAAATTAAACTGTTTGAAAGGCCAGCCGTGCAATCATTTTTGAAATGTTCTGTTTCTTCCTCAGGTTGCGAATTTGTTCTGGAGTGGTTGCGGCAAGAGTACTGGAATCAACAGCTCGTAAACAATGTGGGGAACAATTGGGTCTTTGACTCCCAGGAAGAGGAGGAAGTTGATGATGAAGCCCAGCTACGGGAGGAACTGAAACAAAGGGAGCTACAAGGTATATTCCTCCTGCTTTGCAGACCACCATCTTAGCTATCAGTACTTAATAATAAATTGATGTTTGAGGCAGTATGATTCTGCTCTATAAAAGTCATAAGATGTTTTTTTTTGTGCCACACGTTTTATCTTGGAATCCTCTCTCCAGTTACTTATATTCCTTTGGATTTTAAAGCAGAGGGAAAAGAAAATGGAAATAGCTCGTCATTTGGCAGAAACGAGCAAGAACGATTTGAATGTTTCGAAATGAAAGTTATGAAATGTTAGTTAAGTACGTGTCTTTTTTCCCCCCAAAATCTTAGGTGACGTAGATTCCTGAGGCATCAATTCATGTTGTGTCAATCTGTACTGATTGTCATCTGCAATTTAATATTGAAGGCTAGCTTTGATATTGCTGATAGCACGTTCTTCTCGCTCGAGTGTTGATGTTTTGCAATACTGGGGTTCGCTGTCTTTTGAAAGTGGTATTACAAGTGTAAAGGAAAAGAAGATGTCAATCTTTCCTTATGATGAATAAATCTGAAACTCTGAAGGCGGTGTGAGTGCGTGGGCTGAAGTTTGCAAACAATAATTTGCAATGCTTGGGGGACTTGTATGTTTCTATTTTTAACGTGTTTTTGAAAAATTACAACTTCTCACTTCAGTAGGTGCAATGCATAGAGACCATATTTTATGGAGTCAAGGCTGTACTTGATATTGGAACCCGTATCCATTAGCTGATCAGTACTTTCTGTCTTATCTTGCCTCACTCGCTATCATTTTTCTTCTCTTGCTCTTCTGATTTGACCGGCTGCTAAATGTTCTGTAATCTTGTTTCAGCTGATTAACGCAACAAGTTAATTGTAAACCACATTTGCTAAACATAGCAGTACATTCATCTGTAGATTGCTGACAGGCTTGTGACAGTCTCATATGACCGGTTATACGTATTTTCAGCTTGTGCTGTGCGCAATTGGCTGCCGCGATCGCCCACAAAAAGTCAATTCACTTTACAGTGTGTTCTGTGAAGCGCTTTGGGATGTCCTCCCGACGTGAAAAGCGCTATATCAAATGCAAGGATTATTATTATTATTGTGAATTTATGCCAATATTAGAGTTATTGCAATAGTAGTTACTCTATTACTATAATAATCCTAATCCTCTAAAATAAATATTTAATCCATTTTAAATATTTTGCCATTACTGTTGTCATTTTTGTTCTATTTTCTTCCCAAATTTCTTGTTTTATTTTAACTTAATTTCTTCCTTTTCTAACTTGTCTTTCCTCTTCCAACTCTCAAAGTCCATTTTGAAACTTTTCAAAAAAAAAACTTTTCCAATTAAAGGTAAGAATTGAGAGTCCTGTAAGATTGACAAGGGTTTATTATGAAAGGAGCATTGTTGATCCTTGAAACATGAATATTTATCTGTAACAATGCAACACAAAATCACATTATCACTCTTAAGGAATAAGCCAGTCCAGTTATTGCATAATGCAGCATTTCCTGGGTGATTCAGTATGCTTATTTGAATGAAGAAGATACTTATCAGTGTGTCCGTCCTTTGTTAACATAAAATGTATTTATTCAATTAATTAAAATTGTTTAGGTTTGTGGTGCCCAAAGGCTTAATACCCAGCACAAGGTACAGTAGGTGTAAGAGGTGATTACTCATAACAGAAATGGTTTAACATCCTTATCTGTCTCCATCTGAGATGAGCTGATTTGACATAGGCTACGGTTTAACCCTGAATTGTCCTGGTCTGTGTGCCTTAGTTTTACAATGTACCAAACTAAAACTGGTTTAGTATTGAATATCTTAATCATAAAGTAGCAAATTTGAATAATTTCAGGAATATTTCTGAAATGATTAATGGCAATTTCTTTCGTTTCACAGCTGGAACCAAAGAACTGCTGATTTCCTACGAAAAGGAACAGTTTAAGGTGAGGCCAAAACACTTGTCATGTTTTCCAATGATATAACAACCTTGGGAAATCTGCAGCCCTTGTAGTTTCACTAGTTTAATAAAATGAAGTGGCCAGTCTATCGCAGAATTGTTGCAGAGCTCTGCATAAATTGCCACAGGATTGTTCAGATCCAGTATTCTTCTTATCACACGAGAACTGCCATTGTATTATTTTATCCTTGTACTACTACCTGCCTCTAAGCGCAGCAGAAGTAACTGTTACCTTACAAGGAATAATCTGCTGTTTCCTTTTTCGTTACTCATCTGTTAGTACTTAGGTGCAGCAAGCCAAATCTTCAGTGAATATACTGCATATGCTGAATTTTCCATAATGTTTCAAACATCTGAGTCACACACATCAAGTAGTTTAAGTTAATTATACTATAAAACCATCAGATGCTCGCCCTTTTGGGATTTGTGGTGGTACATGCTGCTTGATGTTTAGAGGTAATGTGTACAGAACAGAGAGGATCCCCAACTTTGATCCTTAGTCAGTACTGAGTTAGCTGATCCGATCTAATCTCTGCCAGGCTTGTTGGCAGTGAGAAAGTACAGCTGATCAACATCATTATATTGTGCAGGGGGGTGGGGTGGGGGCTGTCAACTGCTGTTTGTGACCCCCTGATGGTATTTGCCTGTGTAAAGATGTAATTTAAGGATAACATTGTTTTTATCTGATATCCCATATAGTCCCACATATCAGGAGTTAATCCTAGGACAAGATACCAGAGGGCTGGTACCAGAGGGCAGCAACCATGAACGTCGCACAGGGAGGGAGATAGATTAGAAGCACCGGGAGGAAGTTGGATTGAAAGAAAAGAGTTTCAATAAATATTAATTTGCAGTTGCAGTAATCAAGCGTAAATGATTTAGTCACACATCATTACTGCGTAATAAACTTACGGATCAGCAAAGCAGTTTGCAAAGATCAGTCTTATTAATGGGAGAGGGATAATGCCAATACGAGAGTTCACTGTTTGGGTTGAGTTGGTACAGAATGTATTTTGAATGCCTAGAAATCTGGAGGTAAAATTAAGGCACCATTAAGGTAAATTTTGACACATAATAGGATCATATTTTATAGGGCTTTCTATTTTTATTAAGTACTTGGTTTTATTTTGCGTGATAAGTTTGAACAGCTCTGTGCTCCAATCAGCCTTTTGCATGTCCAAAAGTCAGTCAAGGTAGAAATTGAATTGCCAGTCCTGCCATGTGGGAAAAATGACACATCCTTAAGCCGGTAATGATTTAAATTGATACTACACAAGTCTTTATTTTTCTAGATGCTGTCATTGGGATGACACATCCAATTTATAGCAGGCATTTCCTGATGCTTAACAAAAGGAGCCAGGAGGCTTTTTTTCTCTCTCTTGGAGGATTTTGTATGAAGAAAAGACAATGTAGCTTTTAAATAGCTTAATTAATATGTTCTACATGTCTCTGATTTTGTGGATTTACATCTGAACATTATCTTTAAATTCCTCGTGGCAGAGATGTTTCCAACAATAAATCCAAAGCAGCCAAGACATCATTACATGGGGGTGGTTTGACATACATTTAGAAAGAAAGAAATCTGGGGGAAATGTGTTTTTATTAATGCAGTCCTCCTACACTTCAGACCTGCAGAATATCTCTTTATATGTTTAGATTTCTTGCATTTAAATAGCTATCCCTATTGTAATAATTTTACAACTCCTAAATTGATGGGGGAATGGAAATAAAATATAAATGCGAAGATTCTTGACAAGAAACCAAACAAGGCGTTTTTCAAAAAACTTAAGACATTATTGCCCATCTCCCGACAATCAATTACAAGAACAACTTAACAATCTGTCTTGTCAGAATTCTTAATTTTGATTGACGCCGAGCAATTTGTTCCCACCGTTTCCATCGTTTTTCTTTCCCCTCCTCGAAAGTGCCGATGACTAATTTCTGCTCTGAAGTAGATTTGATATGTTTCGGTAAGATATTCTTTCCTGAATGACACAAGCGAGACAGGTGACATAAAGTAGCGCCGTGTAAGGTTTGATTGAAATCTTGTATTTTATAGGCCTATCAATGGGAATCCGTCTCTTTTAGTGCTTGTTTACTTACGTGCCTGCTCATAATTTAGTCCGATCGCAGTAATCTCCTCTTGTCAATTGGAATGTTGTAAACTGTCAGAGAGGACTTTGAGGGGTCCTCCCATTCCTTGTCACGACTGTTTGCGGGACACCGCTATGCGCAATTCGCTGCCGTGTTTAGCCCACAAAATATACAGTCAATTCATGTCGTAGCATATACTGTGAAGTGCTTTGAGACGTCTCAATGAGGTGATAAGGCGAGGTATCAAATGCAAGGATGATTATTATTGACGTATATCTAAATGGCATTTTAACTCTCATTTAATTCACGCCTTTATTTTTGCATCCCCCCCCCCATCACCTCACGATCATTAACTTAAACGAGGCAGACATTTGATGAGTCATCCTTTAGTCTTGTGTTTGGATCAATATAGATTTTTTTTAAAATGGATTCTTTCAGGGCTGAACAAGATTACTAAACACCTCGGGACATCCTTCCCACATGAAATGCGCTGTAAATTCTAGTATTGTATTGATATTTGAAAAAAACTCTCACTTTGCAGTTTAGTCTGTTATGATATAAAATCACAATTGCATAACGAATTATAGTAATTGTTTACTCACTTTAATAACAATAGTGGATGTGATTCTCATATTACCAAAGATAGTGGTACATTATGGCACTGTTGGCTTAGGAAGTACGAGGGACTCACTATGGCCTGGCAACAGACCTGCTTAGTTAACGTTTAGTCTTTATTGTGCGCTACAGGTCCTGGTGGAACAGAAATCAGTTTCCAAGGCAAAGAAAATGTGGAGCATCCCATCGCCTGAAGTTGAATGGAATTTGTCACAAATCAAACAACTTACATTGAAAAACAGGTATCCAATCGGGGCAACAAAGAACTGGAATAAGAATAACTTATATAGTTACTAAAAATATGCCACTATAGTTTACTGTGCTTTGAATAGGAATGACTTGGAGGGAATGAGGTTCAGCTGTATATTCCATTCCACGTAGCCTTTCTAAAAGCTGTGCACACACTCATACAGGCACACAAAATATACAGGACTTTACTGTATATTCTGTGAAGTCGTTTGAGACGTCTCCACAACTGGATAAGGCGCTATATCAAATGCAAGCATTATTATTATGTTAATTAAGTTTTCCTTGTGTGCATTTCTATTGGTCATGTGCAGATCTGTTTTGAAATTCATAAATAATGATCAAACTAAAACATAATTTCCCCAAGTTGTCATTGAAGCAAAAAACAACAGTAGTGATTCGCATTTTGTTTTAACCACGAAATACAAGCAAGTCCCTGTGCTCTTCCTCCTCCTACGCGTCTGCCAAATGCTAATGAATATCTTATGGTAGGAATTCTGCTCAATGAAAGACTATATGATAAATTGGATTTTATTTTTCTCATTTTCAAATGAGTTGCCTTGAAAAAAACTATTGTGACCTGGCTTACATCGCAAGTCTTTGTTGGTTATATTTTGTGACGTTCTTCCACAGGATCGCTATCACTCTCAGAATTGTCATGGAGGTGGTGGTGAAAAGGTCCCTGTATTTGACACCGAGCCTGTGGTGCACGATTTTGTCACCAACTGAATCTCTTAATGATTCGAGTTATTCATAAATTAACACTTTCTGTAAGGTCCCAGTGTCTTAATTTTTCAGTCTGTATCCAATATTTCGTCCACAAAATATACAGTCGATTCACTTTACAGTATATTCTGTGAAGCGCTTTGAGACGGCTTGAAGATGAGATAAGGCATTATATAAAATGCAAGGATTATTATTATATTAAAAGTATATGCAGCTACTAATCTTGTAGATTTTAGTGCATTTAGCAGGTTCCCTTGCAGAAGTGCTAAAGTGTTACATCAGTTTATTTTCTAAATTCCTTTGCTATATTACATCTGTAAAGGCTAACTGTAAAGACCCAGAGAAGGGTCTGATCACTATAGCCGGGCATCTGAACACTTAGTAAAAAAAAACTGCTGTGAAAATGTAGTGTGAAGATTTGGTGGATTGGTGTTTCTGGACTGTGTCCCTAACAGCAGTAGGATGTTGGTTTGTGGTATTAGTTCCCCACATGCTAAGTTTACAACTCTGATCATTCTGTCTGAAAATTGGTGGGTAACGTATATGGATCTCGCCTTAGCAGGAACCTCAGAGCAGGAAGGAAGTTTGCAGCGTCTCCACAAAGTATTTAGCTTGGTAGGGTGTGAAAATCAAACGTGTTTTCACTTCCTTTGCACCGCTCGGAAGAGTGGAGGGAGACGTTTGCAATCTCTTCTGGCCTTTCAGGTTGAGTCTGGGGTTGTATAGCCAGTGAAAATAATAATGGGGATAAAATGCACAGAGTAATAAATAAGTTTAGAAAGTATGCGTGTGTTTTACAAACTGCACATTCAAACTTGTATGTGGAAGACCAAACCTTGTGTGTTTGTGTGCGTGTCAATATAACAAGAACTACACATTCATTCTGTGAAAAAAAATATGGATGTGGAGGGTGGATCCAGACACATCTTGTTGGCAAAACTAACTAAACAAAAATTTCCCTTCAATAAAGTTCAGTTTGTTTTTTGGAAAGCACATATGATTGAATGGAAACAAATGGTACCGTTCAGTCATCCACTGTTTTTGGTACATGCGTTACCACCGTAAAAGGGTTTCCCTTTCTCTCTGGTACTTACTGAAACCAACAAACGAGTCAGTTTTATTGGTGGTGGAAAGAGAGAGTCCCAGAAACCCCGCCCATCTATTTTTAATTAAGAAGCAAAGGTTTTTCCTGTGGTTAAGGTTACATTCTGTTTCCATAGGTTTTTTTTNGATCATCTGACACCACATTATCTCGGGGAGTCCCAGTTTTATAGCTACCCACGCACAACACAGCATGTCCTACAATAAAGCAACAGAACATTGGGCCATTTAAGAAACAAACACAAGAACCAAAATAGAACAGATTGTCGGGCTGCGGTGTCTGGATCCTGTCTATTCTTCAAGATAAACAATACCACACAGGCTTAGTGACAAACATAGTGACCTTTTCACCAGCACCACCTACATCACATTTTGACTGCATGTTGGAAAATTCAACTTGTTTTGCTACAGATATATCCCTGAGCATGAGCATGTCCATATAAATCACTGAAGCCAACAACTATATTCTGCATTAAAACTGTAACCAACTCGCAATGCTGTTACCTTACAATATACGTACCACTGTTTTTCACTGCAAAGACGGATGATAAACGAGGCAGCATTGTTGCCTAACAGCAGGATCATAGGAGAGTTTCTGTGGCCTCTGGAGGCAACAGGGCCCTGTTAGCAAACGCTTCTTCCAGCAACGCACGCTGTTTGCTGTAGCTGCAGTGGGACTGGATCCGTGGCTGCAAGTACAGGCCAAAGATTTGGTTTTCCAATCAACCCATAAACTTCCAAATCCTTTTTTTAAGAAAAAAATGACTAGGTGTGCACATTTGTGCAGTTTGTCTGTTGCTCTGGTGCTATTATGGCTACCAACTCACTCACTGAATGTAGCTTAAGTCATTCACACACTGAGATGTTGAATGCAATCTGACAGCTCCTTAACAATTGGAGGAAAGTTTTTGCGGGATCACGGTAACAAATCAGGTTGTTGAACGGAGCGCGTTAAGATGATGTAAGCGTTCGGCCATCACACTGCGTTTGCGATTTGTGCAAAAGTCAAGGGTGACTGGCTTTGTCTCCTAAAGGTAACACCCTGCAATTTCAACATGAGAGCAGGTTACCTTGTGTTTAAAGGCAAGTTCCTGTGCAAGGAAATCGGAACGTGCTGCTGGTAGTTTAACATTTCTCCTGAAATTGATTGGTTCATCATACCATTTTCAAGAGTGAAGAGTAGTTGAATCACAGGTACGTCACAGAAGGAACATTTTCTTTGAAGCAGAGGAGTTGGGTTCCTTACGAGTGATGTCCTTAGGCCGTCATTGTACGTGTAGTTAGTTAGTTTTGCAGATTTTTTGTTATCCTCTTTCAAGCAGTGACACAACTCATAGTTAGAGAGGCTCCTTAATTGAGTAATTTGCTACAGAGAATTGCCTGCCTGGAAGATGATGTATAATTTAGTTGTGTGTAACCAAAGGCAAATTATGCACCATGATTATGGCTTCTTTTACTGCTCTATATCCGTTCAATTGAACCTGGATTAGCTCCTGTGACAAGAGTGCTTTGTGTGCCAAGGTTTGGGCCATATTTCTGGCATTTTACCTATATCTACTGAGCTTGGTTTCAGTTGCCACCTGTATTTCCACGCTGATAGTTTTTCGGTTTCCAGGTGTGCAATCTTAACTAATAAAGCAAAAAAATTAAAGGATATATTTTTAAATATTCCTCTACGGGATGTGGTAACCCTACTTTTATTTCCTATTTAATATAGGTGATATATACTATTCAGATATTTTTTCCATAGCTTCATTTGCATCCTCTTAACATTGCTTCAGCTACATAAGTAGGATTTATTATTATAACAAGAAACCTTAGATTTGACATGTTGGGTTCTTCTCAGAACGACGTCTGAAAGCGCGTCACAGGCTATATTGTAAAGTGTAGTGACTTGTGTATTTTTTAGGGCAAATGGCAGGCAATTTGCTCGCAAACAGCCATGAAGTAAATGACCAGGCAAATCTTACCACCACTGTCTATTATCCTTACACAGGTTCAAGATGCTGTGTGCAATATGAGCAAACAAATAGATTCATTGTATTGATTATGATACTATAATATTCTCTAAATTTGTTTACAGAGAGGTGGTCATGCTCGGACTCCTTGATGATGGATTCCTTATCCCTACAGAAGAACAGCTAAAGTCTTTAAATATTGAGTGCCCAGGTAGCTGCCCACTTTGACTTACAGCTTGAACTTGTAACTTGCTAGGAAACCCTCTGGCTATTGAGCACAAGGGGAGCACTGAACTAATCCGTGTTATCAGACGTACCAGAAAGCGAAAGGGATTTTTAATGTTCTGTAAATTAGCAGGATTATTCTGCTTTCATCGTTCCAAAATAATTGTTTTCTGCACAGTCAAGCCAGTGCATTTGGAAATGTTGGAATAAGCTTCCTTTTTTTTGTTTCAAATTTTCTGTTGTAATTACACATCAGCTCGTTAAGTGCTGAAAGTTGATGTATGGTTAATGGATATAAACTTCAAACAAAATGTGACCAAAGGTTTCTGATGTTGTCATTTCACATTTGACCTACGATTTCTGATATGTGTGTTTTATTGTTATTTGTTCGACATAGCAATCATCTTTCTTCTTGTGTTTGTTCGGTTAGATTAGATTTGTGTGATTCAATTGAGTTGACTACCTTGACAGCCTTCCAGTCTGAATTCCCTTTCATACTTGCTCACCTTCAACTTTGAACATGTACAATCCCTCTCTCTCTCTCTCTGGTTTTTCTTTGCGCATCGACATAAGTGAATGATTTGCATAGAATTGGAGGGCATTTCTGAATTTAGAGTTTAGTACAGTTAGGTGAGGTTTTGCTCTAGATACTCTACTGCAATTTGAGTTTGATTAAATGTCTGTCTCTTTTTGTTAAAGGAGAGTTTGTGGATTTGTCACATCCTGGAATTCCTCGTACTTTCTGTCGCTTCTGGCAGCCTCTCCTAAAGTGCCTCCACTCTCGAAATTTCACACCCGTGTTGCTAGAAAAGCTCTTTAGCGAGCTAAAGGAGTGCTGCGACACGACAGGACTGAGGATTCAGTACGTCACTGGCTGGATCACAGAGATACTAACAGCTAATACTAAAGCAGGTAAGTAGATAATGATAATAATCCTTGCATTTGATATAGATCCTCATCAAGTCTTCGAGACGTCTCAAACCTCTTCACAGGATATACTGCGAAGTGAATTGACTACATTTTGTGGGTAAAAAGAAGGCTTTCATCTAAGAATAAAGGGTGGTTGAGAGAAGTGGAGGATCCATTGTATGAGTATGTCACTATATTGTCTGCACTTCTGGTCACCACAATGTAAGAGTTATGTATAAAGCAGAGCAAATGAGGCTTATCCCCAGTGTTAGATGGTTGAGCTGTGAGGAAGGAAAAGATAATAACAACAACAACAACTTGGATTTATATAGCTCCCTCCACGCTGGACGGCGTCTCAGAGCGCTTCCCAGTAACGGATCCGGGGCCGAGCCAGGGGGAGGGGAGGAAGGTGACCAAAGGCGCGGTCAAAAAGAAAAGCTACAAGCTTTCAAGGGAAGTAAATGTCTCAGAGGAAACCTAAGACAAGAAATGGGATAGAAAGTAAATGCAGTTTGACTTGTTTAAGTGTTTTAATTATGCATCTGAGAGTTCATTTTCTAGTAGAAAGGATAATTTTAATCCGTGAGTCGTTTCATTGCTACATTATTACGATTTATTTTATTTCAGTGCACCTTCAACTCCTTCAATTCGGGTTGCTTGCCTTTTAGACGCAGTTCAGTAGAACGGATGTCATTATTGCATGTTTTACTAAGCTACTTTTTTCTTCCTGTGTAGGGAAAAAGCTTCGAGGCCTTTCAAGACGCCAGAGGCTGAAGAGGACGGCGTGGCAGTTGTTTTTGTCTCAGTGTGCCCTGGACTGGCACAACCTGCTGGAAGGCTGTCTTGCAGCACCGTGCCAGGCTACGCCCCATCTCCTGCAGCAGTGAGTTTCAGTCACTCTCATTCACTTATTTCGCTCCACCCTGCAACTTTGATTTTCAAAAGGTCAATGTGCGATTCTGCTTCACAGCAGGTTTGGGTTGAAAATCAGTCGTCTCTTACGTGTTTAGTACTTCACTTCTTAGAAAACCCTTTCCTCAGGATCGTGGATTCTGGTGCCAATCTGAGATTTCTCCTTGTGCTGAGTTATGAATCTAAGCTTATGTGACCATGCAGAAAGCAGCAACTGGTTGTGTGAAATGTATATACATTTGATTGTCAGGACCAAAGGGCTTCCATTTCCTGCTAAAGGACTGTAGGGTGTGAGTTGGCTTGTGTGAGATCTCCAATCAGTCTCACGTAATGGAAACGGATATTTTTCTGGGAAACAGTGACTACGAACCCCTTTAGAATGAGTTCACTTTATTACTTTTGGCAAAAGGCAGCAGAAAATTCACTGATCTATTCTTGCTCTGACTGATGTTGATCAGTTCCATCTGCAAGAACATAATTACGTATGTGATTTATTCTTTTATTTTTACCGCTGCATTTATGTACAGTAGTAATACCAGACCCAAGCAATGAGTGGAATCGGGTACATGGTTATAGTGCCTTATACATCAGAGTCCCAAAGCCCTTCATAGTAATTGCTGTCATCTCTTCCAGTAAAAAACTATTTGAAATGAATTGCTGAAATGCACAATTTGATGTTCAATCTCAGTCTAATATTTCATTTGTGGATCAGGCAAATCTTGATGTTGGTAGCCTAAAAGATTTCACCTCCAAAATAAATGTCTCATCTTTCTTGTATTATTCTGTTGGAAGTTGGACGTGTGAAATTGCTGGGTGAAACTTAGTTAGCGACAGCTGGCTGATCACTAATTTACAAAAGCAGCTGAATGCGCTCTGAAACATGAGCTAAATGGTCGCTCTCACTGTAACATTTCAGGATACTAAACGACATGGAGCCTCCGTTGCCGGCCAGCACGCAGCAGAAACTGCTGCACCTGTGCTCCATATACATACAGGAGCCCGGATCTTTCAGCATTTCTGACTTTCCCATTGCCGGGAGCCAGTCGCCTGTGTATACCGTGGAAAACCTACAAATAAAACCCCAAGACGAGGAGTCTCCAATCCAGTTAACTCACACAGACCACACAGAGTTCAGGAAGGGCTGTGAGCCGGTGGTGGGTCACACCTCTGGGGAGGACCTGCCGCCCATTAACCTTGACCTGTTAGCAGAGAAAATGGAAGTACTGGAGGGGTCAGTGTGGCAAATCTGCACAGGTATGTTTGCATTTTTTTAGATGCTTTTACCCTCCTTTTCCCCCACCCTCCACCCCACCCCCCTCCTCCCAGTTTATGGTAGTATTTCAAATGATTATATCGTTTATCTTCCTGTGCCACTATCTGGTACATAAAAACAAAGACTGGAGGTGCCTTTTTTGTGAAATCCATTCAAGTTCCTTTCACATTTGATCATCAGGTGTGGTAGCGCTAGTTAAGTTGAAGCCCAGTCCTTTCAACAACCAGAATCTACTTCATTAATACGGAGTAAGTAAAAGCCCCAAATCCAGAATCTATACCTTAGGCGCAGGAATCCTAACTTCACTAGAAGTACTATTGTGATACAGAATTAATCTAGTTCAGTGGTGGTGCAGGCTTGCAGCAAAGTCTTCATTTTCACGTGGTTCAATTGAATGACTGGATTTTGCACTAACATGTAAGGTTTATAAGTGATTATATAAATAGACGAGTTGTGAGAAGTTAGGTGAGACTTTATTGGGTATTCAGTCCACAGCCAAGGTGTTGGGTGCTCCACCTCAATCCCTTTGCAACAAGTATCACACCATGGTTTCAGCAATTCACTTGCTGCAGAGGAGCTGAGATTGTACACTCTGCATTTACACCACCAAAGTCTGTGCCTGTATAACCAGGCACAACTCCCCATTTATCTCCACCATACACGTCTGAAAGAATGATTCCTTTAGAAGTGACTTCAATTGCTGTTTGAAACTTGTCTGAAAAGTGTCGTTAGAACTATGATAATTCTAATAGTAATACCAATCCTTGCAGTTGATATAGCGCCTTCAGACTTCGCTAAGCATTTCAACTAAACGCAGATCTTCTTAGGTGTCAATGATCAGTCTCCTTGAGTACAGTTCCCTCTATTTGCTCTGATAGGCAGTATGTTATAAAACGTAAAGCAGTAGAATATTGCCTTACAAGTTACTGTATTCTCAATTAAAAAGTATTTTGAATTCTGTTTTTTATATAAAACATTTTTGCAGATCAAATTTCTTGGAAGGATTACCCTCTCGGGAAAGTACCAAACCAAAGGGAGGATCCAAACTGCTTTTTAGTGGACAATTATACCTTGATGCCGAATTTGCATCCGCCAGCAAATGAGGACAGCAACATCGAATGTCACAAGACTACAACAAGGTAAAAATATCAGATCTCGTTATTGTTGCCGTCCCAAAGACTTGACATGTATAAAATACATTCTGGATAATAAATTAAAAGTGTGTAGATTATAGACCCAATTACTTACAGAATTACGTTTAAATGTAGTGGTTGCTGCGCTTTCAGTGAAGTGACCAATGGGCAATATTGTTCATTTATGTACTGAAACACAAAACGATCTTTTGGATAGTGCTGTTAAATTGATAATGAAAATTGCAAGTTAAGCTTTAATGCTGAATATCTGCAGTATCTGTGGGCATTGAAAACTTGATATCAATTTTCAAGTTTTGTTTTGACTTTGGGGACTCTATTGGTACTATGCTGAAGTTTCTAGAGTGTGTTATCTGTGGAATTCAACTGCACACAGTCATTTTTGACTTCCATTAATTGGAACTTGGTAGTGCTTCCCATTTGTGAATTTCTTTTTGCGTTCTTCTGTCACAGTTATTTGTTGGTCGTGCCAAATGAATGGAAAAAAACAGTTTACAATTCAGGGAATAATTTTGCATCGAGTTTTTTTTAATGGAGAAAGAAAAAGTACCGTAGACTAAATGATAGTAATGAACCATCTTCCTAATGCTGACTGGTTTGCTTGGCCCTGTCAGCTGCTATGGGGCTTGATTTGGTTTCAGAACTCCCTGTGCTTCCTGTGTAATCTCGGCAATGAGTAAGTGAATTTCATACACGCCAGTCTGTGGGACTTGTGGAAAGAGGTTCAGAATGTTACATGATTCATTTGGGGCTTTTTGCCGTGATCAAGTTAAGACTGGATTTTATAGTCAGGGAAACTTGCCAGTTTGGGCTCGATGGCAAGCTATGCAGTTTTTGTTGTTGTTTTAGCTGGTTAAACTCCAACACCCCAACTTATACTCTAGGATCCCCAAGCTTTGGGTCTCATCGACCTGCAGCTAATACTTCCACAAATAGGTAAGCAGGGTGCATCCGTTCACAGAGAGAGCATGCCTTCCATTCACAGGTAGGTAGGGGACCTATGTGGAATCGTTGACTGGTTTGGATACCTTTAAACATGTATTGCACTCCCCGCTTTTTAAAAAACAATCTTTGTATAATAATGGGTGACTTTTTCCTCCCCACCTCCCATCCAAACACCTGTGCTATACCTGAGGGGAATATTTATTTGCAGTTTAAGGACAAGCTACTGGCCATTTAATGGACAACAATTTCAGGTAGCTCTACAGGAAAACTAAGGTAGCCTCAAATATAGGTACTTTTATACTAAACATTGCAGCCTCGGCCAAGATACCAAGAATCCCTATGGCTTCAGCAAGACTATCATTTGATTAGATTTTGCACATGTCTAAAGTATCTTCCAACCTACAATCAGTTGAATGTTACCCCTGATGTGTGGAGTACATGATGGAAAAAAATAGTCTATTTATTTCCCCAATAGACACATTGGTACCTTTTCTTTAAAAGAATCCAAGTACCATATTTCACGTTGACTCACCTTCCTTTCTCCACAGCTGCTGCCTGACCTGCTGAGTGTTCCCAGTGACTTCCGTTTTTGTTTTCAGATTTCTAGCATCTGCAGTATTTTGTGTTTCATCATATTTCTGTTCTCTATTCCTTCGGCATTACAGGCTTCCTTGTAGGGTATGATGCTTCACCTCTTACAAATATTAGTGGATAATTAATTGGTGGTTGGATAGTTTCTGTCTTAAAATGGCAGGCCTTGGGGTTTCCCCATTTGGGTTTGGCTCGCTACTCATGATGCGTTGGTATACCTAATTATGTTAATTGGAAATGTATTGGTTTACGTGCCTGAAGGTGAGTAATCAGCCTTCAATGTTGTGCTGTAAAGCGCCAAAACCTTATGATATGTTTGAAGGTCTCATTTCAGTCAGGTTGGGCTAATAAAAAGGTTTTTGACTCATGGAATGGTTAGGTTAATTTTATCGAAAACTAAGCACTGGATCAGAAACTCAGTGCAACATGTACAAGCTATAGCATTCCAACCATTGCTATTAAGCTGTAAGATTATCTGATACACAAGCTGGAGAACCCTTCATTAGTAACATTTTGTGCTTATGAATCATTCTAGTCCAAGTGAGTCAGCTGTCTCCGTCACATTCATCTACCTGGAAGGAACCATACATTTAATCAATACAAGGACGTTAAATGACTCCTTATCAGATTCCCAACACATATAATGTTTTCAATGGGGTGGTTTCCCGGGATTGGGAGGAAATACGTTCAAAGTAAACCTTGCTGGCGAGTTTATGATGTTTGCTCCTGTGGGAGAAGAAATATAGCAGGAGGTCAGTATGAGAGAGAGAGAGAAGCGAAAAAAAAAACAGGCAGCATGGTAAGAACCATTCCAACAGAAGAGATAGCATTGAAATAAAATAAACCAGAGAGTGAGACATTCTGCCCAGGCCAGGCCTCTCACATAGGGAGTGAGGCAGTAACAGACTGCACATTCCCAAGATGCTTGACAAAGGCATTGGGTTGAGGCTCACGGACCTACTTGAGCAGGGTGGGAAATAGAAGGAGCTTTGCGTAGGCTCAGTCAGCAATTTTCAGTTAAGTAACAGATGCGTTAAATATAGTGACAAACTGCCTAGAGAGTGGTGAGCTCGAGTTCTTTGAGGTAATCGTGAGTCAGAGTCATCTGATGGCCACATGTTCTTGTGTTTTTACTTTCTAAAGACTGAACAAACACTTGAAATAGTTCTTTGTTTTTCCTTCACTCGATGATTAAAAAGGAAACTTCATGTCAACGTATTGAACCAGCACAGTTTCCTTCAAATTTACCCAAATCCACAGATCAACAGGCTTCCAGAAAAGTGCTGGCTTATATGGGAAAGTCTGCAGTAAACTTGTTGAAACGATCTCCAGATATTTCACGATAAAAGAGGGTGCTGGCATTTGGTTTAAAAGACAAATTTGTTGTGTGTTTATTGATGAGGCCCAGTGAGCTAGAAAAATTAACATTTACGGGAGAGGTGATGAAACACGCCAACGCATGTTATGACAAAGTGTGTTCTAACAGGATCATACTTTAATTACTCTCTACATAATGTCAGTTTCAAATACTGGTGCAGAAGATTGTGGGTTTGAGCCCCATACCAGGAATTGACCTCATAATCTAGACTGACTTCCAACGTCATACTGCGAGAACACTACTATTAGATGAAGTATTGGGTGAGTCCTGTAACTCAGTGGTTAGAGCGCTTACCTCTCAAGCAAGAGACCTGGTTTGAGTTCTGAGAGGGCAAAATGTTGGGCAAGTTTCCTTACTCCACACTGTTTACCTAGCAGTAAGTAGGAACCTGGTAGTTAGTCGATTGGCGGATAGCTTTTCTGAGGGTAATATTTCCTTAAAAAAAATTCATCATTAAATCCACAATTGGCTGCTGCGTTTCACCCACAAAATATAATCAATTCATTTTACAGTACATTCTGTGAAACGCTTTGAGATGACTCAAAGGTGCTATTATCAAAAGCAAGGATTATCATTATTGGATGAGAGCCAGATCGGCTCAGCCGTGATGCATGAAAATACCTGTTCATTCATCACATATCTTTTAAAACCAGTTGTGGTACACGAACACTGTAATAACACTGTAATAACATTTAATGATGTTTTTTATATCGCTGCCCTGACACCAATTGGAGAGGAGCCGCCACATTTGAAACCCCCCAAATATTGATAGAGCAGCTCGAGATTCTCACTCTCTCCAGAATTAGAAAAGCAGATCGCAACCTTCGAAGGGTGCGTCTGGGTGGGTCAGACGGGTGTCTGACCAGAAAAATCCCCAGGAAAACTGCATTTTCCATTACAAGTTTCCTTCAGGCCTCATCTCCAGTGGCAACTTGTGCTGTAAACAACAACAATGCAGTTTAAGGTCGACGTGTTGGAATCGCCCTCTCACTATTCCCTTATCTTGTATTTGGAGTCAAGTAAACATTGAAACCCGAGAGAAGAAATGTAACTAGAATGGTGTGTTTTGGTGCAGAAGAGAATCGTACATCTTTTGTTCTGTTCCTGTTTAGCAGGTTTCAATTCCCTTGTGTTACTGCCTCATTGTGGGGAATGTTGGCTTTTCATATCTGGATCCATAACAGATTTCTGCAAGAGCGAATTAACCTGCAGTTTCTTCCTCATTTTTTTTCAACAGGAAGTACCGCTATTGTCAAAATGAAGACGTAAGATTTGAGGACCTGGGATGGTTTTTCTGATTTGATTTCAATTCAAATAATAAAATCACTGCACTTTACAGCGCTAGTTTAATCCGACAGCACAAACCTTACTTAGATGTTTGGAATCTGAAGTCCGAGATAGTTTGAGAGCCCAAGTTTTGTATCTGAGGCTTTGCTCTGCGTGCTGCAGGTATTGTGGGAAAGGCTTGACCAAAACTCCAAATCAGGATTCGTGAGCTGATCGGTTTGCAAAAACCTGAGACAAAAATAACCCCAGCTCTCCAAGGTAATAACTCAGTTGTTGCTTTGTGAAGCAGTTTCTTTTTTTTTTGTCACCAGAATCTCTTGGCACTGCTCTCATAGATTACAGATAATCTCTAGTTTTTAATCCTGATTACAAGTAGGAAGTGAGCAGAACACTGGGTCATGTGTCTGGAGACATATGACACATGGTTATTCCTTTGGGGAAGGCAGACTCGACAAGGTGCGCTGAGAGAGCCTATGTGAATTTCTTTTCAAGCTTTGTTGGGGGTGCAGCATTTCACGAAATCACACGAAGGTTGATCTCGTCTCTCCAGAATGCCAACCTTATTGTCTTGCCTTTACAACATCAAGCTGTTTCTTAAATGATCATCTGCAAATAAAATGCCGGTTCAATTTCAGTAAATAACACATTGTGACAGAGAGTGTTTTCCGTGAGTCCTGTAACTGAGGCCGAGCTGCGGCTGAGCTGTTTTTGTATCATCAAAATTGCGTAACGTTGGGAAAGGAGTAGGTGGTGACTGACTACAGTTGTCAGAATAACAAAGATGGGGTGATGGAAGTTTTGAAAACGACACAAGCCTGCGCACAGTCATAAGACTTGAGTTGTTTCTGAACATTAGACAATGAGGTGCAGCAAGGAAGTAAATTATTACTCCTAAACCAGCAATCACACACGTAGGACTTGTACGCCATTGTCAAGTTATTTGGTATAAATTAGGGCTGGACTAAATTACCTTTAACTTCAAATTAGCGACATAGCTTACTCGATACCTTAGTGGGTAAAGACACCACTTGATTGAACCTGGTTCGTGACAGGAAGTTGCAAACAGGGACTTCAGACGTTGACTGGATGTGCGTCATGTTCACTTGTGGAAACTTGGCTCTGAAACATCGAGGCGTGTATTGTCCCGGAGCTCGACTCATGGCTGATTAAGAGCAGGAGTTGCTTTCTGCGACTTTGGGCTGAAATTACGTTCGGTGTTATGCATGATTATAATGCGGGTGGTGGTGGGGGACTCCTTCTACTTGCCGACATGACCCAAGATGTGGAATGTCAGCCTACTTGTGTTTTAGACCCTATTCGGTGAAATCCATATCGGGTTCAGCTGCAGTGCTTTTGATGGAAGACTGATAGCTTTCATCAAAGCCACTGATGTCGTTCCACTGTCAAATTCTGATATTGATGCTGTGTGGCACCCACATAAAGACTAGTTACTTGAAGGGAAAGCTGTGAGGCTGCAGCACATTTAAAACAATAGATCAGCAAGAGTCGGTATCTTCTGAAGACGAGAGCAAATTGGTGGGAAAAATTGACGGCTTTAAATTTTGCTGTTTCATTCAATTTATCAGCTTTATGAATCAGTGTCCAGTTAGTAGCCAAGACTAAAGGTCTTCAAAATCTCTGTAAATGATTAAGAAGGTCGGCGCTGCTGAATGAATCATATTCAAAGTTACAAAACACCTTCCAATAAACACCTTGAAATCCAGAGAGCCACTCCCTGATAAAGTCGATCAAGCACCTTCACGCATGTGGACTGCACTATTCTCTGAAAGGGAGTGTTCTGTCAATAAATTTGAGACTGTACATATGGAATGACTTCTTCCCATTTGAAAAAAAACAAATCACAATCAATTGAAAATTGCTCCATTGAACTTTTAAAAATCCTGACGCATACTTCTGACTAAAAGCGCACGGCAATGGTGAGAAAATTTTAGGTAAGTGAAAGATACATGTTCGCTGCATGAAGATAAAGCTTTGCCTATCAAAGCTAAAATGTTTAATGTCACAGTAAGGCACTGTATTTGGGGGAAGAGGACTGAGTGTATCCATTGATGAAGAGGTGCGTTGTGCTTCTGTAAAAAACTGGTGGTAAAAAAAACTTGTAGTTTTCACATACTGGGGAAATTTGTAAGCAAAGTTGAGAATGGTATTTTTAAGTTACTTTATTTTAAAAAAATGAAGTAGACAACAGTAGAGCTGGTTTAGAAATATGGTCAAAAGACCAACAATTTCCACTGAATGTTCCCACCAGTTCAACTGTTTGAGCAAAACCCACCTTCTAAAGAGGGGAACGTAACCAGTGTAGAAGTCATTAAATAGCACAACATTAAAAAATTATTCAACTTTATCTCAAGCAATCACAACTCTGGAACCTGCCCTCTATTCTGATTCTCAGTGTTGATTCTGAATGCAGTTGCTTGAGGGTTTTAGAGACTCTGTTGACTGCATTGTTTATCCGGAGAAACTCCAAAGGGGATTTTACTTGACTTTTGTTTCAACATCTTTTTCTTGCAGTGCCACAGGACTACCGTGTGCAGATTCAGAAGGGTTGTTGTGGACTCAGAGTGACCTGCACAGACTGAAAGCCGGACTGAAATTATTCTAGAGAAACAAAATGGTTATTTGTATTTTTTAAATTTTATTTTTGTTTCGAAGACTCTCCACTTTCCTTCCCCACATTCTCGCTCAGCTCAGCTGCTTGTGTTGTGGGACACCTGTGTATCACATCGGTCTTTGCTCTTTTGATGGGCGCCCAATTCAGCTGAAGGTCATGCCTTTGGCAACTGGAACCAACAGGTCCTGATAAGAGTAAATTGAATATTTGAACAGCCTATGTACCATCTGTTGCGAGGGTGTTATTTTTTTTATTCAAAATAATACTGTGACTTCTTTCACAAACTGGGTCACATTTGTATTGAACACTTCTGTAATCCTGTATGCATGTAAAGAAGTATTCGTTTTTTTTATTGTAAAGGAAAAATAAGTAAAATAAAAAATAATAAATAAATAAATCTTTCTCTCTTCCCCTCTTTCAAGTCCCGCCAGAAAACTTTCCTGCTTGACTGTGCTTAACGGCCACCTCCCCCCAGCTCGGAGTCAGGCTCTGCCACTGTTAAGCGCACTGCACGGAGGACATGAAGTGCATGTTGTTGTTGTAATTCAGCTCTATGGTTTTACTTGTGGTTCGGTCTTTCTGCACGAGCTTATTGGAGTGTCTGAATATCCATTTGCTCATACAGGTGTAACGACTATGTTAGAAAAAGATTAACATTAGACAATTAGAAGATTAGACAATTCCCATCGAAAGCCCAGTGTTGGTGATGCCATTTCCTGTCTTAAAGATTCTGTTCTTCAAATACATTTCCACACCCAAGATGTGCCACTTTCTCAAAAATAACTCTTCTCCTTGTCACCTGTGCCTGTGTGTGAGTGTTTGATACAGCCTTTTAAGTTTTTAGCAGCTGCATGGAGTTATTTGAAGTGACATATTGAAGCCCCCAGTTGGGTAACTTGTCGGAAATTAAGGTGTTTGACAATGGTTTGATTTTCTCTCGCTGCAGTATTAGAAAAATACAGGCAATGGTCACTTTGAAGCTGCAATGAAGATATTGATATGAAGATATTGGGCAGCCAGGTCTTTAACTCATTAAACCAGGTCAGTGTTGTTCCGAGCAAGTAAATGTTAGCTTGCTGGGAAATTCATTTTTATTGAAATAAAGCCATGGGGGCTTTTTATCTAAAATTCCTTTGAGACCTGTCGATTGAACAAAAAGAATTCTCCCATTTGCAGTGTTGAAAGAAGAATCTGTATTTATGAATGTAATATTGCCACAGATGTTTGTTCAGTGCAGATACGTTACAATAATAACTTACATTATTGCTTAAGATTTTTTTCTATAAATCAGCCATATTTACCAAGGTTTTAAATGTAAGTTTATCATCTTTTTTGTGGCTTCTGTGTTTTTTTTTGTGTGTATAGTTTGATGAACCTTATCAGGTTGATTTTAAAAGTGTTAATGTTCCATAATATTCTCTTAATGCAACTTGCCTGTGTTAAGAATTCTGAGTGAAACTGACTCAAAACATTATGGAACTTAATAAATAATGAACTTCCAATGCACAGTGCAATAATTTGTTTTTGAGTGTAGTCTTGATTCCTTCACTTAATCGAGCACAATGCATGTGTCTTGATAGACAAGTCTTGGGAGAACTCATTTCGTAAATGGAGGGGTTATAAATAGTCTGTCTTTAGAAATGTATTGTTTGAGAACTCTTAAGCACATTTTACATCATTCAGTACTAAGCTGCTTTCACTACTTTGCGGTTTCATTTGTCTACTTAAAATATCTCTGTGCATCAATGTAATATTTTGTAAGAGGAGATAACTGATTTGCTCAGAGTAAGAATGATCCGAATACAGTATTCTTCCAAAGTTGTTCAAGAAATCCTACGTAAAGATCAGACTAGTCAGTGCCTACAGTTGCTATTAACCTCAAGGTCAGTGAGTCACCCTTTATAAATTTAAACCGGCGAGCAAAGGATATCGGGACTTTTTAAGTGATGTCGCAATATATGGTGAAACGGATCAGGGCTGACTCTTCCATTTATTCCACTTTTTTCCTCTCGAGTGTACTGAATCATACTGAGTTACGATTTCTGAGGTGCTGGCAGCCTTCCAGTGCTTTGTCCAAGTTGCGTTCTGAGTCTTCTCGTGTGTGACCTCAGACAGGAGTGTCAGGAATAAAGCTCACTGTCATCACCCGACCCCAATGCAAGGGCATGATCAGAGTGAGTGCTGGGAGTGTTTTTCCTATTAACTCCAGCATGTTGTGGTCAATTCTAGCACAGCTGCTGCCCTGAAATCGGGCAACCCCCAACATGGACCTTCCTTGGGGCTTTGTTCTGCATGTGCAATACCTTTACCAACTTAGCTATTTGGTAGAGAAATAGCAGTTTAATCAGTGTTTGAGTTAAGAGAGACCTGAGTTCAATTCCAGGCAGAGGGCGAAACCTTGGGCAAGTTTCCTTACTCCACACAGAGCCTAATAATAATCCCTCCAAAACCAAAAAACAATAATAAATTGGTCATTTTCAATCTACGACTGTTTGTGGGACATTGCTGTGCGCAATTGGCTGCCGCGTTAGCCCACAAATATACAGTCAATTCACTTTTCAGTGTGTCCTGTGAAGCGCTTTGGGACATCCTCCCGACGTGAAAAGCGCTATATCAAATGCAAGGATTATTATTATTATTATTATTAAGATGTTTGAAGCACTCAAACATTGAGTTGAGGAAACTTTGATTCAGATACATCATATTCTTTCAAAACCATATGCTTGTGACTGTGTTTTCAAAGAATAATGCTCCAAACATGATTTATGTGCTTGTGGATTCAGACCAACGGGATGAAATCATCAGTAGCAACAAAAGGATCAATACGCAACCTTTAGAAGTTTTCATTTTGAAGCCATACATTTCTATAGAATAAGACCCACCGAGCCGTACGTTTTACCGTGCTGCAAAAAGGTCAGTGTAAATAAAACGCTGAAAACCATCTTCCAGACAAAAGTAGCTTTTATTGAATCCAGGTAGCACAAATAATGTGTAGTAAAATTAAATGTTTAAAAAAATTCAGAGCAAACGGTTTACATTTTGGCACTGGTAACAGATGTGAACCTGTTTATGGCAGTATTTGCTAGTGATAACCTTTATTCCATGCAAATGTCAGATACTTTGTAAAATTACAACATTCTCATTGCAGAACACATTCTAATGCACCAAAACAAAGCCACTTGAAGCTGTCTGAGTACATAATCTTGTTTGAAAAAAGGCACGTAAATCAATGTGAATTCTTGTAATTACCCTGCTAATGATGGGTGTACTCACTAATTATTAATTATCCAATATATACTTGATCTAGAATCGTGTCATTTTTTCAAAGCGAAATCTAACTTCTGTGTAACTATAGTCGGAGTAGGGCCGCTGAAAAATTCTAAACTTCTAAGCATAATGCTTTTTAAAGGACACTTTAAAGCAAATTCTGATGTTACAGAAATACCAGATCGTTCACCAGAAGCAAGCCACTAAAATAAGCCTATTTGTAGAATAAAAGTTTAGAAATTAATGGGTGCACGTATTATAATGTAGTGATCTCTATGTACAAGTCATGGAGTGCTTCATAACAAATGCACCCTTTTTGAAATTAAATATACACTTTACACAAGCTGCTAAGATATCAAATAAAATACAAGAACTTTCGTTTCTCTCCCAATATCAGTCACAACACTTGGTGACAGAAATTTCAAATTGTAGCAGCTTTGTTATGGTTCTCAACACTATTGAAATATCAGCTACTGCGAGCTGGGTTTTGAAGTTAAAAGCATAATTACACTATCCAACACATGGCACAATTGACACACATTGTCCATACGCATCATACATTAAAAGTATTGATCATATAGATTGCTCCAAAACACATCTGCCTTCGTTTTTAATTCTCAAGGAGACAGAGACACTTTGTCATTAAGACTTACATTTTGTTTGGGTCAACGAACCCAAAGAGTTTTTGTTTTACTACAGTTAAAAGCCAACATGTTCATTTTATAAGGAACAGAACAAAGCTAAACTAGTTCAATAAAACTACTTAATATTTATAGCACAATAACAGGCTACATATTACGCAAACCGGACAATGGTACTCTACAACATAACATAATGATATCTTCAAACATGTTTCACCAAATATGATACACTTCTTATGCATATTAGATCATCCTCTACCTGGGAACATGTACAGACTCCAGATAGGAAGCAAAGAGAAAGCAGTTAACCAAGCTAAATTATTTTTACAAGCTTTTTACATAGTCCGCTTTATGAACTATAGAGGTTATATACGAGCATTCTCCCTCATCAACAGTGTTTGCATTCAAATACTTGTATTTTACTCCGAAGATGGAGCTGACCTTTGTAACTGCTCGAAGAGACCATCTTACACTGCATCCCGAATGCAAAGAGAACCATTCACATGAAGCGTGGGAAGGCCTTGTACCTTGCCCTGTGGAGGGTCTCTAAAGCTTTGCACATGGGAAATGCAAGATGTTACATGTAAATCTATTATTAAAACCACCTTTTGAATATCAACACTGTCCTGTTTAAAGCCGCAGCACTTATTTTGATTGGGTTCATCAGAAAACTTCAAACCCTGTGTGGTAACTTGTTGGTAGTTCTACATACACAATTCTCTCCAAACTGAACCGTTTAGAATTGACACAACCCTTAACCATTAGTGAATCACAAAGCAGGGCTACTGTGACATTGCTTCCTTACTGTGTAAAGAAGCAATGGAGAGACTTGGCCATTTGTTAGCCCAAAAATCTTATTTAAACAGACCAAACAAAAGGAGGCTGCAGCTTAAAACTCAACGTACATTTCTTTTAAAGAAACATTGTTCAAAAGTTTCTCTACAGAAGACAGGAACCCTCTGCATTAGGATAATTTGTTGGGGGTACACAGGTAATAAGGCCAAAAAAATATTGTTTCCATTAAGGTGACTAAACTTAATTCATGATCTACCTTTGTTTTTGATAAATATTCGGAAGGGTGACAAAATCCCGCTCGATTACACAGTCAGACACAGGGAGAGGAGCAATAATGTCAGGAAAGACATTCGGTACTTGTGTGGCAGTGCCTCGAGAATCTTTACACTTGCAGTGTCTGGGCACAGAGTGAATAACCGTCCGATTGAAGAATTGAGTGCATACTATTTTGAGCTTAGAGCTGAAGCTCCCAATTGCCAATCTGAATGTTGGGAGCTTAAGAGTCCCAGTATCTTCCATTTGAGCACCATATTAATTAAAAACAAAACTCAACAGGGTTTGAAGGATGGAATTGCAGACACAAAATGGCCCGTCTCTGGGCAGAGAAATAAAGAGCACGCTACTCAGTCCTGCTGTTAGGTAAATATACCTGTGATATTAGAGTTTGTATGGTTAGGACAGATAAGGGAATCTGGAATTTATTCATCTGATGGTGGTATTTAAAGTTGGCTATAGTCTCAGTTTAACAAGCAGAGAGAGTCGGGCGAATGGTCAGTGTAAATTTGCACTCAAAACATCGGGATAAAAACAAATCCCCGACTGCATTGAGCTATTGGTAACAATATTTTTAAGTCCTACAAATCCATTGCAATAAAGACGAATTATAGTGCTAATACTGTACACAATATGTGTGTGCACATCCAAACAACATGAATTAAAAAGGCCTACACACTATGGTGCCCGGTAAAAATTCATACATATCCATGGGCTACTCCCAGTGACACACAGTGTCACAAACATTGTGGCAAGATTTGATAAAGCTAATTCTACTGATGATAACTGTACATTTCATAAATAATTTTTCTACAATCAAGAAAAGAGATACAATTTGTATCAACAAACAAAGGTCATTTCTGATCATTCCAGGCATTGCTGTTTGCTGCGTTGAAATGAAAGCCACAAGTGAGTTTCAGATATACAATCCAAGTGATTATGATTCAAATATTAACCATAAGAAAAATCTGCCTTCGCAGACAAGAGTATTGGAGAAAGTTTGTTGGGTACTTGCTCTGCATTTTAGTGGATACACGTTGTTACAGTTTCAACATTTTAGAGGCCCGAAAAGTACCAATGAAGTGCATTGTGTAAATTAAAACGCACTGGGAAAAGCTGGTAAGTCAATTTGGACGCATTCAACTTTGTAAGAAATTGATCGTTTTTAAACTTAAAAAAAACCAAATGCACGGGGAAACGCTGACATACGACTGATGTCACCTTCATAGGAAATAGAAACAAGTACACAGCAGTGTGGCAAGCCATTAGCAAAATGCCAGAAACAACCCTGACTGCAGCCTCACAATCCACGTGTTTCACAGGAAGAAACATTTAGGCAGTGTCAGACCTTCTCATGAAGAAACAAAAGGCCCGAAAAGGACCTTCTCAACTTTCATGAAAAAACTTTTTTTGTCAACAAGACCGAGCTTGAAACATATCAAGCTTGTCAGAGTTCAGCAATAATAAATATACATTGCTTTAAAGAGCGGCACATCAGAGCAGCCGAAAGACAAAGTAATGCTTTAAAAAGGCATTTGGCTGCAAGATTCCCGCCCTCAAAGGAGATTATTGGCCAACATAGACAATAAAGGAAATGATTAGTGCCTTATCCCAAGAGTTCTCTTTCCGTGTGTGGTTGAGAAACCCAGAAGAAAATGGGATACCTTACATGCATTCGATATTCTGTAATTCGTTCGTGTGTTTACTTCCACTGTGAACTTGTATCATACTTAAAATTTCAAGTTGTACGACTGACCAAAGGGAGCAAGGATTTAGATATCTAAGTTCCTCGTTTGCAGTTAACAGCCCAAAAAGGCGATGATTGAAGTACAAGCTAAACTACCGAAAGAATTATAAAAAGTCAGAATAAGGCAGGATGCAAGGTATTCACATCGTCTTCAAAGAAGCCTCAACTCTTACAGATAACCAACCTGGTTATTATTCAACCATCTTAAGACCCAGAGGATTAGCTCTTATTTCACAAATGTTGTGCATTAATTAAATTGACATTCCTTTTGTTTGTCCTATCAATATGAATTACCCTCAGCGTTTCTAACAGTCAGCTTCTACCGTCCACAACGCAACTGCTTGGCCACGATCTCTGCAGCCAGCTGCTGTGGATCGATTACGTGGGGGTTCTTCTCCATCACAGCGAGGACAATATCCGCTGGGAAGATGTTACACAGGTTACGATACGTCTGGTACTGGTGTTCCTGGATGGTCTGGTGATCTCGGTGGTCGACAGTCCCCCCCTGCCATGGCGACCGCCAGATCTGCTCGATCTTCTCCGGCATGCTCCGGAACATTCCGGGGTTATAAGAGGGCTGCATGAGATTATTAGTCAACGGATACGAAGGGTATCTGTAGGAATCTGTGACGCACGGCAGGTGGTCCCAGCTGGTATGTTGTTCCCGGCATAGAGGAGGTCTTCTCTGCCTCATTGGGTTGCTCTCGTACAGTCGAGAATCAGAAATACTGTCCAGCCTAGTCATCACCAGAGCCCGGCCTGGCTGGTTAGCAGAAGATGGGTGAATGTTTGGAGGAACAGGGTAGTCCCCAGGACAACTGGAGCGAGCACTAATGGAGGGATGTTGCATGTGAGGAGCTAGATGGGAGATGGATTGTTTGCGCTGGGGCTGCTTTGGCTCCTCGGGTCCATAACTCTGCACTCTTGTTATAGGTTCATGATAGCCATGAATAAAGGGCTGCAGCCTGCTCTGCGCCTGGGGCTGATGGACTTTCACATTGTCCTCTGGACCTTCTACAGAGCCCAGGTACGCCAAGTCGCCAAAAGAGGAATAGGAGTCGTTGCTTGTGACGCAGGAGTCTGAGTGAGAGCTCGTGTTCCTGGTATACATACTGTGGTCTGAATCCAGACCATAATAATTCTCGTGGTTACACATACTGTTTAAGCTTAAGTTTGAAAAGTCACTCATCATGGAGCAATAGCCAGTGTCCACAAGCGAATCGTATTTAGGATAGGGTTCCGTATAGTTCACGGAATTCCCGTGACTGTTGGTTACGAGAATGGGCGGATAATGCACACTGGACGCCTGCTCTTGTGAGGATTTCTGATGGGTAAATTGCTTAGAATACGGCACTGGGCTGCTGGCCGACCTGGTGCTCAGGCCGACGGCTGCATGGCCTTTGTTGGGCTGAAACGCCGGAACACTTGTTGCAGAGACCAAAGAAGGCACGGAGTTGGTCTCCAGTCTGCGGGCTGGCGTTAGCCTCTCCAACCTCTCCTCTGGGTCGCAGGCGACAGACCGGATGCTTGGGTCAGACTGGCGCTTTGGAGCGACGCGCTTGATTTCAGAGCCGATTTCCCCTTTGACCCCAGTTATGGCAATCCCGCACTTAGCCAGGGCTCCTTCGCTCATGGTTTTTACGGCAGACAGCTTTGCACTGGCACGGAGCTCATCGGCTACTGATCTCTGTGGCTGGTTAACACGTTCTGGATGGTAGTATTTACATTTGTGTCCATACGTGCACTTCTTTCCTGTCAAACCACAAACCAGAATACACGTAAGGACCAAAGTCAACGAAGCAAACATTCCCCTGAACACGTTGACAGTTGAGCATTTAATTTAAATGAATAGTTGATTTCCCCTAATTTATTTATTTCACCACACTTTGATGAGCATATACCTTATGCATTAAATGCTCAGTCGACCGTACTTTCGATCTCCCTGCTTCACCTGCTGCCCGACCCCCAACTCGGGTCTGTAACTCTGTCTGTGCAGCGCCTTGGGAAGTCCCCCCGACATGAAAGGCGCTATACAAATGTTGTAGCCATGCATATTAACAGAGTGAACTAAACGTGCACACAATCACACAAAGCATCCCACACCGCCACACAGCAGTCACGATTTCCACCCCTCCCATAGTAAGACAGTCATTGCCTCTCAATACAATACGTAAGAGCAGGAAAAGAATTTCCCAGAGAAGGGGGCCTTCCAATGCACCTCAAAGAGGATTACACATTGCAACCGCCTGCACTGAAGCTTCAACCTGGACAATTAGTTCAAGTCCCAATGTGGGTCTTGTACCCACAACTTTCTGCCACAAAGGTGAGAGCGCACCCAGCTTTTTGATATCTTACAGAAACTTTGTTCTGGTGTATGAACCCTATATACAACTAAATGCATTTGCTTTTTGGAAAATGTGATTAAAGCTACCACAAAGAAGTGAAAAGGTTTACAGGTCTTGTAGCAAGTCACCGATGCTTACCATACGGGCAGGGTTGCTTCTTGTGTTCTGGAATAACAGGGCGTTTTCGTAGGAAGTTATCCAAGCTTGGACCATGACGTCCCAAAGGATCATCGGGTGGCATGAACCTGGCAATAAGGAGGGAGCGTACAGTTAGTCACATACAGTTCTCCTGCCTTGGGATTCAGCTGACTGTGGAATGGTTCCTAAAAATCCTGTAATTACTGAATATGTAATTCATGTCAATCTTGTAATCTCAAAGGGCTTAGGTTTGCAACACTCACTTGTCATTCACAAACGAATACATTAGAAGACGTTCCTCGATGAATTTCTTCCACTCAGGCTTCTCGTTCTGCAAGTCCCTGTAGTTGTCATTTGACACAATAATGCCTTCGGAGTCGAAAGCCAACTTGACTATGAACCGATCATCATAACACACCACTCTCCTTCCTTGCACCCGACGAGATGGGGTGAAGACCAGAATTTTCTCCTTCTCAAGCTTACGCAATATTTCTTGATCTACAGAAATACAATAAAAAGTTATAGTTAAGAAACCTAATATTATTCGACCACAAACAAGAAAGACTTTTGCAGGGAATCCCTGTAGTCGGAGGAAGAGCTGAGCAAGGAAGTACTGAGCGCATATTTTCGAACGATCAGATCGTGGGAATATCTATCGCCTTGCGACGAGTCTAATTACCTGTAATGGGTGCATCCGGCCTGGACTGCTCTTTCCTCCAGGCAGGAACAAACACTGTGATGTCTTTATGCCCTTTTTCCAGGAACCATTCCACGGCCAGCTGAATCCCAAGGCAGGAGAACACCTCCTTGTTTCCATGGCTGCAACCAGAAATAATTTAATCAATCCATCGTATTACGATCTGTGCAAGCTGACGTTAGGCTCCAAATGTAATTGTGAGATGACTAAGGATTCCCGTTATGCGGAGTGGGGGCAGACCGGGTGGAGAGAGAGCATTTTACATTTCCAATGTAATTGTAAAGCATTGATGATTCTTTTCCACCGGGAAAATGGGGTGGTGGGGGGACGGGACGGGAGAGAGAAGAAGGAAACATGAGAGGATTTCATTTATTACAATTTCTTCATATCCCCTCCTATGAGACTTACAGGATAATGATTGGATTTTTATTGAAAAAAAGGACTGAGTACACTATTTTTCACTGGGGGGGCACTGATCATCTTAAAAGTTAAATGAATTTCAGACGCTGGAAATAATTGGAGATCAAAAAAAATTAGAAATCGACAAAAATTGCTGAAGAGATGAAGCTAAATTGTGATGCAGAATTTTTTTCTTGTGAGGCTGGGACCTGAGCGGTCTGCTCAGTCACCCTAGAACATTAGGTTATCAAAAGCAGATGCTGCTGCCCACCCTCTTCAGATCAGCTACCTTGAAAGACAGGGAAAACCCAGATGACATCAGGATCAGCATCACTGTGCGTAGGCCTTGTGGGAGGAATTCATTACTCTCTCCAGAATAACACGTCGTGTGTAAAAATAAACCCATCTGGGATATTATACAACCGATACACATCTAACATTTATAGAGCCTCAGGATTTTTTTTCTCTCTTTCATCTCTGAACAAATTGCTTTTGCACTCGCAGCAGAATGTCAATACACCGTTATCTAACCACAGTAAGCAAGTAAAATAATAATGCCGTTTCTCATCAGGGATACAGGATAAAAGAGAATAGATGGGAGGACATCTCTCTCTCTCCATCCTTTTTCCCTTTGGTGCTATTTCTCGATTCCCAGACTTTATTTCCTAGAAGGAGCTATTGCATCAGTCCACGATGTTCATAAATCTATGGTACATATATAGGAGCTTCGGATGGGCAATGTAAGGAACAGGAGAGGTGATGCGAAGTGAGACCCCAATGTGCATGATGTAGATGAAATACAAAAAGGCCTTTACAATATACTGAATGGTAATCACGGATAGATTGCAACGAGACAATAAAGTTACCTTTCAAGTTTATTTTAAATACCTAATGTAATGCCATTTAACTCAAGCTAAAGGTTTAAATATTTGATTCAGGTAGTGGTGAAGAAAGGAAATATTGGAAATCATTTTGATCTCTAAAGATGTCCTAATTTATTAGATACCGGAGCTGATCATTGATTTAACATCTCATGCGCGTAATTGTTACTCATTAAAAAAACATAACCGCAAGCATAAAAAGTTAAAGCCAATCTGTGCTATTCTGCACATTCATCTGTAAAGTCACACAAGTGCAGTACATAAACTTTACCTGCTTGTGTATTCATGGTTTTTACATTATAATGTAATATACTGCATGTAGCACATCTTACAGTCAGAACATAGAGCTGCATTTCATAACCTAACATGCCTTACAAGGTGGAAAGCTCAACTCAGACATGTAACGGTCTTAAGTTATGAAAATGGATGAAACCCTTAAATCTTAATACAATGGAAAATGTGCATGTGTAATGTGAGCCATAGTCAATGTCAATTGCATTCAGAGAAAACGTTCAAACATACAAAAACGACTATTGCCTTTATATAGGGCCCTTCACGCTGGGCACTATCTCAGAGCAATTAACAGTGGTGGAGCCTGGCACCGAACCGGGGGAAGAGTGGAGGTGACAGTAAGCACAGTTGAAGAGGAAGCACTTCACTCGTGATCTGAGAAAGGGGAAGGCGGGGTACGGAGGAGGGATTAGAGGAGAGTTCAAAAATTTCTGAGGTTAGTGGCTGAAAGCATGGTCACAGATTGTGAAAGGGCAAGAGGGGGGGGTGAGGGATAAAGAGGAGGCTGGAGTGGGGAGTAAGCAGGTCGGAAAGATAGAGAGATGCCAGGGCATGGTGACATGTACACAAAGTCAATTTGTTCTGTGATAGGGAGCCAGTGATAGGAACTTAGCAAGCATTGGTTAATGTGATCAAATTTTAAAATACCTCATGGCCACGTTGCTTCCATCAATCACGATGGGTCGTAGGTTGTTCGAATCATCCACAACTTCATCTTCCAAAGACAGCTCCGGGCTTGTGATTTCTTTCGCACACTGTCCCCTGGACACGAGAGTACCTGTGCTACTCAGCCCGCTCTGCTGTGGCTCAGATTCACTTTTGTTCCCAAGTCTGACAAGTTCTGCTAAAATGTCGTTGATGAGAGCATCTGAACCTAGTTTGTTGAGCACGGTCTGTATCTGTTCTCCTGAATATCCTAGCTTTAAGGCAAAATCCATCTTTGCCTGGTATTCCTTGTCTAAATTAGGAGTCTTGCACCCATCATCAGGTTTGGATTTACTGTCCTGACTAGGAAGGTCATGTAGGACACAACCTTTGGAGAGAATGGGCCGTTCGAGACAAGGGGACCGGCACAGCTGCCTATGTGGCTTGTTCAGGGTCTCAGTCTCTTTCTTCCTGTTGAGGATTTGTTCGGACTCACTCTCAGAACTTGTCCAGTCCTCGGATTCAGCGCTGCAGTCGCCTGGTTCTACATGAGCGCGCCTGTTCTGTTTGGAGGAACTAGTCTCCATACTCAGCTTCTCAAGCATAGACCAGGCTGTCATTACGTTAATCTGTCCTCCTGTTATCTCTACAGTGTTCTCCTTGATTTCCAGTACAGCTTGGCTTTCATATTCAATGGAATCCTTCAAGTCAATCAATTGTTTCCGCAGCGTTGCTGTTAGCCTCTCACACTTCTTATGTTCAGGGGAACAGAGAGATAGTATGTAATCCTGGGGAAGACAGATAAGACAGTTCTGTTCAAAAAAATTGAAGAAACCACTAAAAATACGCCTTACAATTTGGGAACTATAAAGACATTAAGATAATACACTCACATTTGTGTTAATTTGCGGCCAACAGAAGCAAATGTTCTAGTTTAGATCTTTACATTAATATTACAGAATAACCTGCTTCCTCGTCCTTACAAATTTATAAGATCTCAATTTCAAAACCTCAAGGACTCAGCATTCATCAGGTGATTGCGAAATATCACAACAGCACTTCAGTGGGATAATGAAAGGGTTAGAATTGGCCTTGATTGAGCACCTTTGATTGAGGATGGGTGAATAAACAAATCCAGAATAGCTATACCAGATCACTAAACTCTTCTCTGCTGCTGCAGCGCACGTGCAGAGTTTTTGACAAGAACAGAATCAGACTCAGCAAATAGCACCCTCACAGCCAATACCAATACCAAACAACAAATTACGTTTGTATAGTGCCGTTCACATCGAGAGGACGTCCCAAATAAGTCTCCAATACGAAGACAAGCCACTTTGCCAGACTCCAGCAGAGTCGGGGGCATGCAGAGGAGAAAGACATTTGGGAGAAGTTTAAAAGTTTAAAAGTAAATTGTGTATTTCAAAGCTGCCTTGCTAAGAGCTGCATCTTTAGGTGGATTACCTCTGCAGCCACATCGTGGACAACTCAGGCTGTGCCGATTTAAAGGATGGAACTCTGTTAACTTTTCATTCGTGACCACGAGTAAACTCACAGCGAGTCAGCCAGTCAGGTGCAATTGAGAGTTTCCAATAAGGAAGTAAGAATTACTTTGCTCTGACTTCCCCATCACTGATTCACTGCCCAAGAAAGAGCCGAGTCACAAGTCAGTTAGCAAAAAAGAGCTCATTTGAACGCCACCTGGTAATAGATGCACATAGCGTCAATCATTTCTGTTTCTCAATTCTGTTGACACAGTACTGATCAATCCTTATCTGACAGGAAAAGATAGTTACAACTAACAGGAAGTTACGGGGGCGGGGGCGGGGGGGGGGTGGAGGCAGAGGCGAGTAACTGTGCCAGAACTGGCTATTTATTGCATAACAGAAGTGAATTCAGGAAGAGAGTATCCCATAAGCAGAACTTTTCCTTTTCCATTTCTGGGCAACCCGTTATGCAACCATAGCGTGTTTTTTTTTAAAAAAAAATTAAATGCCGCCCCTCAATAAGACGCTCTGGTCTGACATTCCAAAGGTTGACATTCCAAAGGCCGTCCTTCGGATGAGATGGTAAAACCGATGTCCCGTCTGCCTATTCGGGTGGACGGGAAAGATCCCGGTTTCTCCTGGTGTCCTGGGGCCAACAAATGCCCCCATTTCGAAATGATCATTAACTTCTCGGCTGTTTGTGCGACATTACTGTGTGCCAACTGTCTGTTGGGTTCCCCTACAAACTACACACTACCACTGCAATTTACAGTACTCTAGAAAACTGCTGCGGCAAAACTCAAAAGGTTAAAATTTCCCCCAAACAGTAAACTAAAAAAAAAAAGAGAGTATATCATTTGGGGGCTTGTGGTGATGCCTCATATAGGGCTGCTTGACCGACAACCGGAACAAAAAATAATTTAAACTGAAAAAAAATCCAAACTTGGTACAATAACGATGTTTGGTACCAGAGATTTTTTTTTTTTTAAATGGGCATTAAAATCACACTTACAAATAAATAGTCAAGGTTGTCTGCTCGCATTTCCATGGCTGTGTTGGGCAACACCGGTAACTGAGGTGATGCGTGTTACAAAGAACGATACCATCAAAATGTTGCAGAAATAAAGGGCAACTGAACATATGACTCGAGAGCAGCCTCCAGCGGTGGTTGATACAAATATCAAAACTCCTGCATAGGTCGGTCATATGAATGGAATATACACGTCATAACCATGGCCAACGCTCAGGGAGTCACTTACAAGGAAAGCAACACGAGGCAGAGAAAATATCATGCAAATCTACTCTATTTTGGTTCCTTCGTATGCAAATCTGTGCAACTTTTATAGAATCGATCTACAATTAAAACACATGAGGTTTCACTGATTCATTCTCTTAAGGACTATCAAGAATAAATATTAAACGTGCTCCACTATGTGAGGAGACACTATATTGTATATAAACAGCGTTGAATAAGTAACTGGGATATTGATATTCCAGCTTCTACATACTGTACTTAGTTTAATATTGAAGTGATAAGGAACTGCAAGGCAGATAAGTTCACCATAGAAATATTTTTCAACATGAGTTTCTTCCAGCCGTTGTGTTACTTTGAACATCGTAACTTTTGTGTTTATCGTGATTGATATGAATAATAAACGTACACCTATGTAATCTCTTTCGGGCACAATAAACACATTCACAAAACGCTTTACAAGACAAAATTGATTAGGAACAAAGCGAATGTTTTTTTTTAAATAAGCAAAAGGGAGACAAAATATCTTGCATTAATTCTCTTCCTCATCCAACCAACTGCAAGGTCAGTATTTGTGTTTTTACAAGTGGTCACTTATGCCGTTTAATGTCCTATTACCTCACTCACTGGCTCTTCTACGATCAGCTCGCTGCTATTCACACAGGAGGAGGCTGAGGATCTCACCAGTTGGCTGGAAGAACACTAATTTCTCAACAGCAAGCTTTGAGAGACCAGCTGTCCTGCTAATGTGACTGCACGACACGTTCACAACTCCATGTTTAAGTTGACTAACAAACTGCAGATTACAAAAGACCATCTCTTTCACACAGTACACCTGACACTAGTATTCCAACACCATCTCCCAAACCCAAAGGATTGAAGAAAATTAATGTTTTGAAGCACACTCAGCAATTTGAACCACTTCCCTATATTGTAAGAAGATTACCCTCATAGCACAAACTCGTTTCAGTTTAAAACGCCCGACAATTCTAGACCTTAAAGCTGCCCTGTAATACCTTCAAGAACCGACACTTATACACAATACACATACACAAAAATCAAAATAGCGATATTCTTGACAATCGGTTTTGAACACTAAGAAACAGATTGATCCAAATACAGATACACTTTTTGGAGCAACGAACATGTCTTAAATTTCATTGGTTTTACAGCCAAGGCTTTTACACTCAACTTCATTCATTCCTAGCCTCAGAACTAACTCATTTCCTGTAGAGAATAACATGCGGATAAAATCAATGCAGTTTTCTTAATTGCCATACTCGCTTGGTAAAAAGGCTGAACTGCAAAGCAGTCTACAAACGAAACAAAACTAATGATTAAACTCCTAACATGTTGAAATACCATCAACGTCCTCAACCCTAATAGCTGCACTCTGGTATAAAAGTGCAACAGAACCTATTGTGCAAGATTTACAAGAAAACAAAACCTCTGGAACGATAAGGTCAAATCCATTCAACTCAATTGACTAGCTGCAGAATTGAGCCTCCAGTTTGGGTTAATTCATGGGGACATATAATTTTCCAGCTACTTTTTGTCGACTCCATCAAGCGCATATGATTTGTTAAATGCATCATCAGAAATCTCAAACATTAGGTTGTCAGTGGGTATCTTCCATGACCCCTAACCATAGCCTGCGTAAATTTAAACTAATGCTTTATCAAGCTGGCAATAACGTAGCAGCATGTACTGCCGCTAATAGACAGTGCACAACCCCCTCAACTGCATTCAAATTGCCTCTTCAACTGAGGGACTGCGAGTAAGCATTTGAATCTGATTATAAAAATTGAAGCCAAATGAACCAAGCCATTATTTCTATTTAAAAAAAATTTAAACTTAAAAAAAAAAGGTTTTAACGTCCTGTGACTCTCGTGTTGAAAATACGGTACATTGTCTGTGTACTCACATACATAAAACAGCTCAAAGTGCAGGAATAAAGGACACTTTGTGGCTCTTGCAATCCATTTCTAGATAGGAAGCTGTGCGACGTGCTTTCTTCTGCTCTGGCAAGCTGTGTGTGTGTGACTCGTGCTATGGGGATTACCACTCCTTCCCCTTTTATTACACTAGCGTCCGCCCACAGCTATGACGCAACAGACCTCAGGCAACAAAGGCTGTGTTCTGTTCCTCAGCCGTTTCAATGACGTCTATCTCTGCCAGTAATTTCATAAGTTAGGTCCTCAGCAGGGCAGCGCATGTTAATTTTCTGCCGTTGTATGACAATACAGAGGAAAACTATTGTAGACAGATTGACCAAAATGTTTGTATTTTTAAAGAAAAATAACATAAACGATTTCAACACTTTTGGGAAAAAATTTAAACGCATCTCCTGGGCATGTTACACTTCCATGAATCATGCTGGTTTTCCAGCTTTCAAATCTGCACGTATAATGACAAAAATAATTAACTATTGTTCCATCTCAATTGGTCCCACTCTCCCCACCCCAACCCCTCTTTCCTCCCAATGGAATTGTTATGTCAGTCGCATCTCTATGGTGTAAGAATTTGCTATGCTATTAAAGCTAACTGAGTCACTGTGCATTGTCAGGTTTTTACACACTTTGAAGATTACAACGCACAGTGCAGACCTTATAGGTTCTTTGCGGGGGAAACGATGCAACATAAATGTTTCCTTTAACATTTAAGATACCCTTGATGATAAACCATTAAAAATAAACTGAGACAAAGTCTGAGTAGGTCAACAAGTTGGTTCTTTTCACAGCCACACAAAACCCACCCTGTCCTGAACTTATCCACACTATATCCTGAAGGAAAGTGCAATATAACCGTAAGCCATAGTTAATGAAATAAAAGTCTGAAATCCCAAGAATATTATTTCATCTCCACGTTTAGCTCTGGATTTCTCCCCTCTCCCCCCCAAGACAAAACCAACCTGGGCCCAGTAGAAGAGAAATCATTGTGGCTCATGGAAGTCCATTTTGCCTTGTCCTATAATCTGCAATAATGTATTGAAGCAGAAACCTAACAAATTATTTTCTGAAGCAGATAATTAAAGTAGCATCAACTGTTTTTAACAGGAGCCGCTTCCACTGGGTTGTTGAGGGGAAAATAGGAGTGGAGATTTTTTTCCTTCACTTCAAGATCCAGGTGAATCTAGTTTTAACTCTCGTTCCCTCTCATGGTCCAAGTCAAATAGCCGACTTTTACCTGTGTAGGAAAAGAGGGGGGTTAATATCATAGGGTTAATTCTCCTCAGTACTGGAGCTTGTGCCTGTCTAAACAATGAAGTAAAAATACATTTTTCATAATCAAACAGATAAAACTAGTCTCTTCTAAAAGATAAATATCACACTGCTTGTATAACAGTAATAATCCTTGCATATGATATAGCGTCTTATCAAGACATCTCAAAGCACTTCACAGAATATACTGTAAAGTGAATTGACTGTATGTTTTGTGGATGAAACGGGGCAGCCAATTTGCAAGCAAAGCTGCAACGAGTACAATTTTTTATTGTATAAAAATGATATGGAATGAAGAGGCCACTTGGAGTGTGTAGGAAGCCAGGATTTTCCCATCATTTCAGTACTACAACAGCCAATTGTGGGTTATGGACTTTGTGACTCATCCACTATTCTTATATCTAAACTGTCTGCTTTGTAACTTGGCTGAAGTGGGAATCTACCTAAAGTTGGTTAAAACAATGCATAATCTCATTCATTCTGAACTCTGTTTGCTTCTTGAGTAAACGAGCACTATCCTAGGGAAATACAAGAAGAGTTTCACTCCCAGCTCTGCCCGAAAACTGCACAGATATTTTCACAAGTGAGGAATTCCAGTTTTATTGTAATGGTGGGATAAAATAGCGCTTTGCAACCAAATGCCCCCGAAACCCTTATTCACGCCTGTAGTCGCCTCTAGCATAGATCTTTCAAATGTACTCTTCACTGGTCTCCTTAACTCCACTGTCCATAAATTTAGCTAAAATTGATCTGAAATTTCCATGCCCATTATCCCAGTCCTCGCTCAATTCCTTGACTCAGTGAATCAATCTAAGGTCCTCACTCTCAACCATAATCTCCCCATATCTCTGATTTTCTCCTGACCCAAATTCGGTCATGGAATGAACACTGCTGGAAAGTGCAAGGGTGTGTATGTGCGGTGAGAACAAAATAAAACTTCAATGCCGGGCATTCTCAACCAGACCACTGATGCAAACCTATGAAGAATGGGCACCTTGACTACCAAAAAGCCTTTAGGAAAAGGAGGAGGTAGCAGGAGGGGGGAAAAAAAATCAGTTTCCAGACTCCTAGAAATTTGTAGCACTTTTATTTTCCCCAGGTATTTTGAGCTGTGAAATGTTTGATCCTGTGCCAAGTACCGCCTTGCGACTGATCCACACCCAGACGTCATGAACACGAGCATAACAGAAAAGGATGCCATTGTATTTGTAAGATTCACCATGAGTATAAGGATTACAAAAGTGAACAGCTGGAATCACCTAGTTACAGGTGTTAAAATTTGCAGAGTGTAAACAGTAACCGATGACCGTCTGAGGCCAGGCCAACAGTTACAGATGTTTAACAGGGCGGAGCAGTTCATTCACAATAGAAAACCTCATATTAATTCACGCATTTCATGCAGTGGCTGATCACGTCAAAAATTCTCAATGGGTTTCTCAAAGTTATTTTTAATTTCCAAACTCTGTTGACATAAGACCCAATAGATACCAACAACAACAACAACAACAACAGAAGCAGGGAGATCAAAAGCACAGTCGAAGAGGAGAGTCTTGAGATGGGTCTTGAAGGAGGCAAGGGAGGGGGCGAGGCGCAGGGTTTGTGGGATGGAGTTCCAGCCGGTGGGGGCAGAGTGGCAGAATGCCCACCCACCAATAGCGGGGCAAGTGAGGCGGGGGACATGAAGCAGGCCGGAGCCCTCTGAGCGGAGGGAGCAGGCAGGATGGTGGGCGGTTAGAGGGTCGCAGAGGTCAGGGGGGGAGAAAGACCATGGAGGGCTTTGAAGGTGAGGAGCAGGATCTTGAACTGTATCCTCTGTGTGATGGGAAGCCAGTGGAGTCGGGCGAGGATGGGGGTGATAGGGTCATGGAACCTGGTGCGGGAGAGGACGCGGGCTGCAGAGTTCTGGATGATCTGTAGCCTCTGGAGGGAGGAGTTGGGGAGGCCGACAAGCAATGAGTTTTCATAGTTCAGCCAGCGGCCTGCGGTGTGAGATGGTGGCGTAGATGTGGGGTAGAAAGGATAGTTGAGGGTCAGACAAGACACCAAGGTTCGGACTGGCTTAGCAAGGTGGAGTGTGCAACCATGGATGGTGATGCTGTCAGCACCTCAGGTGAGGAAGAGCTGACAGGAGCCAGTCAGGAGAGCCTCGGTCTTGTTGATGGTCAACTGAAGAAAATTAGCTCTCTTCCAGGACATTCTGTCAGTGGTCCTGGAGCCAAGGGTGGAGGCAGAGAGATACAGTTAATAATAATCCTTGCATTTGATATAGCGCTTTTCACGTCGGGAGGACGTCCCAAAGCGCTTCACAGAACACACTGTAAAGTGAATTGACTGTATATTTGTGGGCGAACGCGGCAGCCAATTGCGCACAGCAATGTCCCACAAACAGTCGTATATTGAAAATGACCAATTTTATTATTGTTTTTTGTTTTTTTGGAGGGATTATTATTAGGCGTGTGGAGTAAGGAAACTTGCCCAAGGTTTCGCCCTGCCTGGAATTGAACTCAGGTCTCTCTTAACTCAAACACTGATTAAACTGCTATTTCACCTCACTTGCACCTTCCAATGGGGGAAATCTGATATTGCAACAGTGTGGTACTAACACTAAAATCTCCATTTCGATGCAATACTTTTAACAAGCAGATATTCTCAAAGCCATCAGTATAGCCATAGCAAAAAGAATCGCTGGCAGACCGTATAACAGAGGTATGTTTTTCATTGACATTATTGCATGAAAGCAGCATGAAATCAGAAGTTTTTGTTTAAAAAGTGCAGTATTAATCTTTATCCAGTTATTTTTTAAAGGTTCACACTTAATTTTTGAAGCAGCAGCAAATCAGGCATTGCAAGCTATAAAAGATATCCAAGCAAGAGAAATAAATCATCAAGTACTTTTTTCATGTGAGTGAAGAAACCTTGGACGAAGCTAAAGGCTTTCATATTTATATTGATTTGACGCAACCCCAATTCGCTTAGATTTCCACCGTGCAGTGCAAAAGGACCATAAGTAGGAAGAGTTCACTTAGCACATTCCTCCTCAGTCAATTGGTTGCTGCACATCAGAAATTTGGTTTGGTGGGGCCGCTTTCCGCAATTCTGCCCCTGCTCTCTGGAACTCTCTCTTGGAGTCTCTCTGACTCACCCGACCCTGCCACACCCCCACCGCTCCCACTTTCAAAGCCAGCCTCAACACGTACACCCCTTCCACCGTACTTTTGGTCATTTCCCACCCTTCCCATTCTCAAGCTCGGGTGAACAGCTAGCTGTGTGAAGCACTTTGAGATAGCGTTTCCATGTGAAAGGCACAATAAAAATGTAGCACAATACAATGCAATTTACCTTTGACGCATTACACATCTGAACTCGGAGGTAACACATACCTGCTTTAAGGAGTGAATTTATTACCACAAATAGCTCATTCTTGAAGCACTGAATTAGATCTGAAAGGGGGCAGTCTTCCTGATTTCTCTGTCTACTGATTATACTAACAATATTCCTTGTATTTGACATAGCGCCTTATCACACCTTCGAGATGTCTCAAAGCTTTTTTGCAAGTTGGATTACAAATACAAACCAATGGTAAATGGTGGGAACTACTGGAGTATAAAAAGAGGAGATGGAGAATATTACTGCCACATATAATAATAATCCTTGTATTTGATATAGTGCCTTATTATGTAAAGGATAGACTGCACCGGAAAGTGGATTGACTGTATTTTGTAGGCGACACACACACACACACACACACACACACACACAAAACGCTCATTGCTGCTCAAAGGTGCTAAGGTCATGGATGCAGTACAGCTTTGGAATGACTTCTTTCACTGGGGGAGTTTACCAGGACGAAAGACAGAGGTGAGGGGAATTAAATCATAAATTTAAGAACTCCAGACTGACAAGCATAGAGCACGTACAAGTAATT